AAGTCTGGATCAGTCCATAGCTCTGCGTACAGTTACCAGTATGAGCCATTTGTCATTGTCAGCGGTGACTTCTCGAAGCCTATCGTCTTACACCCACGCTGTTTTAAAACTCCAGGCGCAACAAGCTGGATTTCCTTTTTTCTTCGATTTATTCCTGAGGATGAAGTTTCGAGACGATTTTAACCATAAACGGTAAATATAACAAAGTGGGTTAGCTCAGTGTCCGCTCTCATACACTAAAGCAGCAAATCACCCTCTCAGTAAGGCTTTGAACAGCTCCCCTGTGGTGACTGCTCGGCTCACCTGCATGCATTAAACATGCGACGCTTTTATGAATGAAGATGATGAATGGAGGTGTGGGGCGAGATTTGACGGGATGGGGCCACTTCAGTATTCAGGTCAGAGCACGGTTCAGGCGCAGTGTTTGAATACAGATCTCTTAACTGACATAAGTGTGTGTGTGTGTGTTATTGATCTCAGATTGAGGTAACAGATCTCTGCAGCAGATGTTACGTCCCATTTAGCTTTTCTTTACTGTGTCCTTGAGAAAGGGTGCACACACAGAGCAGAGTTGATGGAGTGGTTGGAGTAAACTGGAGCAGATAAATCATTTGGACTTGACAGTAAGGCGGTTTGTGGTGGTTTGATGGATGTATACCATATAGAGTTCGTATAGCCTTTCCAATACAGAGATATACTGTATATCCGCACATAGTTGTGTGATGAGTGAATGAAATGAACACTTTGTACTTTTTTAATGCTTTTCAAGGTATCGTCATGTAAGATGGGCTTATCTGCTAGTACAAAGTGATACACAATCACAGTGGTGTTTGGTTTAGTAGGTCAGATTGTTTTGAAGTTGAGAAGGTCACTTCACACTTTGAAGTTGTTCAAACTTGGTGCTGAAACCACATTTTAGCTCGCAGGTATACACAATTTTCTGTGCCATCCAAACCACAGAGCCTGTTTGTCAAAAACGATTGTGGTCCCACTTCCGCTTTTGTCGTGAACTCCCCTGCCTGTGTGGTTCACTTTTTTCCAAGAGCTCAGTAGGCTACCCACAACCACATCTATACTCTTTGGCATAAGCATCCTGTGCATGCCGCAGGAGGTGGACATGCTTGCGTCAGTGATTCAATTCTTGCCTGGTGCATGTGAACGGTTAAACTGCCTAATCAAGCTTTAATGTAGCTTCACTTAACCGTGCATATAGATGTACTGAATGTGGACGATATTCTGATACCCGGTACTGCCATCCAGGCAATGGCGCCATCTTGAAATTACTTATCTCGATGAAGAAACTTCAACCACAAGCAGCAACACTGTCAAAACACCACATCTTGTGCGTCATTGAAAGTTCATAGGCGTGTCAACAAAGCTTAGAGATGAAACAAAACTCAATAAGAACAAAATTAACATGATTATTTTTCATAGAAGTCCCTTTCACTTAGTCTAATGTTGCTTCCGATAGAAACGTTCGGTTTGACGTTAATCTAAGCATAAGCTCTGCGGTCTTTCTGAGGAAAGTCTGACTAAACCTGGAAATCTGAATGAAATTAGCACCTTAAATGAGTCAGTAAGTCAATCTGGTTCCACTTTGTTAAAACACCGTGAATTCTTGGAATAAGTGACTGTTAATGAAAGTGTAACACAGCAGAAAGCTTTTGAGGAACTGTGGCGGTACCTTCTGGTAAATTTCTTCATAAATTTATTCACAGGTGAGGAGGGACAGCACAAACACTTGACATTTCACTGATTTCTAGAAGGTACATATATGCTGTTTTCCTGTGGAAGCATCGACTTTTACCATAAACCAAACAGAAGCACCGAAGAGGGAGGAGGCGGTCCAGACATGGCATAAAAAAAGGGCAATGAGAGGTCAGTGTTTATGGATGCCACAGGGTCAAAGGGACAGGAAGTCAGACATAGAAAATGATCAGATCATGTTTGAGAGGGAGGGCAGAGGAAATAGAGGGGAGGGAAAGGGTAAACAGATAAATGGTGATAGGTCAAATTTATGAATAGTTAGAGGGTTGAAAATAATATTTATATTCCGGTGTATATACACTTGAAGCGGAGTTATTCTGTCTCTGATTTCTGCTGCACTGAAGAAGTTTTATGTTAATGTCACAGCAGGAGCACCGAGAATGCTTTTATTTTGACAGACCCCTGCTCATGCACAAAATGAACTGTACTTTAGTATAGAGAGATTAACTGAGAGTCTGACATGGCCTGAAAATAGGATAGAAGTTATATGGAGAGGTTTGTACAACTCATTGGTCCGTCTAAAAGTTATCATTAACGAAAACTAAAGTGTCAAAACCATTTTTTAACTGAATTGAAAATAAAAATAAAGCTTCACAAAAGCACGATAACTGGAACCCCCTACGCATGGATCTATCTGCTACTAAAATAACCTACTCTGGTTGAGGTATGCACCAACTAACGGGGGCGTGTCCAGACCTTTTTGACTGGGTGACCCGACCTGGGCAAATTCTCCTTTAAGGTTAGTGTAAAAAAAACATAAAAATAAGACAACGTTAGTCGTTTTTGACAAACGTGAACAGTTTTTAGAATAGAATAGAATTATATTGTCATTGCAAATGTCACAAGTACAGAGCAACGAAATGCAGTTAGCATCCATCCAGAAGTGCTTAGCACGTATGAATATATTTACAAATGTACACGGTATGAAGGAGATCTATACATGAGTATATCACGGGAATATAACATTGTTATGAATATGCTATAACTATAAGTATGTACAGGCTATGAAGAGATTATATGTATGGTTACAAATATGAAGGCTATAAAAAGACTATAAATATGATTATATGACAGATAAATTATACAGTAGTGCAATATTGGATGGATTTACAGTAGTGCAGGTGAGGTTTGAAAGGTTTTAAGTTGGTTTACGGATACAAAGTGCAGGTAATCGTAGATAACTGTAAGTGGTGGTTAGTGTGTGTGTGTTTGTTCAGCCCATAAGTGTTAATGTGGTTCAGATGTCAGGAGGTAGAGTTCAGGAGTGTGACAGCTGTGGGGAAGAAGCTTTTCCGGTACCTGGTGGTCTTATGTATGTACTAGATTTTCCATTGAGCTGTTTATAACATAAGTTAATTAAATTACCAAAAATGAGAGCCTGTCTGATGTTATTCGGCATTGAAGGCAGATCTCCTCATGGATTAGACTTAAAGACTTTTCTTTTAACAAACCCTGGACCTTCATGACATGATCCACAATTAGCAGTTCCAGCTCCTGACACTAAATCTTTTGACTGTTAGATCAATATTTGTCAGGGTGCGTGACTTTAACATAATCCAGAACTAAAAAATGATTTGTCCGATATAATCTCTTTTCTTGACTCCATTTAATTCCTCGATTTATTTTAACCCTCCAGCTGAAATCTCGTTCTCTGTTTTCATTGAGAAATTTGATGAAGAGGATTACCTCTCATAGGACTGACTGAGGTCATGAGGGTAAATTTCGAGGGTTAATTTAGGATTTTCGCTTGGGGCAGGAGTCTCAGAGGAGTCATCGACCTTCACTTTATTGATCCTCTGAAAGCTGCCAGTAGACCGCTTTCTCTCATATAGGCTGGCACCGTGTCATGGCAAAAACAGGACCGATTCAGATCCAGAATGAGATTTCTAAAGACTGGGCTTTCTATCTCACAATTTGGACTTTCTCAGCTGTTGGCTATTACCAGTAGTTTTTTGGTAATGTTGCATAATTTGAAGTTATTTTGGTTTTCTTTTTGTTTTGGTAGGAATGCTTTGACTCAGTTTAATAGTAAGGGTTTGCTGGGAAATGCAGTGCACATTCACAACAGTGTAAACAGCAGTTCAGACAAGGCCAGTGTGTGTAATATGGAAACCAGACGCTTATTATTCTGTCATTTAGTAACACATGCTGCCAGATGTCAACTAACCAAGCACACATCAGTGTTTGTTCAGTGTTTGTTCAGCAGCTAATGGTGTCCAATCACAGATGAATTTCAACATCCTGCAAGACATCACCTTCAAAACAGTCTGTCCCGGTTCTGTTCTGGGTTGACTTTAAGGTCCGATGACGTGCTGGTGTTTCCTGGGAGGATGAGCAGAGCGTGGGAATACTGAGCTGGTCACGTTACAGGCATGTCATGATGCTCCGCTATCAGGGAGATTATCCATGAAGAATTCCCAGCCATCTGCGGTTCTTGTCAAATTTCTGAAATGGAGACACAGTTTCCTTTTAAAAACAAAACATCAACAACAACAACAAAAAAAGATCCTGCTGCTGAAAACTTAGAGTACAGGATGTTCCAGTTGTATATGATTAATATGTGAGACATAGTAATTTTTTTTTTTTTTTAATTTAACCTTTTATGTAACCGAATAAAATGGCAAATGTTTGTCCAAATCAGTCTCTTTGTAAGTATGACACAAACAGCCAGATGTGTCCACCCCCAGTTTGTTCAGCATCACCTCTAAATACCCAGTTAGACCAGTTGGCTTCCAAATAAAATAAGACGCAAATTATTATAAATTTTTTTTTGCCCATTTTAGTTCAAACGAAAAGGATAAGTGTATTTTCTCACTCTGTTCTGTTTGATCTAAATTATAAATATGTCAGACTGGTTTCATGTTGGGGATTCAAAGAAAAGGCGGCGTTTTATTGTAAAATTGAAACCAGCTTGAGTTTTGTTTTGACATTTTGTTAAACTGTGTTCAAAACAAGCTGCAACTTGGGGAGAGTCTGGGTCAGGAGGGGATGCTGAGCAGTACACCGCCATGTCAAAAACAAACAGTAGAAGTGAGATGTTTAGATTTTTTATTCTCAACCATGCGGCAGATTTGATTCTCACGGTTATGTTATGGTTTTTGGAGGGAGTTGTAAGCAGGCAGCATCATATATGGCACAACAAAGGGAAGTAAAATGGGTTTCAGAAGGCCACAGTAGCATCTGTGCACCAGCAGTCACTTTGTCTGCAGATTGTAAATCAGGAATTCACAAAATAGGCTGATGTGAGGATCCAGCTATGTCCGTCGCTCTGCCTGTTTGCCGGGATCGCTCAGACTTTAGTTTCTTCCAGCAGGTCCTGACATGGCTCACTATTGGCTCACATACAGAACTAACACACTTCCCCAAACACACACCCATGTAGACAAACTGTTCACGCAACTGAGAACACACCCCATAATGTTGCTACTGTTTTGATATCTTGTTTTAGTTACCCCTTTGGTCTCAGGCCGCCGTGTGAATTATTATTCATAGATGAATATTACAAAGAGTGAGAGAGAGAAAAGGAGAGGAAGAAGAGGAGGCCAGAGGCGAATTTCTTCCAGCCCGAAGTTTGCTTCCTCTGAGGAATTACCAATCCATGACTCAGCATCGCCCACACTGAAATTTTGATGTTGTAATAATTCCAGTTGTAAAAGCCTCACAGAACGGGCCGTAGATGCGTGTTATTGCTTGCTGACCTTGTTCTAATGAGTGGCAGGAAAAAATCACTTTACAATTTCGCAGTATTGATCCGCCATTACTTACACAGAACAAGCTTACAAGATACAGTCGACACGGGTTGAGCCGGTTGCTGAAAAGACGGAAATAATTGTGTCATTTCTAGTCTCTGTTTTCATAAAACCTCGAGGCTGAAATGTCAAGAACGCTATTAATTTTTCCCTGACTCTCAAACACAATAAAAATGGAAGGCAGCCTCTCATGAAATAAGCACTTCATTATACAAAGGCTGTGCTAAACAGAGAGATATTTAGATGAGCTGTTAGTGTGACATTTGAAGAACCATAACTGAAGCCGTTTTGTGTGTTATGAACTCAGATGAAGTGTTAGGACTGTTGTGTGAGAATTGGCCGCTCAAAAAACAGAGCGGCGTTTGACATTCTCAGTCGGTAGAAATAAACACTCAGACTGACCTGAGAGAGCGAGTGCGGCTTTCAGACACTCAGAGCGGGAGAGGGGGAGGGGAAGGGGAGGGGAGCAGGGGGCAATTACAACATCATAAGAGTGAAACTGGACGTGTTCAGACCTGAAAGAGAGGAGGGAGGGAGGGAGGTGAGGGGGGAGCGTGTGTCACAACTTGACAATAGTTTGAACCATGCTGCTCTGGCCTTCAGGAATCAACGAGACAACAGCCAGTCAGAACAGTCTGAATTTTTAAGTTTGTATTTGATTAGATAGTTCAGAGACAACGTATTGAAATCGAAAAAAAGGTCAATATGCTCATTTTAAATCTGATTCCAGCAACGTGTTTCCAAAAATGTTCAGTTTAAGTATCTTATTTTTTGTCTTTACACTATTTCCAGTAAAATGTGGGCTTTAAATGCCAAGATTAAAACTCTTCACAAGAGTTATCTTAAACTGTGATGGTCTCTTAACTTAACAGATAATTTTCCGTATTCACAGAACCCAGCAGAATTAATGACATTACCTCATCTGGTTAAACTGGCTTGTAAAGTTGGAGCAATTACAGATAAGGAAAGCGAGAATCACAGGAAGATGCCATTTGACTCATTACGGTAAATTCACGTCTAGACTCTTAATTTCAACTCACATACAGAAACACTGTGTGGACTTTTGATTCCAGCTCCAGCCTTTTTTGCAGTATTCCACCCACAGCATCATTTTTACTCAGAAACACACTTTTAGTTCTTTCCTCCATGAGCAGATGTATCCTGTCGAGACACAGACTTCGCTTCTGTGTATCCTCAAAGAACAGATAGTAGCCGTTGCTGCAAACCGCACGCTGTCACTCAGGAGCTTATTATCAGCTTCTGCTGAGCATGGACCAGTTCAGGGTTGACATGATGTATATGACTGGAAACATACGCATGATTCCATGTTATAAGCATAGATACCTGAGCGAGTCACACTAATCAGTTCTGTTTTTGTATAAAGACAAACATAAGATACATAATCGTGTTCCTTAAACAAAGACTGTAACCACCGTCCTGTGAGTTTGACAGTTTTGATAATTAAACTGTTATCTTTAGCCAACTGTTCTACCCCAGTTTGTTCCCCTGTTGTTAACCAAACTCTCACTGTGAAGGGATGATGGAAGTAGAAAGATGTTTGTCAATATCCAACTCCGCCGCATGTCCAGAGTCTGTGTGTCACTGCAGTGTGTCATAGTGGACACTTGAGAGTGAGGCAACCCTCCTCTGTTTTTCTCCATCACTCAGAGGGTAAAAGGGAAATCCCTCTGGAGTCCCCCAGAGTGAGAGTGGAGGAGAGTGTTTTGGGTGGCAGAGGAAATGGTTCATTATCTGACGGGACGGTGGAAAAAAACAAGAGAGGGACGACTGATTCATATATTATAATCATCTTTACAGGCCTGCAGTGGGTCGGCTGTGGTTGAGTTGATGTCATGTAAGTCGTGCTTGTGGTGTCTTTAAAAAACAGGGGGGGCTTCATTTGGCTTGTTACATTTTTATAACTTCAGTTGCTCTTCATTCCTTTTCTGCACCATATCTCAATAAGGGAGACAATTTTAGGAACGTGAATCCCTTCAGCCCTCCACCAGAAACGAGAACATATTAAATGAGCAGTAGATTTAAATCATCCCGAGGGATGGGACCTCACAGTGGGGTTTTGGCAAACTGTGCTGGTGGAAAAACAAACTGTTTTTAAACAGGCCGAGCCAAACGAAGGCCAGAGATAGTTTATGTGCAATTATTCAGCCGAGGCTGTGGGTATCCAAAAAACGGAGGATTTTCCAAAGCGACAAATTTCGTCTTCATTGGAACAGAAACTTTGAGACGACCTTTTACCCTCAGTTTCACCTTTTATTTTTCAGTCTTGGACAGCGATATTGTAACTCTGTGTGATTTTCAGCTCAAAATCTCTTTCTTTCTCTTATCCTGGCTCAGCTATTGTCTACAATGCTTCATTTTGGCAGCTGTTCTAGTGATATTCAGCATGTGGATGTTACTTTTTACACAGGTTGGTCATTGTAAAGCGATCCAAAAGTTATGCAGTCACAGAAAAGCACAATATACTGTAGCTACTGTTTCAATTTTACTCACAGTTTGTCGTTCTGAGCTTTTTATAGAGGGTTTTTATTGATGGAGCAGCCCCAGATTTCAGTCACAGTTCAAGAACAGTTCATACTGGCCTTTGTTTACAGTGGCGTTGACAGTGAAATGGTGAATGTTAACATCTATGATACGGTCATGGTCACAAAAAGTACGGACTTTCAACAGTTTTCAGGCGTTGTCTCTGGGAAGTAACTGTTTTTCTCATTTTTTTAACTCAAGGTCAGATATTTTTGGACCAAATGGATTAGTTTACCTCCAACACCGTCCCCCACAGAGCTGAGCTGATCGTACTTCAAACAGCATATTAGTAATACATATAGATAGATACTGATTCATCTCATGTCATGTTTGCAGCTGCAGCAGCAAAGCACACTGCTGTCACTCAGCTTCTTATCAACTTTTATGAAAGGATTAGTAATTCAGTTGACATGGCGTAACATCATGTGCTGCATCCGTGGTTCCATATTTAAGTATTAGCATAAATCCCTGCTAGGAACCGAGGAGTATCTGTATGCATAAGAGCTGCATGCACCGTGTGCTAAATTTGTTTTTTAATATGTTGTTTAGTTCGCATAATGTAAACGTGCATGGCTTCGCATTCTGGGAACTGTTAGATAAACAATATCAAACGTGTTGCAAGAGGTTTCTGTCACGGTGGAAATAGTCGTGTGAGGAAAATGTGTAGTAATCCCTCCGCTCTGACGGATACCCACTGTGGTACCTCAAAGCGGAGCAGCTAATCTCTGTTTCCTGTCAAACTCATGGACCAAAGATAGAAAACTGAGCTGAAGTTCAGCTAACAGCAGATCAACTTTTTCCTGCTGGGAGGAAGCCCCCTGAGGTCAAATCACCAAGTTGTGCAAAACATCCTCCCTCATCCCACAACCTCTTCCACATCCTCTCCTCTAAATCACGCAGATATTAGAGCGGCGCAGCGGCCTGAAGCCTCAAGTGTCCTTGAGCAAGTTGCTGATTGCTCCCAGGGTTTCACTTCTGAAATTAACTTTAAGGCGCAATTCACTAGAGATGTTTGATAAATCAGCTCTTCAGGTGGCGTAGTCAAGGCCGTAGAAGGGGGAGTTTTTTTCTCATCGCTGCTCTAACAGACGCCTTGAATCATGAGGTCAAAAAACAGAAAAATTCCTCACATGAAGATATTTGAAAATGAGCGTCCACGACCGACAAATTCCTCGATAATTGGGTCGAAAATATGTAAAAGGAAGAGCCTCCAAGATTTATTATAAACGGAGACAAACAAGCTCCCATAAACAGTTTATATTAAGTTTATATCTGATGATTTTTCATGTATTTTGCCAAAGCAGCCATTTATGGTTTTTACAAGCTGTAAAGGGACGCTCAATGACAAAGCCCCCCTGTTTGGATTTTGTCATTGACTCAAATAGGATAGAGCAATCTTCATGTTAAATGTCTGTGGTTCAAATATCTTTACAACATAACTCGGTGTAATTTCTATGAGAAAAGCCTGGGGGCAAATGAAGCAGTTTAAAAGCTATTACCAAAGAAATGTGCCTTTATTACTGCCTACTGATTTGACTAAAGTTAAGCTGTAAAAGCACAGCAGACAAGAAACTCACTCTCTCGCCTCCACCCAAGTGTTGCAAGCAGCCTTTCTAATCTGCTTCTTGTTCTGACTGGCTAACTTCCCCCAAAGCTACACTTTTCTGTGTGTTGACCTGGTGACCTCTTTCTCTAAGGTTGCTTTCCCGACATATGATCTACCAGCACCTCGAGTTCATCAGCTGGTGGACAGAAGATCATCTCAGAAAGATCCCTGAAGCAGTTTTCATTGAACCTACCACCTATAAACTAAGCATAATAGCTTAAATGCAACAATAGGATTAAATAATGCATCAAAAATGTGATTTTACTGCCATGAAGTGTTGACATTCAGCTGTTATACTCTCCAGATGACTCCTGGATCTCAGCTGAGAACTTAATTATCTTTTTCTTAAAGCACATATTTTTGGAAAAGACAAAATCTGGCATGAGCAGGGCTGACAAAAGCCAGTCTTCTTTCGCTAAATGCTGCAGCTAAAGTGAGACAATCCTTCATTTTCTCAGACGTGGAAAAATTTATGCTCCAAATCTTTCCTAAATTGTTGTAATTTCCTGTCCAGGTTTGCCAATCAGCGGTGTCCTGCTTACCCGCAGCTAGAAACAATAATGAAGACACTGCGTCACTGTTCAAACAAAGTCATTTCTCCTAAACTAGCTCTCCCACCCTGCATGGTCTTTAACCCGACACAAAAGCTAAAAATTTTATGATTAATACTTTGCAAACATTCGCCCACCTTATTGTGGTAACTTCTCAACTTCGGCAAACACCTAAAACAAGTCTTAAGGCCGTATTTTCTGGAAAGAAACCCGGCTCTCATAGTTGGCTTTAGATATTCTGGCACTCCTCAGCAAAGTCATCTTCATGTTCTTCAACACAGATTCAACACACGGCAGCAGCAGCTTCCTTCCTCTGATCTAATGAAAACACAAAAGGACACAAGATTATGCAATTAGAGCGACAGAGTTAATTAATCAACTAATCAATTAGATGGACTAAATCCAGTTAGAGCCGATGTGTTCCTGATGTCTGGCCGGTCAGTTGTATGTAATTGTTTATTGCTGAAGCATTAATCGAAAGAAAAGAGGCAGGATATGTTGTAAATTACAGGTAATTAGAGAGGATAATTACATTTTTGTCAAAATCTAGTCAAAAGACGTGTGCTGCTTTCAGCGGCACGAGTTCAGGACTTTGGTCTCCTCGTGATGCAGCAACATGTAAATGAGCAGAGGCGGCCAAGAGTGAGTCCCATCCTATGCCCACTCTGTAGTTGGTAGATCCTCTTTCAGCCTTTACGAAATTTACATTCGTCAGTCAACAGTGGATCGAAACGAAAGAAACAACTTGTTATAACATCTGATGAAAGCTGCCAAACCAAGATAAAGGATGCTGTTTGGAGCTCATGTCACGAGGTCTCGGTTTAAAACTCCAAGTCCTTCTTTCAGCTATGGAAATGATTTAATTTTGATTGGTTTCAAAACAAATTGAAATAAAAAAAACAACGATAAAGTTCCTTACTGAAGCTTTAAGAGGAGAATATCTTAAATTTCAGATCTAATGGAAAAGTACCTTTGAAAACATCATACACTCTATTGGTTTATTATTCTGTGTCATACTTGATAAGTGTGGTTTTAAGCTCATTTTTTAATCATGTCAAGAAGTGAGTGCAGCGTTGGCGTGATCCAAAAAACAGAGGCGAAGGAAATTGAGTTTTCAGATTCATGCAAGTGCGTCAAGACTTCTCAGTTAGAGCAAACAAAGTCATGTCTCAAAAATAAAAACTCTTATTGCAAAGAAGTAAATAAATAAATAAATAACCCATAAAGTTCCTCACTGGAGCTTTAAGAAGAGAGATTCTCAATTTCAGATCTGATGAAGGGGAAAAGTACCTTTCAAATACACTATACACTCTACTGGTTTATTTTTCAGTGTCAAACTTGATAAGTGTGGTTTCAAGCTTATTTTCTAATCATGTCAACAAGTGAGTGCAATGTTGGCGTGATCCAAAAAACAGAGGTGAAGGAAATTTGAAATTTCAGATTCATGCAAGTGCGTCAAGACCTTAAGAGTGAAAAACTCAGAGTCATGTCTGAAAAACAAAAACTCTTTTTGCAAATAAGTAAATAAATAAATAAATAACCCATAAAGTTCCTCACTGGAGCTTTAAGAAGAGAGAATCTCAATTTTCAGATCTAATGTAGGGGAAAAGTACCTTTGAAAACATCATACACTCTATTGGTTTATTATTCAGTGTCATACTTGATAAGTGTGGTTTCAAGCTCATTTTTTAATCATGTCAAGAAGTGAGTGCAGCGTTGGCGTGATCCAAAAAACAGGAGAAATTTGAGATTTCAGATTCATGCAAGTGCGTCAAGACCTTAAGAGTGAGAACACTCAAAGTCATGTCTGAAAAACAAAAACTCTTATGGCAAAGAAGTTTAATTGACTAAAACATCAAAGTTCTGACGCAGTCTAACTGAATTTTTACCAAAGAGGGACACATCAGCTCTCACAGCTTGCTATCATCAATCAGCAGGAGGAAGCCAAGCTGTCCTTCACAGAGGAAAACTTAAGGGCTGAAATAAATACTAATTTAGCTATATTTGTTTATGTTTTTTAGCAGAGGCAAGACCTGTGACTCAGCTGAAAGACACGCACAGACAGGAAGTGTTTATTACATAACTTCATCGAAACAGTCAAATAAGAGACAGATGCTACTCTAGAGACAAACGTTTGCATTTGATTGAATCTAAACTCACTCGCCTGCTTATACTGCAGCACAGTGAGTGAGTGCTTACATTTAAACAGCGATAAATATCCACACAGATTGTATGACAGTGTTATGAACTAAGCAGGCGAAGGCAGGTGTATCTGTATATGTCTGAAAAGCCAAAGGACAGACAAAGCATGCAAAAAAGCGTGAGACATCGCTCTGAATCATAATCCAGTACAAACTCAAGTCTTAATGTTATAAAGGATCTTCAAAAGACTGAATTAATTCATCTGCAGCCCTGTGATTATAAAAAGTCAAAGATGAATCAAGTCTCATTCACAAAGCCCCTGTAGAGAGTTTTTCCACGTTAATGAAATAGACTGATATTTGTATATTTCAGAAAAAGTAGGCAAACTTTAAGTGAGCTTTCTGAGACCGTCCCTATCTTCAGCTTCTTCTAGCAGAGCAAGGTGCAAAGTTTGAAATCAGATAAGATGACTTTCACACCTCTGCCTTGGCAGGCAGGCTTCTCATCTGAACCTGTGATGATGATAAGATAGCGAGGGTGAACCAGGCTGTTTATCTTCATCTCTATAGGTTTTAATCTTTAAGTAATTTTATACATATTTGTGAATCCACATAATAGAAATTAGGGTCGCAAAAGAGTAAGTGTGATGAAATCTTCTTTTAAATGACTGTCACTTGTAGATTTATAAATACATTTGTGGTCTGAAACCATGGCTGAGAGGCAGGAAACAGCTTCAGGGTGCTTTTTCTGTGACAAACAGAATTAGCATGTTGACAATGATCACGTGTCTGTTGTCACCCATTTAAGCAGGCGCTGCTTACAGGTCCACAGGTTCCATTTGACACGAATATCTTGTTACTTTTGACTTGACAGCTAAACCAACTGGATGTTTTTACAGTAAGATAATAGTACCATTAAAAAGAGCAGTGGATGGATGCAAGAAGAAACTGCAGCAGCTTACCTATAGTGTCCTTGCAAGGTCAAAATTTATGCAAAACTTACCAAATCACAAATCAGCTCGAGCTGATAATCGTAGAAAGTCTTTAAAATCATAGAACTACTTTAGTTTGACTACTTAAATTCAGATCCCTAATGTTTATCTTATCTTAATGATTTTATGTGGGATTTAGGACCAAACCACATGGTAGTAGTTATGGCATCCCAGGCAGGTGCAAAGTCCCAATGCACCTAGATACCTGATGATAGTGGAAGAAGCTACACATCTACATTCAAACTGCACAATGCTAAATGCAGTAGAAGTCTTCATGCAGGGAAACAGTTTAAAGTTTTCTCCCCCAAAAATGGACTGTATCTGAAATAGGTACAATCATCGACAGCCCCTGTTTGATACTAGTAGTTTAAATTTTACTTTACTGAGCAAAAAGTACAAAAGGTTTCCGTTTTGACTTTTTACAAACCAACTATGCTTTCTCTAAATAAGTTTGAGGTTAAGTTGCTTTTCCAGACAAAGAAAACTCTTTGTTAATCAATTAAACCACAACAGAACAAAAGTAAAACCAGTGAGCAGTGTGAGACAAAAACATATTTCCTGTTCACAGACAGCAAACTTCACTTTAGGGTCGCTAAGAATAAACAACGAACATACGCAGTGTTGAAATGACAGAAAAGAAAATGTGACAAACCGCCCCTCTTAACGTGACTTTGGAGAGAAACAACTCCAGTCAAAGTTCAAGTGAAACACACGTCTTGTTGAAAGATTTGCCTCTGCCCTCCACATCTGGAAGCCATCCACAAACTGTGTGTGTGCTGAAAGAAAAAAAGTTACCGAGCAGGTCGGACTGAATTTTTGTTAGATGAGATGTTTATTTACACAAGCAATAAAAGACACACATGCACACCCGTGTGCTCAGTGCATTCACTTTCATTTACAGTACTTTAATAACAGACACGTCAAGGTAGGTAGCATTCTGTTTCCACACGGGTACATGTCAGTGCTGTCTGTCTCTCTCTCTCTCACACACACACACGTACAGGAAATTGCACCTCTTGTAGGCACTTGGACAAAAGCGTTTATCCAGGAATTTTATATTAGCAAAAAACACATGTTCACAAAAACACAACACACACACACACACACACACATACAGAACCAAAGCTCACATAACACACACGCAAACTCCACAGGACGTATAAGTGACCGTCGTAAACACTGACAATTTTGATGCTGAGCTTACAAGCAACAACAGACCGACAACAGAGGCAATAAACTGCCGTTCTCACAGCAAGATAACCAAACGACATCCTCACTCACACACACTTTTTTTTTTAACACATTCAAATAAATGGTTGCAGCCCGATCGTTAACCCGATGTTCACACACTTTCTGGTATTTTACATGACAGAGCTGAGAACCTTTTCTCTTATTTAACAAGCTTTCAGTTAAACGAAACTCCTGCCATTACGTAACCCCGCTCACCATGGAAAGATTTTCTATTTCGAGAGATTTACGACCGGAGATCCTGCTAATCTCAAGTAGCTTATTTTCTTGCCAAACACTTGAGCCCTGACAGAGTTTGATCCATTATGACAAAGAGATGTTGTAACAGTAACAATTCCCTGTGGTTTTGTGTTATTTAACACCGTATGATGCGACATGTGCGACTTTTTACCAGCCCGTATTTTCCAGGAAAGTCATTGATCGTCTTAAGCTCATTGGACGCACTGATGACTTGTGTTTGTGGGCGGATATTTTTCAAAGTGACTGGTGAAGTCTAATGCAGGGGAACTTTTTTGTCATTAGTTTTTAATCAGAGGACTTGAAAGCATTTCCCCGTCAAACTTCATTCAACAACATGAACGTGCGATCATGACGATTCCCATGAAAAAGGACGTGCTCCTCCCCGCATAAAGGATGTCCTCAAAAGAAACATTCAAAATAACCTAAACACTTCAAGATGCCCTCTTTTAAACCCAGCTGAAATGGCACTTAAGTCATGAAGTTAATGGAACTATCCCTTCATAGTTTCCAGACAAGTTTTAGACATCACGCCCAACACAGTATCCAGCATGAGAAAGCGAGATAAAGGGGAAACTTGTCAGTTTACTTTGTTTCTGAGAGCTGGTGTACGGCACAGATTTTCAGCACATTATGGTACATTTTAAAGGTAATAAAGGAGTTAAGTCAACAACTTTTAGCTGAGTATATGATTTATATTGTAAATGAATCTTTGCTCATCAAGCCAATGGGGATTTTAAGCTCTTAACTTGCTTATGCCAATTATAACCCAGCTGTAGAAAAGACATGTTTCTAATTGGCCAAAATCCCATAACCATGGCGATTAATTCTCAAATGCAAAAGCGACACTAAAGACAATTAAATTGCACGCCTCGAGTCTGATTGGTCTGCATGTTGACCTTGTGCTACCTCGTCACAGATGTAGTTTGTCATGGCCGCCAGTGCAGCCGCCGTTAACTCAGCAGGACCTTGGATAAAACCACCAATGTTCCAACTGAGAGGTGACCTACTGCGAAAATGAGCCACAGCTGCGCTTTCTAGGCAAATCAGTCACAGGTGGTTGTTTGGTACCTCATAATGATCAAAGTTTCTGTTGGCACATGGACCGCAAACTGCACGTGGTGAAAACAAAAGAGAAGTACGGGGATGTTTTGGATTGATCAGACAGGAAGTTGGTTTAAAATTTGGTCACACTAAGAGACTCCGAAAATCAGACTCTGTCTTATGTACTGGTGTGGTTTACACTCTGGCTTCACAAATCTAATTGAGTTAATTTGGTGTGACAGGAGGTAGCTTGTTCCTTTAAAAAGTACCATCATTTGCGATCAATCTGTGCCGTCACTGTTTTGGTGTTTCATAAAGACGATTATGAAAGAAAACTATCTGGGTTGTGCATGAAACAAAAAAAAAAAGGAAGTTTTGAAGTCAGATGGTCACTGTGGTCTCGTATCAGGAACTCTCCTTTAGATATGGTTATAATAATTCATATGCTTCATACTGTACATGAACACATGAATTCGATATTGTCGCTACAGCTCAAATAACCTCTCCTGTGTTTATCACCCACTCCCTGAGTGAAGTGTTGACTATCCTCTCTCCGGGCTTGTTGCCTTTTGACCTCCAGCAGGAATCTGTTTGGTATGTGAGGGAAAGGTTCACCGGGGTTCAGGTGGGGGGTTTAGAAGCCCAGAGGTGATAATGCTCTTCAGATGAGGACACATAAAAGAAAAAAGTCTGACCTCTGGCATCTTCAGTATGTTGCTTTCTGTCCTCGTCCAAGCTTGAGATATTTTAGATTCAATTTGATGCAGAAGGAAACACTCAGTGTATCCATTTCAAACTATACAGATACTATAAGTGGCATCTTTCTTTTGCCATCCATTCAGCAGCTTTCTTTAATTTAACTTGTTAATGGCAAGAAATATAAGCAGCAAAGACAGCAAAATGTTGAGCTTTTACACTTAGAATAAGGCTCCAGAGAAGTCTGTATGCATTCAACATGCATCAACTTAGTTGAAATGCGAGTAGAAGGTTTCAATCCCCTGTGAATGGCAAGAACTCTGACCCCAAAGATGGTAGTTAGATTTGAGTGACAGGAACCGCCATTTTTAAAACAAAAACTCTCAGAAATAAAGAGATGTTTAAGTCCACAACACCTCTGTTTCATGAGATCACAGAGGAAAACACCTCCTCCAATCTGGAGTCCAATAAATACAATTCTTAGAATATAAATACTGTTACGGTCATACAGCTTCAGCAGTCTGGAAATTATCTGTGTACTGCCACGTCGGGCAGGTTAGTTCAACGTTCGGTTGAGCGTTCTCTTTAGCTATTGAAGTTTTAAACACAGAACCCCTGGAGGCCCCAAAGGGAAATCGGCAAACTGAGCCCCAGAAAAAGTGCAGCACACTGGGGGAAAGGAGGATGAAGACCCAGGGGTCAATGATGGAGTTGACAGAGATGAAGCGTAGGGCGACCAAGTCCTGTAGGTGGAACTCATCATTCCTCAATGAATTGATGTAGACCCGGATCTGAAAAATAGAGGGGAGGGAAAAGAGAGAAAATGTGTGTTAGATTGGTGTTTTTCTTCTTCTAAAACCACCAATGACAGGCATTAAGGATGGAGAAAATCCTGTAAAAAAAAAAAAAACAGTCCTCCTCACCCGCAGGCACTCAGGCCCTAACTGATTTATAATAAAAAATAATGGAAAAAGAGGATCTAGCAGCAGTGAAGGTGTACTCTGGCTCTTTGTCCAAATATGTATTTTCCCACACTCACAGTAAATAACACTTTTTCAGTCTGTCGCAGTTTTATCCTCTTTCATACAGGAAGCACAACCACTCAGTCCTCAGGATGTTTGCAGAGTCCTAATTCAACGAGGATATTCCAATTACTCTGAATCAGCTTGTTTGCTTTTCAGACGGGCCGCCGAGGCAAACACAGGCACGCCATAAATTATTGAGACCGAACATTTGTGTATTTAGTGGTTTTAGGAGAAGCTAAGAGGCAGATGTTGAATGCAGAGGCAGAGCAAAATCAAGATTCCCATGCTGATATCCAGTTGAAGTGGTTTACTCATAGTGTGAGAGAGGGATCATAAAAGGTTCTTTGTTGAAACACCAGGGTTGTATTCTCAAAGCTTCTCTATATCCTCCTGCAGAGTAACGACACTGGTATTTGCTTTTAAAATACATGATAAGGTGAAAACATGCTACTTACAGCAACCAGGTAATGATTAATATGTGCTGCTCACTATTAAGTTTTATCACCTTTTTCCCTCAAGAGGAGTCGCCAAGTTTAGACATGAAGACATTTACAGCCAAGAGTGGATTTGTGCAGGGACTAAACCTCTTATGCTGCGTTCGAGTTACCTCGGAAGTCAGATGTCTGAGCTGGGAATGACGTCACACCTGAGTTACTGTTGTTTCAGTAACCAAGTCAGAGAAAAGCAAAATCGGAGGTGGAAACAAGATGTTGCAGAAGGACCGCATATTTGTCCAGAAGTTGCTCTCATTCGGACAAGGCGAGCGCTAAAATAACTTTCGTAGATTTAGCCTTTTTGTTTCCGCCTTCAATTTTGTTTTTTCCGACTTGGTAACCAAAACAACAGTAACTCGGTTGCGACGTCATTCCCAGCTCGGACATCTGACTTCCGAGGTAACTTGAACACAGTGTAAAGGTCCTTACACACCGGGGCCGACGCGAATATAGAACACGAAATTACGAAATATTCAGAGGCAAATTTTGACATGCCTGACTATACACATCAAGCCCGACTTTCACGGGGGGAAAAAAGACGCATCCCACGGAAGACTTTTCCCAGGAAAAGTCCCGCCTCCTTCGTCTCTGATTGGCTAGAAAAGCTGGAAACGTCACACACTCAAGCCAAACGGTCAGCACTCATCAGAGGCGATAAGATAAGCACATGAAACTATGGTAACAACCGTTAGCCTACGTTAGCACAGATGAAAGTTAAAACAAAGACGTTTAGCAAACTGTTAAAGCACACAAACCATCGTCATATGAGAGATCCGACGCTATGTTGTCCTTCAGGTCGTTATTTTTGTAATATTTGTGTCTTTTATCAAAAAGCACTCTGTTCTCCGACACGTAAACAATCAGCCGGTTGGCCATGTTGGATATACCGGTGAATCAGACGTCACAACAACACGAAATCTGATTGGTCAGAAGTGGACACACAGTATGCAAAACTTTAGAAAAATCGACCATGATCCGAAAAAATAAATGCTGCAATATCGCAGGACGGGAAAACGTTGCTGATGTGAACGTTTGTATTGACAGGATACGGGTTCGAAAAAAAATATTGACGTCCGAAATAATTGCACGACAAAAACGGTGTGAAAGGACCTTTACTCTCAGGAATAAGAAGTTTACAGTGAATAGGTGTTTGTGCATATTAGAGTCGTAACAGGGTGAGCAAGACCCTTATATGAAGCCATGGGGTCTAGTTCACCCTGATTTTAGACTGATTTTATTTCGTGCTGTTTTCTATTTAATTTTTTTTTTCTTCCTCAATTTTTACACACTGTACCTTTAAATTTAAACAAAAACAGTTACAGGATTTTACCCTCATAAATCAGAGCGTTGGGGGTCTGTTTTCAACCTTAGTACTCCCTGTCTCTGCACCTTCAGCTAAAGTTAAAGGGAGGCTTAAAACCTGTGATCCACCTCACTGTACAGCACACACAGACACTGTTCCATGATATCATCGACAGGTCAGATCAATAAGTACCACATTAAAAAGTCTTTGACCTTTCCTAATGGGAACAGCTTTGGAGTACGCCCGTTTGATCAGCACTGTGGGGGCTGGTTAAAGTCTGCTGCTGAAATCAGCTACTGCAGCACTGGCTTAAGTGGAAAGCAGTAAATTCCCCAAGCTGATGCCCACAGGCTCGGGAAACAGCACAATAATACAATCCAGGGAAGCTATGACCGGCTCACAGGTTTAAAAACTCCTGCAGCTGCTCTCTCCCGGGGACACACACGAACAATATCCAGTAAAACATGAATGCAGAAGTGAACAGGTTGTAAAGTAAATTTATGCACCGCTTCTTGTATTCTTCTTTCAGAGTTTTTCCACCCTCGCCCACCGTTTTCTCTTGTTTTTCTCATCTCTGTCCCTCCAAGTTTTTCCTATCTCCCCCATAAAAAAGTTGTACTCTAAACTGACTCAGGTTTCACTCCCGTAAAAGCTCCCTGCTTCCTCAGAGAGCGATGCTTACACTAACATTGTCGCGCCAGTCTCATTAAGCCAATTTCCTGTTGCTAAGTCACACAACCATGCAGCTTTATTGCTGCATGAGGTCTAATTGGCTATCTTGAAGCGCAGTTGTCTCTCCTAACAAACACACAGCTGCAGATGGCAATCAGGCAACTGTTTTTAAAGAATAGTTGAAACTTTTTCTTCTCTTAGGCTGGAGAAAAATAGTTACATAACATGTTTAGGAAATTTTATAACACTGCAGAAACAGAATCTGAATGCAGATCAAAAACACCAATGACGCAAAAGAAATTTGTGAGGTATTGACTGTTTTTAAAATGTAGAGGAGCTCCACGCTAACCCCAAAGTCCGTCTAAACAAATCCACATGGGATCATAACCATGATTAGTGACAGGCCTCGCAGTGTGTTAGAGACAGAAACCGATGGGGAGAAGGTTAGAGAGCGTGAGCCTGATTTTCTTAGTTCAGCCAGGCTCGGCACTGTGAGCCCATTTTCTCCAGCTCCCCTGGAACCGAGGAGAAAGAGTCGTAAAACAGGTAATGTGGAGTGTCAGCAAGGACAAAACGGTGTAATTTTCCAGATGTGATAATCTAGCTCCCGAGTATTTGTTGTTTTCTGTTGATGATAAATGAGAGTTAATATTCGAAGTATGTTAAGAGACTTGCGGGTTGGCTTGTGAAGTCGTGAGATTAAATTGAACAGTTTGTGTTTGCAGAGTTCGGCCAAAATTCAAGCATTTGGAACCAAAACTTTACTAGTCACAGGGCTCCAAACTATAATTGTTTTACGAGTGTGTAAATAGGAAGTTTGTGGGGAAACGTTAGAGCAAGTGGCCAAATCTGGCAGCGACTCACTGAGTATTTACTGTGTCCCAAAATGAAGCGGTTTAACAGATTATTTCTACAAGCAAAACAAGGAGGGAGGAAAGACCACTGACTGGGTAAGAGAGCCACAAGAGGTTTCACAGACTGTGGAGCCAAAACATCCAGAGCTCCTTCTACTGGCAGAGTAAAGGAGATCACTTTCAACCCGTCAAATGTCCTATTCTGGAGTATCTCAGATGTTAAATGTTGACTAGAGAGGAAAATGAGTGTTTTCAGGAGTGAAAGGTCAGTCTCATGGCTCCAACCTGCCAGATGGCACCTCTGCACATGTCCTTGGTTGGACTTGTGCAATATGTTAGTCACATTAAGGTAGAATTCCCATCTCACAACAGGAGGAGCATGAAGGCGTGGTGTCCATGTTAATAAATAGCTCCTACTTGTACACCACAGATGATGAAGGAAACTGATCTTCACATTATATCCAAAAAATAAGGCGAAAACACCACTGAATTAAATAAAGTTAGTAACGTATCTCATAAGACTAAAAGCCATCATGATATCCGTCCATTTGCTGGGTGTTTACTTTTGATGTTGTCGGCTGAAAGCTAAAAGCTAAATGGTTGATGGTACTAATGAATGAGAGTCTCTTATCCACTTTATAAGTTGAGTGGATATGTGTTGTATTTGGTACTGGGGGAATTCAACTATATGGATTATTGCTTGAAAGAGAAAGAAAATGAGAGGACGAATTGGAGAAGAGTGGCTTTATCAAAGTGAAAGAGGAGCTTGCAGTGCTATCATCCTAATCCCAGATCACAGTAATGAGGAACACTAAAAATGGAAATCCAATCTGGGGATTTTCTACAGCTATTACAATGCAGGGTTAGATTTGAAAACTAGACACAGACATGTCGTACCAAATAAAAACAGAGTTGAAAAGTTGGTCTTCAGTCCTGATTTAAATTCTACTTCTGTACTGCTGTGTTATATTTCTATCCGTCTCTGCCCATGCCTTCTGCTCCATCAATTTGTTTTCTGGACCAGCGGGCTATTGTCTGCCCTTTTCAATTTTTAATGCAATCCCCAATAACCTGAAGGACCTCACACACACACAGTCACATCATCAGTGTACAGTTTCATATTGGCAAAAAACTGTAATACGATCTTTCTTCATGTGTGTCTGTGTGTGTGTGTGTGTGTGTGTGTGTGTGTGTGTGTGTGTGTGTGGAGCATCCCGACCTCAGACTGTGGTGTCACATCGCTGTTTGGACACCCATGTGTGTTAATATAAAACTCTTCATTAATAATGAATCTGTACTCATGTTAAGCCATTCAGTGTGTTGCACTGTAAACTGCTAATTTGAGATACCAGATGTCAAGTTCTTTGAATGCATCCACACCTAATCTCTTTGCTGACACCAGCTTTCAAAACAATCCCAATATCATGTTAAGACTTTAGTTGGCTGTGTCCTCTAAGACGCTGAAGACAGTTGACACAAGTCAGTTGAGTTTTAAACAAGCCATAGGGATGTGCCTGATATGCAGATTAATCATTTAAATGTCATCACTGTGTCATCTGTTATATCTGCTAGTTAAGGGTTGCATCTGAACTGTCATGCAGCCTCCCGCTACTAGCTGTGCTGTAGACCCTGCTAATGGCCCTAGATTCAGCGCTCTTCAGAGTTTTTGTTTGCGTTTACCCTTTGGAAGAATCAAGTTGGAAGAAAGTGATATTAAATGTGATAACGTTGGCTAGGGTGGCTTTGAAGAATTCTAATAAAGAGAGCGAAACTTGCTAAACACAGCGTAGTGACATCCAAGATTGGTAACCAAACAGTGAACCATCCTGGAAAAGACAGAGTTTGTCTACAAAAGTACGTCTGCTGTCTAGGTGCAGCTAAAAAACTATAATGTCTAGAAAAAGTTTATTTTTTCCCTATAATTTCATTCAAACCAGTGTTGTTTTCATTGACGATGACGTTAATGAAAATATTTCGTCAACGTCATCGTCAACAAAAACAACACTGCAGAATATATGTTTAGCGTTTGACTGACGAAATGCTCATGAATTTTGCAACTCTGTTCGTCGTCCACCACTAACGTTCTCGTCTCGTCACGTCAACGTAAACGCACATTCGTCTCGTCACATTTTAGTCATTTAAGACTTTAGTTTAGATGTTTAGCTCGTCAACGTCATGTCTTCGTCGGGGAAAAAAAGAGGCATTGACGAAAACAACAGTGGTTCAAACAGGGAAACATCTGCAAAGTTTTACGGATTTCCTTTTTCCATCAGTACCTAGCATCTGCCCACAGCGCCTAAACTACCAAAACCCAGTTTGCTTACTGTGGTATCACCGTGCTTGATTGGCCTGACCTGAACCCCAAAGAGAATCTTGAAATATTTCATTTGTGTGCGATGAATTCAGCGTAGGTGTAAGAATTAAATTACCTGAATGTACATTTTAGACATCTCTTTAGACAAAAAAAAAGGTCCTTTAAGGATGAAACACAGGCCCTACGTTGTCTTTGGCACCAGAACTCTTGACTGATAGATCACCAGCTGAAAATGTTGGCTGCCTTCAGGAGAGAAGACAGCTTTTACCTTTGGTGCATTTTTCATGTAAAGAATGGGGAAGGAAATTCAAGATGAAGGTGGATGTTACTTCAAAATAAGAGGCCAAATTACCCCCTGAGTTATAACTGAGTGTGTGTTTTGAGTGATGTATGGTAAAAGGTTTTCTTCATATTTTGCTGGCAGCAAATGGAAATGTCAGCCAATAGGTTAAAGTGGCCATTCTGCAGAAATATGAGAAGTAGTGACAGACACAAGTAAGTGATTGACCAGTATATGAAGCGCGGCACTCACATAATAAGACGTATCCATCAAATGTGGCTGAAAGTAATGTGCATATCACTTTTCTCTGCTGTGGTGATGGTCTGTAGTGACTACAACTGGACATCTGATACAAAAATAGTGAGCCAGGGTAGCAGCTGGACATGAAAACCATTATATACTTATCAACTAAATTTCTACTTTTTATTTTTGGCGTCATATTGCAATAATAATGGTTGCTGCCTTGACTGTGTGACTGGAGAATTAATGGACTGTTTCAGCTTATTTTGACGTTTACTCAGCCTTACATATTAACTTGTTTTTGACCTGATGATACCACAGGAGGGATCGTGTGCAGCCTAATTTGTTTTTCTGTCCTTTAGTCTCTTGTTCATCTACCTAACCTGCCTCCTGTTCTGTCCTTGATGAGCTTCACTGTACCAGTCATCTATTTAATCCACCGTCCTGGAGGAGGTCAGTGCGGGAAGCTGATATCAGTGCCCTTTACCTGTCATGAGCAGTAAACACCTGGTACACAGTGTACAGTGTACAGCGGAGAGCGGCTCATTGGTGATGAAATTTGATCAAACAAACTTTATGTGCTGCTCTTAAAAGATCATTAATAGCCGAGTTTACAGTTAACGCCCTGTGGTTGTGTCTGGCGTTGTTCGCTTGTTTGCATAGAAATTAAGTGTCAGCTGAATGTATTGTCCTCACCTCATTGGGAAGGAGTGAGTATAAAAGTTAATCACATCAGTAAATCCCCCGTCATAACAACAAACAGTAGCTGATCCTGCCTTTTAGACCTTCAGGGTTTTAGGTACTTCTTTGTTAACCCATTTTAATCCATGTTTTATCTGTTAAGGCCGAGGAGTAACATCCAGGGATCAAGAACGACCAAACTCAGAAGTGGCCGAAAAGGTGCAGTTCCTTGACTGGCCACTTGGGACCAACTCCAAAAGTGAGTCATTCCCTATTCAGTTCCATATCAAAAAGCTAAACATAACAGCATGGTTAAATCTGTTTCGAGCCCAGTGCAGAAATCAGTTTGGTCTCATTTGCCATTTCTGACAGCTGTGCAAGGAACAAATTATTTTAGCAGCTCATTTGTCGCAGTTATATTACGGCTAGATTTATATATTTTTTAGAACGTGGTCACCCTCAGTGACATTTAAGTTCTTGCCAGCTTCTCTGCTTAGTGTCTCTTCACCAGTGCAAAGCCAGGAAGTCATCAGTAAAAAGTTCAGTTTGTTTACTTTATCAAAGTTTGATATTTTGCAGCTGTATCTCCACCATTTTTCAAGCGAAAACACAAGCCTAATGGTAAGAGTTGAAATATACTTCAATAAGCTCCACTCAGTGGGAACACTGAGCTCCTCGTGTGGTCACGCTGCGCTTTCTGATGCTTCTGAGGCTATCAAATTAAGTCTGATGCTGAATTTGGCGATCGCTGCAGAGAGGTAATGTCTGCATTTTAAGCCACAGCAGTGCAGAAGACAGCACTTTGGCCCTATTACCGCTGTCTGCAAAAAAAAAAAAAACAACATCATATCTGCTGGGAAATGCATCGATTTTTCTCTAGAAATTCAAAGGAGATACTTTCAAAACTGAGGTGGAGGCAAAAAAAATAGTTTTGGAGACTTACTGTGAGAGCAAACTGTCTCGTCGCTGCTTGTTGAATCTTTTAAGGGTTGTTTTGATCTGGATCTTCACTCATAAATGATTTGATTGGCCCACGTTTCGAACTACATGTAGGTATTGAAATAGATGCTGTTCCTGGCTGCTGTTAGCATGTGTTATCACCTGCTACGGGACACATTGTTTGATTTGCCTGTGGGGGTAAATCTCATAAAAGCATGACTGCAGACTTTCATTTGTGTATTTTAAAGACATGCTAAGTGATTAATAGCTCTGTGCTCCCCTTGATTAGCCATCAGACACATGATTTATCTTGTTGTTTTTACATTTGAGCCCAAACTCATAATTACAGTCAGCGCTATCATCTCATTATGATCCGTCTAACTGACTTCCTGATGACATATCTGACAGAGCCATTTGGGGTCGTCCGAAATACAGCAATTTTTTAACCCGTTTGCAATAAATGTTCTGGATCCAGCTGCTGAAATGTGAGGATTTGTTGTCTTTTTCCTTCATATTTCAAAGTTAATTGAATATTTTGTGGCTTGATGCTGTTGGTTTGGCAAAGAGAGCAATTTTTCAACTATTTCCTATAACATTTGACTTATATAGTCCCAGTTAAGTTTGAAAATTTCACTAAATTTAACACTTCAGAGGTACACAATGTAAAACACAAGTCTTGAACAGTTCTGTAACCCTCTCTACCAAAGTGATTTCAGTGGTTAGACCTTATGTGTCAGCTTTTCCTGTGTACCATCTGATGACATTTTTACAGTAACAAATGACTGGCAAACCTCCAAAACAGGATCTTATCTATATTTACATCAGTATCTGTACACGTCTTCAGACTAATATATGCAATAGCTGTCGCTGCAACACGTTAAATTCTCCATGCACTTTGAAATAACTTTGCAAACATGTCGAAATCATCAGATGATCTGAGTGTTTCAGCAAAGAAATGTCAGCACACCTCTAAGGATGCGATGATAAGTCACTGACGAAAGCAGTGGCACATTTGTATTTAACAGTCTGTTATTACTCTGTTGCATCATTGGGTGTGTTTTTCATGCTGTTTGCAGAGCAACAATTTCCCAAAATGAAAATTGCTGAGGTGTGAGTTGTGCATGCAAAAGAGCTGAAGGGAAGTAACAAACAAAACAAAGCATAAAAGATAAATGTATCACTCTACTATCTTTATAAACACTTAGTTTTGGTCTCTCACCTTCAAACTCTTTACTCAATGTCCTCCTCTCTCTCATCGCTTTCATCTATTACTGAGCAGAACAATTTTAGCCGTCTTAAATAAACTCCAGATAGAAAATAAAATAGATTTCATTAAGAATTTTAATGGTATGTTTTAAAGTCACTTTGAATTTAAAAGCTTCTTCCTCAATAAGAGCTGTTAGGTAAAGATGTAGCTCATGATCTAATATTTTCATTGTTTCATTTATTGATGATTAATCAGCTACCAAAATAGCCATTAGAAGTTGCCCTTTCTTCAAGTCCACTGAGATGATATCTAAATTCAAGCTCCTGGTATTTAGATCCTGGCGGTATAATGGGTCGCTGTGAATGTCACTGAAAAGACCGTTTCCGATCACAGCTTGGTGCCACAACAGTTCATAGTCGATTGTGTTATATTTGAAAGGCAGAATTTCTACAAAATGCCACAAGAGCGGTGACAAAAAAACACAGAGATATTTAGGAGATAAATACACATGAGTAACAAATGAGATCTGCTCTGGGTGACATTTTAAATCTTTCTTTAAATACCACTTGGGCGTCTCAGGCACACGGCATTTGGCTATGAAGTGGTTTTAATTTTGGATTAGTGATAGATGACATTACTGAACTCAAATCAATTATTCTTGCTATTTTGATCACTTTTGGTGAGTGAGGATGTACTGAAAGAATAAACATCAATTTAAAAAAAAAGGGCTTACAAAAGGAGACAACTCACTTTGTTGTAATTCTGTAACCAAACAGACGCTCTGACTGTAAAGTGGTTTTACAGAGTTTAAAAGGGTTTTCAAGTCTTGGGCTGTAAATCACTGTGCAGATAATGAGGATAAGAAAGCAGAGCAGCGCTGCAACATCAGCAGACGCACAGGAGAGTTCACTGAGCTGTTAAATTACAGTGAGACCTGAGATCAAAACCTGTAAAGCCACTGTAGGGTAAAGATGGGGATGCTGAAAAATCTGCTAATTTTGTGTGTGTGTGTTCATCCTTTGAAATCAAAATGAAAGAAATTCTCTTATTGCATTTATATGATTTTTACAGACACTAACCCTTTTTAATGAACACTGATGTGCTTGTAGAGAACCTTGTGCGTACTCCTGCTGAGGTTTTTCAGAATTAAACTGTGTATTTCCTGGTATGTGTGCGCATATAATAGCATAACAGTAAGTTGTCTTCAGTGTTCTTACCACTAGGGGCAGTGTGCAGATCATGAAGATGATGGTCATGAACACCAGTAAGATGAGATACTCCACTTCCTCAGCCATCGACGTCGCCTTGCGTTCACTGCTTGGTCTTGTCGTCACCATCACCGAGCCGTTCCTCCTTCGACGTTGGTACATTTTGAACAGCTGGTAAACCACGAAACAGTTGCACGCCACTGTTGCTAGCACCAGCACTAGCATCAACGTAGCGTACAGGTTCGCGTAGGCACGGTGGACCGGTTCTTCCGGCTTCATGTCAATAAAGCACCATGTCCCGGGGCAGTACTGAACATAAGTACCAAATCCCGCAAAAGGGAGGAGGCAAAATAACACACAGAACAAAAATACTGATGGGATTGTGATGTAGGCACATTTTTTGGTGACGTGACGGCTGTATAGGTAGGGATACCCGATGGAAAAACCTCTCTCCAGTGCCATCATAAAGAGGAGCGACATGGTGGCCAGGCTGAAGAAGGTCATGCTGAAACCAAAGTACTTACACACACTCCTATTACGTTGTTCCATCCCCACTAAGGTAGTGTTTTGAGAATATGAATGCTGCACCAATGGACTAACAAAGCAGGTCCCCGCCAAGTCCGTCACTACTAATGTGGTGATGAGCACGTGAAACAAAGATCGACGCCTTGTGTCTCCAGACCTTATGCTTTTTCGTCGGCGAATTTCCAGGATCACCAGGGCGGCCACGTTGCCAAAGATTCCTGCTGCGAACATGATGGCACTGATTAAAGGCTTCATGCCGGGGTCGATGTGGCTCTTGGAGTGGCATAGGTCTGGCTTTTGAGCCATGGCTGTAGGCTGCAGGAATTGTGTCGGATATATATATCCTTGCTTCCAAAGAAAATGTCGAAAAAGTGTCCTTCAAAAGTTGGGTGCAACCATCCTGGAAAAAGACAAGTGAAAAAAATTAGTTTTAAAGAATTTGCTCATCTGAAGAGATAATATCAGAGAGGAAATCTGTCCAGCTTGTCACATTATCTTCACTTTGAAGATCAAACCTCCTCAGTGTATCAGCTGAGGCTTGTGCAAAAAAGACTAATTCTGACTTTCAAAAGATTTGTTTACATGCTGGTCCTCGACCCGGAGAGACCCTGCTTCAATTATGAAGAATGTTTACAAGTATTCATTCTGAGGAACTTTATCAAGAGTCAACACCAGCAAATTACAGCCAGTGTGATCACGCAGAGCACTTATTTTTTCCAAGCTCTAATCTAGCTGAACTGATTCTAGATAAAAATGGGGAACATGTTCATCCTCTCATAAAAAAGGAGATTTTGCACGCACTGAGAATTTCCATCACCTGAACTGTGCTCTAGTTGAGTTTTGGCGTTGTGAAACCATGACTTCTTCCCCTTCTGTCTCAGCCTTTTACAGATATCAGCTGACATGCTGCAGTTTTGGAAGCTGCATTTTCTCATCAAAGTTGCAATTGTGCTGAATCATAAATAAATAATCTTGTTTCCCACTTGCAGCTGTTGCCCCACTCCAAAAAAGTGAATCTCCTCACCCTTTACTCCGGTGTAAGTATAATCCTACATAATGCTGCACATCTGTTCCTGTTGCCTGGTGTTTTCATTGTGTGTGTGTGTGTGTGTGTGTGTGTGTGTGTGTGTGTGTGTGTGTCTGTGTGTGTGTGTGTAACAGTCAGATATCTGACTCACTTACTTGCACGTGTCCACTGTTGCAGTTCGGGCTCCAAATGTCACCGAATCGATGAAAAACACCAACAGCTGAGGCAATGTCCGTGCCCTGTCTCAAAAGAAGAACCAGCAGAGCTCAGCCAGATGTGTCCAGGTGTGTTATATACTGACAAAGTGAGGCTCCAGTCCGTCTGGGTACAGTTTACAACTCGTGAAATCCATTAAGACACGGTGAGGGTCTACAATTAAAACCCATCTCCAAACTGAGCGTGAGCAACGTGCTGACGGATTGGACAACAGACGAAGTTCCGTGTGACGGGGAGTTAGAATTCGGTTCTATGAATAAAATTGGTGCCAAATGAAAAGACTTACTAATGCTTTTGTTTTCCTCTGCTACAACATTAAAAAACTTCTTCATGAACCTTGGCGCAAGCGTCCCTCAGTGGGTAAAAATGCCTCGAGCACCAACTGTCACCACCGCGCGCAGTGGAAAAAGATTTGAAACACATCCAAATAAATTAAGTTCTCGCCTTTTCTTCAACTCGCTCCCCGCAGAGTTGACGTTTATTTCCGCGTTTTCCACTCTGCTTCGAGTCTTGCGGAAGAAAAAAAAATCCCTAATTTATAGTTTTGCTCGGTGAGCCGCGCGGGTTCGAGAGCGAGGTGTGGAGAGGGCGAGGCGCGCGACACTGTGATGAGGCAGGCATGAATGGACCCCGGGTACAGGGGATGATGCGGTGACGTCACGGGGCCCGGGTACACCCCCTCGGATATGAGCTCGAGCTGGCCGCATTAGTAATGTTTATGATATGAGTTATTCAGTTGTAAGAGTTTAAACACTTAATTTTTAAAGTGATACCATCAGGACAAATTGCGTGGCCAAAATATTCATGTATTTTTTTTACCTTTATATGTTTTAATGTGTAACATCAATGTGACATCAGACAGGGTAGCTGATTTATAATATACAGTATGTACAAGGCAGTCCACCCAGATTCAAAATAATGAAACAACAGCAGCAAACAAAACTTTCCACAGGCGTCCTGACAAATGATAAGACGACTTGTAGCCCACTGCCACTTTGCATGTACAGTATGTATCGTGGTTTGAACAAAGCAGCTCAAACCTCACTGCCAGGATAATCTGCAATTGTTATTCAATCCATGAAGCAATTTTACTCAAACAACATGGAAACAATCTTCTCAGTGTACACGGCACTATGCTGACTTCCTGACCTGCAAATAGCATGGCTCTAAAAATAACAAGAAAGTAAGGCTGTATGTTTGGCACTGTGTGGACAAACTCATGTCTTACTTGTTTTCTTACCGCATGAATTTAAACAAACAATTCAAAGTTGTATTTACGTATCTGTGTCACTTCACTTCAACTTTATTATGTCCCAAAGATGGGCAAATTGGGTTGCAGCACGCACAGACATTTAAAGCACTGCCATACATCATAAAAATAAATAAATGAAATAAAATTAATCGACATAAAAAACAGTTTAGGGGGTAAAAAGTATTAAAGATGATTTAGAAGGTAAAAAGAAAAGCATATGTCGGTCATACCAGATAAGATAAGATAAAATGCAGAAACAAAGTACAATGTGCGGTTTGCTTACCAATGTAGGACCCCTAGATGAAGCTTGATCTATAATAATTATAATAATAGTAATAGTAACATACACCATATGCTATCAGAAACAGTTATCTGTGTACCTTATGAACCTCTGATTGCATGTGTTTTCACTTGTCCCAATTTCTGTTAACCTTTTTTCTGTTGTGTTTAGTAAATCTATCAATCAGGGTTTATTTGTTTGTTTTTTCCAAATGATCTTCATGAATCCAGCATAAGTACTCGAACAAAGTGGATACCATAAACTTATCTAAAACAGGAAGAAACCGGAAACATCTCCAGGGACCGGATGGACAGATTAAGCTGGGGAGAAGGGAATAGAGAGGGAGGGATAAAGATATACAGTGATGGTTTTAAAGAAAAAATTTAAATACTGGCAAGAAAAAAACTATGCTCATGAAAAACATGTATGTATGTATATTGTCAGTAACAATTATAGTATGAAAAGTAGGCTGAAATCCCAAGAAGAACGAGACTTAATGGTTAACAGCTTTCTGGAGACATAGAGAGAGATAACAACTTAATGTCTGTCAGTGAAGGTAGACACCTTGGGCAGAACCACATTCACTTGTGGAAAGCTATGGATAGGCAGAATAAGAGGGGAATGAGGACAGCCAAATAAGTTAAAAACACTGATAGATAGAGCAGGTACATGGTAGCAAAGCCAACAGGATAAAAAAAAGTGAGACTTGGGTAGAAACTACAATCAGAACCAGATTAATTTGTGGCCAGCCATCTACCTTGACCAGCTGGGTGATTGCAAAACTAATAAAGCTGAACAGATAAAGTTGAGCCATACTTTTTCTTGGTTTTTGGGTGGGTGCAAACACTTCCTCTAAATGAGGATGACATCAACCTTAGAGGGGTGAGGTAACATCTGCCCGTTCTTACTGTGGCATAATAGCTTTGGATAAATGTCCTAATGTATTCAAATGATGTTGTAATTACACTTCAGCCAAACAGAGTACAGAAATAGATTAGTGATCTATGCTGAAAGCTCTGAAATGACACTTGAGTGCTTTTATACAGAGCCATTAACCAATCATTCATTATGACATATTGTTGTTTTGCCACTTCCCCATTGTCTCTTTTTTTCTGTCTCTCATCTTTGGACAGTCATGCCTCTTATTTCTGCTCACTTTTCACCCTTTTCAGAAAGGCGACAGACACTTTAACAAATCCTGATCCCTTAATTGTGGAGTTTATGGCAAGAAACGCTGATTCATTCAGATTTAGATGTCACAGCCTGACTCTGCATATGCTGAAAGTTATTTCTCGAATTGATCTTTTCTCTCCTTCCTTCCTCTCTCCCTCCCTTTTTATGTCTTTCTTCCTGTTGCTTCTCTTTCTCTTCGTTGCTCAGTCTCTTTCTCTTACCCCTGATCTATATTTGCTTCGTCATGCAGCAGAGGCCCCTTCTACCTCGTCCTCTGCCCTCGCTGGCGCCCTTTTCCCCCCTTACCTACTTTTTGCTGTCGTGTCTTTTTTTTCTTTTTTTTTAATTGATTTTTTTCTTCTTTTTTGTCTTTTGCATCACCTTTCCTTTGATTTTCACAATCTTTTGCACTCTTTACCTCTCCTCTTATTTCTGTCTCACCAAAATATGAACCCAATCAGAAAATGTATCTCATAAAAAGTCCATAAAATAACCCTCTCCAAGACTCCACTTGGTTTTAAGTGGGCAACTTAAGCGCTACTGTTACTATCTGAGCTCTTTATTTAGAAGCAATTCAATTATTGATCAAGGTCTTAACCCATAAATCCCCCCACTCTGCTGGTAAACAGCCTTTGTGGAGGGCCCGGCATCTGTTAAAGTGCTGACAAGTGCTGATGTATTGTAAGTCCACCTCTCTGTCTGACACTCACACATGCACAAACAAAACAATGTGCAGTGCAGAATTTCATCCCTCCCGTTACTCCCATTTGTCGACAAAATACGCGTGCTTGTACCCAAGCTTTCTAATGGCTCTGAATTATAAATGAGTGATTGATTTTGGCTGATATCTGATGTCACAAATGAAGGCGATCGATCAGCAGACTGTAATTAGACTCTGAGACGCTGAATGACATCATGAGCGCAGGAAATGTGATCAGAATTGGTTGAAATTGCGATAGCAGTGTAGTGATTTATTTTAGATCTGGAGGATTTACAGATATTCTTGTTTACTTTGATGCCAGTTTGTAGAAATCATTGGTCAAAGTACAGCATTTGAGGATAAAGTCTATTTAGATGACATGCTGCTGTTGAATTTGTAGCCTATCTTTTGCTGCCACCTCCTGGATTCTCAGTGTTAGTACCTCTCACATCAGATTCAGTGGGAACCTACCCACTCGACTGAAGTAGAAAACTGTCCACCAGCAGGAGTCAGAGGTCTCAGCCAGTGGAAAGACATTTTGTTCCTTGCTCATGTGGGATTCATGTGAGGTCTTTCTCAGTTAAATCATGTGAACACCCTTTTTTTGTGAGGATATGACACTGTACAGATAACAGCTGACAGCACCGGTGGTACGGCTCTCTCCTGTGATGCTTTGCGCCTCTTTCCAGATGTCTTTGATTCACATGATAACGCCTCCTCTTATCTCGTCTCCTTGATTTATGGACCCAGGCTTTTGTGTGTTTGTGTAGTCTGTTCTCTTTCAGGTCTTCGTCAGGTTGTCATGATGGAGAGGAGGTCTTGTGGCAGAGGCCCTTGGGCACCTGGGAATTGCTCAACATCATCCTAGGTTATTTTCCTGTATTATTCTGCAAACAAAGTAGCCTTTATTGCCTTTTATGTAATTTTACAATACAACAAGTTCAACCATAACTTACAGGCTCTGAAAGAAAACTATTCTGTGGTTTAAAAAATCACTTTTTTTACATTTGATATGTTATCCCTTTGTCTTTTATTAAATAATCATAGGGTTAAAATGTTTGGCTTTAACTTTTTGACACAATGTCCCAAACTTGGGGAAATGGGGTTGTAAAATAGTTGAAAATAATAAGCAAACCGAATGAAACTTTAACAAAAATGGAGAGTATAATAAACTCTGAATGAAAGCAGCTGTAATGCAGATTTCAGACACTAGGTGGAAGACGAGACTAAATGTTTTAACGCTGCTTGAATGGCTCTCTATAGATGAACACAATGCTGACACGTTATATTTAATTGCTTAGGTATTCAACTTTATCTTTAGAAATATATAGAAGTATGATATACCTTGTAAAATTGGATTAGTGAAATCAATAGTCCCGTTTTAGACATTGTTTTCTTCAAAGTTTGGACACATCTGTCAATAAAATCGCAACTTTTCAAGGATTTAAGGCGTTTTTGAAGAGTGTGTATTTATTTGAGTGTGTGTGTATTAGTGTGTTTGTATTACACAATGTCGTTTTTTACATTGTTGTGAAACAGATTAAGTTACATCCGGATTAAAAAACGCTCTATTTGTCTTTACTCTTAATACGAGCCAGATGTGACTGATGCTGCTGTCACTCAGATCTCCGGCGACCAATCACAGCGCGCCTTAGCTCCTCCCTCCCTCCTCCCTCCCTGCTGATCATGAGCGTCTCTCTGAAAAAGGAGGAAAGTTGTCCTCTTCTTTCTCCCCCTGCGCCTCTCTCCCTCTTTCATTCAGGCCGGCTCCACGATGCAGAGAGGGCAGCTGTTGGCGGTGTGTGCGCTCTGCTGGAGCGTCAGCGTGTGTGTGGTTTCGGGCATCCAGAGGGCTGATCTGTTTCCTTATGGTCCTCTGAGTGGAGATATGATTCTGGCTGAGGGCGACGATGAAACGTCCAAAGTGCTGACCCTGCCCAGACCCTTATACTTCTACGACTCCCACTTCACCCAGTTATATGTGAGTACTGTTAAATGCAGACTGTTTGCATGCTTTTAATCTCTGCAATACCGTGAAATTATAACCTTTTGCAGGTGATGTTTGATAGAGTTGTGGCTGGTTTTATAGTGCAAAATAAAACTAAAAATGAGCTTGTTTAATGAGGAGAAAATCAAGACCTTAGAATAAGGGGGCACTGGACTCACAAATATTTATTTTTTCCTATTGTGCTGGATTTTGTTAGGCTTTTAGCATTTAAAAAGTATTTGTTATGACTTTTTTTGAGTCCCATTTATCCTGGGAATAAACACAGGCTGCTGATTAGGACAACAGGTGTGTTTTTAACTCATTTTTACAGTTAATTGCTGTGAAATAAAACAACACAGGTGTGTTTGTATTGTTAGAGAGAGTGTGAGCAGCAGTTCTACACTGCAAAAAGTTAGTGAAACTACTTTTGTCTTGATGGACCAAAAGTGAAAGTACCCATTACAATGGACCCTGTTAGCAGTGTAAAATTGACGGCAGTTTAAAATTACTTAGTTACAGTGTTCAGGTGCAGGTTTTGGTTTAAGTGTCTCTATTTTATGTGACCATTGGCTATGTTTAGACAAGAGAAGCACCAATAAAAGCTGAAAAGTCTTTTCTTTGGCAACGCTGTGGAAATGATCCGTACACAGTTGAATCTGCAAAACTGACTAAAGACGCGAGTGTATGCATGCCAGGCTACCAGTTGACAATATGACTTTGTAATGTAATTAAACCGGTATTGCTGCACATTAAAAAAATTGTTGCACAGAGTATTAAACAGCACACTGTAGAAAAAAACAAGCTTTTTAAAGCTCCTCTAAGGAGCTTTGTGTTCCTGTCAAATTTTTCGCCCCCTGTTGACAGAGTAGTACCGTATTTTTTGCACTGTAAGGCGCACCATCAATTAACGCGTTTATTCATGTCTATTTTCATACAGAAGGCGCATCGGATTATAAAGCGCATTAAGCCAAACAAAACAGTCAGATAAGTCAAACTTTATTTAACTCAGTCAATAACTCCGCGAGGCTACGGTAGCTGCAGTGCTCCGACAAGCCAAAATGATTTTAAGTGCGCCTTATAGTGCGGAAAATACGGTATTTGCTTATCTCGTATTCTACATGCTAAAGCAGCGTCTTCTGTGACACTAATGATAGTCAAGTACATTATTTATTACTTAAATTTAACCTTAAGAATGCCAAATCAAGGCTGACACCTACCCCCTTATCAAAAAACTGACTTTGATTCATCCCTATTTTTTGCTTTTTTGCGGCATGCTGCCCCGACACTTACCCCCTTGGTGGTTTTAGGCATAGAAAATAACAAAACAGACATTGTTAGTCTTGTTACTGATGGTTTAGTTTGCTTTTGTGGGCCATAAGGAGGCATCACTTTCAGTTTTTGCACATTTCATTACTGACTAAAATTAGCTCACAGGAGTTTTAGGTTAGCACAACCACACTGTAAAAAATCACAGTTAAATCTAACAGTCAATGTGCTGAAGTTGATGCTAAAGTTGATGTGTTTGGGTTGTTAAACATCTTTTTTTTTTACAGTGTAGCAAATGTAAAAGTTGGTTTGGGTTGAATGTGGTTTCAGTATCTGTCACTGATAGTCTGGGATGAAGGTCAGGGAGCCCCAGAGGCTTCTTGTGGAGGTTGTTGGTGGTTTATAGGGAGATCTTGAGGTTCATTATGTGGTTCCTGGGGTCCATGAGGAGGTTGCAGTGGTTTATGGGAGGGATACGGGTTCATTAGGAGGTTCCATAGGTTCAAGATGGCTTTTTAGATATCCCTGAGAGGGGTTTATGATGGTTTTTGAAGTGTTGAAGACACCACTAGCTGGACTCATTGGTAATCAGTCACCCTTTTCGTTTCTAGGTGGCCACCAATGGAATCATCTCAGCTCAGGACCTGCCCATGGAAAAGCAGTATGTGGATGATGGCTTCCCTACAGATTTCCCCGCTATGGCGCCATTTCTGGCGGACATTGACACCACTGGAGGGCGAGGACAGATTTACTACAGGGTGACCGAGACGCCCAGCGTGCTCAACAAGATGGCGCAGGTCTGTTTGTGCATTTAAACGAGAGTCAAATACCCACTAAGATGACTTCTCTTTGCTTGAACTGAACTATCAATCTGAATTCTTCCTTTTCCCGTTAGTTCAATCCATCTCTGCATCTCCATCTCTATCTCTTTCTATCTCTTTTCGCCATTCATTCATGATTCATCTGCTCATCCAGGAGGTACACCGAGGGTTCCCGGATGCTAAATTCACACCTACACATGTCGTGGTCGCTACGTGGGAGAACGTGGCAGCGTATGAGGAACCGTCTCGGGCCGCCGGACCTTCAAACAAGGTATGATTGACGAGTTACGCCGTCATCTCGTAAACAGGCCGCATGTTTGGCTTCTCGTGAGAGACAATCCCAAATTCCTGGAGGATGTGCATCGCTTGTAATCAGCCAGGGGTGGGGGGCCTATTTGTAATTCCTCTCTCCCTCCTAATCTGTCTCTTAACCTTTTCAAGAGGTCAGAGGTCATCTTTAAGGGTCATCAAAGTGCCTCCCAACTCATTATCCCCTCCTCCAGTTCACACACAGGTAGATGCAAACATGTTTCTGCTCACATGCTCTGGTGGTCGTTGCACCCCTCCCTTGTTTGTGAGCCAGTTACTTGTTAATAACCTGGTTTGCCATTAAAGTACTCATCTCCAGTTTCACCTCACTGAGCTCGTAGCGTATTTCCCCAGATAGTGCGTGCCCTGACATCCTCTTCTTCTGTCAAAACCCCCTCTTGCACCTGTCCTTTTCATCAAACTCACTATCTTTGACTCCTATCTCTCCATACTTGACCCTCTTTAGCATCTTTAGTCCTTCGTGAACCCATCAAACTTTGGATTCTTCTTTTCTAATCATGCAACTCTGATGTGATTTCTCTCATTTCTGCACAAATATTAAGTCTAGAGTGAGGCTGAGATAACCCTGATGGCATCACTGTGACAAATCTACAACCCAGATTTTATAAAAGTGATGATAAATAAAGTTGATAAAGTAGATTTTGATCATTTGAAATGACTCAATCCTTTGGTTTGATTTTACAGTAGTCCAGAGACGACATATCCTCGTTGTCATGGCTGTTTTAGAGGTCATTTTGTGATTTCCACTTCAGAGTCATGTTTGTTTTTAATGCAGACCTCTCCAGATTCTCTCTGTTTTTTAATGATATTGCGTTTTATATATATGCTGAAATCCCACAATTCATTGCTGAAGATTTTGACTCCAAGATTGTTCAAGTATTCGCTCACGCTGCGTCCCCTAAAGCCGCTCCTCCTGAACTTATTGATCAAACAAACACAGCTTTGTTGTTCCTGGTTGGTCGTGCGTGGGTTGGAGGGATGAAGGGAGTGGCAGATTTAAGAAAAGCCCCCCGGAGATCTCGCCGTCTCCCTCCGTCTCATCTGCTTGTCCTTTCTCTTAACTCTTGCGGTCTGCTCTTGCGGTTAACTCTTTTTTTTTTACATCTCTTTGAATTCTGATTGTTTAAAGGCAAACTAATCAGTGATTTTAAGCCTCAGTATTGAAATTCAGGCCTCAAGACCCCCGCCAATGTTGACGAAATGCTACCTCAATGTTGACATCCGCCTTTTAAAGTAAAAGATTATTTATTATGTGCTAAATGGGGGTTGTTGTGTTATTTAAAAGCCCCGTCTGCCTTGTCGGATCGAAGCAGTCGGGGTCCCTGCTGGGATTTACTCCAGTGGGTCCCACTTTGCGCTGATAGCATCTCCCCTTTGAAGTGATTAGCCAGAGGTGCTGGGTGGGGTGTGTTGGGGGTGGAGTGGTGGTATGTGTGTGTGAGCACTGATTAACCTGAGGTGTGTGTGTGTGTGTGTGTGTGTGTGTGTGTGTGTGTGTGTGTGTGTGTGTGTGTGTGTGTGTGTTTGTCAGGATGTGTATTAGGAGTGACGAGGTGAGGTAGTGTTTTAGGGGGATGGGGGCAGACTGGGTGGCGTTTAGGGGCCGGATACAGAGATGGGAAAATACGGTGAGCAGAAAAGAGAAAGTTCACATCCTTAAGAAAGCAGAGCTGTGTCTATGAAATGAGCCTAAAAGAGGTTATTATCATAATTGCAAAGTAATTGCTTCACTTGAAACTTAAAACACACACACTCTGTTGTATCTGCTACCATGTAGCTCAATTTGCTAATGACCGGAGTCATTTACAGAGTCTGGACTTCCATGTGTTGATGTTGTAGGAAGTGTTCAGCTCTTAGCAGCACATTGCTAATCCGTCTTCACATTAGGATGCATAATCACCAGGTGAAAAGTGACTTTGAATGACAGGATAATACTCAATACAGAAAGAGGGTTCATGCTATGAAAACATCTAAATGAAAAGGTTCTGCATGAACACAATATTAGAAAAGTGTCCTGAAGTCTTCATCCTGAGAGCATCACTGTGTCTGAGCTGCTCTCTGAAACTCTCCTCTCAGCTCCGAGTGCAGGAATGGAAAGTGTTTATGACATGTTTGGTGTGTGAAGGTCAGACGAGGCCAACAGGATGAATAAATGGACTCCTCTGTTAGATCTGGCCCTCACCTTTCACTTCTCGCTCTCTCTGCCTCCTCTTTTCTCTTGTCCTCCATGTTTTTTTTTCTTTTTTGTAGCACAGAAGGAACTTTTGTTTTCTTTTGTATGATTTGTTGTTTCTTGGGGGGCCTTGCAAGGACACAGTGGGAATCTCTTAGATATGGAGCCCCTGAAATCACAGCAAGATTTAATTATATTACATGCACAAGATATTTTCATGAGCGTTTATATGTAATTGATGCTCAGGATATAAGTATCTTGTACCAACTACATAAATATCTCATGGAACATAACATTATCTCTCAGAAACAATTTAATTACAACTAATCATGAGTAAATATCTTTCGCAACAATATATCTGGTGCTACTGTGTGCATACAGCATACTTATCTTGTGAGAGTAAGCTATTGTTATATAGGAACAAAATTGAACTATCATGTGTGCATAATTGTAGTAGTTTGTGCTCATATTGTGTTGTTTTGTGCACACTATAAGAACCTCCCATACACAAGTTACTTTCCATTGTGCACAATGTAATAGACACACTTTTATGGCACACTTGGGCACAAGAAAGTATCTTGCATGCACAACTTAATTATAACTTAATTCTTGTACAAGATATTTATCTGCACGCAGTATTTTGAGATTGGAAGTTTAGTTTATGCTAAGGCTGGTTTAGGTCCTGACTAATGATCAGTACAGTTGTTTTCTTATTTGATCTTGTTGGGAACATGTTCATGTCCAGAAACCTTCCAGGATCTTTAAAGAAGCAGCTACAGCAGTCCTGTCCATATGCTCACAAGTAGATCAAAAAACCTTCAAATCCTTGAAGTTGAACAATTTCCTCAAACATATGAAGAGCAGGGATTCCTTTGGAGCAGAGCTGAAGTTATAACAGGCATGCCCCCCCCCAAAAAAAAAAAAAAAAACTGGAGCAAGATTTTCATACAACAACAGTGAAATACTGGCTGTACTGCTCCTGGCTGCAATCCTGGACTGTGTGTGTGTTCATGTGTGTGTGTATATGTGTGTGTGCCAGTTCCCACGCTACAGGCAGTTCCGTTTGTAGCACTCTGGTGAGGCTGGCAACTGGACTGCAGCTGCTCTCCGTCTCTCTCTCTCTGTGCCTGCTTACAGCTGTGCTGTAAAACCAGCGACCGACCAACAAACAAGTGTCGTACATTCATCCCTTACCTCCCTCTGTCGCTCTCCTCTCTGGGATGTTCCTGGCGAACCAAAGTGGAATCCAGCTTTGGATAATTATAACATGATTCGAAACATTCGCTGCAGACTGTTGAGTCACGTATTTGAAGCGCAGACGAGATGAGAAGTCGGTGAAACTGCATTCAGCTTAAGTCAGCTGAGTAGACTAAACTATATAAAGACAGAGTAAAGCAGATGAGCGCATAAACAGAGCTGGACAAGACCAAACAGAGGTAAATATGATGAGACTACACCAAATGAGACATAAAATTGCTTCCACACAACACCTGCTACGTGTTAGCAGCAGCTGTAGGGTTTGGAGGGTATAATTAAGCCATGTCAGGTCGTATAGGCTACGTAAGTTATTTGTCTGCTGATTAACAGTTTGGGGTTACAGGGATCTTGTACAATTATTCATATATTCCAACATCTGTCTCAAGCCCTATGCTAGTTTTGCTGTGGCGCAGCAGTGTGGCGTGCCTGTTTACACTTTACAACCATGTCGTCTCTGTAGTTACAAATTACACAGCGCAGTGCTTGTCCCGTTTTTCAAGTCTGGATCAAGTCAGGTAAAAAAAAAAAATCCATCTTTGTGCCCACACATGTAGCTAGATTTGATTACGATTGAAACCTTTAGAAATGCATCAGCGAGCATCTCTTGGAGCTCGAGATTATTTAAAGAGACAGCTTCTCTTCGGGGATTGAGTAGAAAAGAATCAAGAAGCCACCTGACATATTGAACTTGGGCTACCTGCTTCAGAGAAGATAGCGTCTTTATTAAGGCACTCTATGTAGCTTCTTAGCTAAATGGGAGCCTTTCAAATTGTGCAATTAAAGTTGCTTAAATTGTAAAAATCTTATTAAATGGAGTTTGCAAAGTAACAAGACATATCTCACTCTTTAAAAACCACAACTTGTTGCTTTTAAGACAATGCAGTCAAATACCATAAGCTTTAAATCTTTTTTTTGTGTCCAGATGCTAAGGAGGAGAACTAAATTCACTAAAATGACAGACATTAAAGCTCCGATGAGAAACTTTATGTTTGTGTCGACTTTGGCGCCCCCTGTGGACAAAGTGGTACTTCTTCGCATATTTAGTTGATCGCATTAAACCCTGTTCTGCTTTTTTAACAGACAAATGTATCACAGTATAATGATCTTTATTGAAGTACAACACTCAGCTTGACACCTACCCAGCAGCAGCAGTTACAAACATTAGAAATCACTTTATATGGAGAGTAAAGCTTGTTGTTTACGCTCTGGTTTGCTTTTTTAAGGTAATAATATGATTTTCAGTGTCGTGTCTGAGTCCTCCTGAGTTACCTGCACCAACACCATATATTTACATTAGAGTTGTAGGGTGTTAACAGACTTCAGACCCCCGTGGTGCAGCAGACAGACCCAGCAGACAGATGATGTTACCACTTAAACTGTCAGGATGTCGCTGGCAACAAACATTTGTTGATCCCGGAGACGATTACCGTCTGTGTGTGTGAGTGTGTCTGGTCAGTGTGAGGAAAGTCTTTAAAAAGGTGTGACAAACCCCTGTAGGAAGGTCGAGGGGGCGTGTGTGTGTGTGCTCTGACACACACACACACACACACACACTCACTCACATACCGAGCTGAATGTCTTTGATGTGTGTTGGCTGCAATTTGTTGTCTTCCAGCTGTGAGTGTGTGAAGCACACGAGGCTGCTTCACACAGACTGAGTCAAAGTCAGCAAATTACCACACTGAAAGGGGAGGGGCTGAGGGGAGACCACAAATTAAAGGAATAGTTTGACATTTTGGGAATTATGCTGATTTATTTTCTAACTAACCAAGAGTGAAATCAGAGGGTCCATCATACACTTTTAACTATGGAGCTAGCTGAAAGTACTGGAAACGGGGTAAAAACAGTGAGTCATGCTCTTTTTGGTGTTGGAGAAGAGCCTCACTGAACCCATGACCTTTGATTATTATACTTAAAACACATTTTTTTATCTCTTATACAAAATAAAAATGTACTTTGTCCAATCCAAAAGACTTCCCACAAATTAAATCAAAGAAAGAAAAAGGATTCGAGTTGAAATCAAAGCTCCTATGAGAAGTTTTGTGACATTTATAAAATACTCTAGAATTTCTATTGATGCATTTTTATGGATATTAAAAAAATGCATCCGTATGAATTCCAGTCCATGGCAATCATATAAAAAAAAAAACTTTCACAGGAGCTTTAAGCCTATAGAGGACCAGAAAATTAGCAAACGCTAAAACTGGCACAACCCAAAAGAGACGACTTTTAAGATTTCACCAAAGGATGGAAGATATTGGTTTTTTTTGTGAAGAATGCATGAAAGGTCATCATGCCACCCCAATTTTGTTGACTTCAAGCTCCTTTGAGGTATTTTTGACATGAATGAAATCGCCTCATATTCAGATTTATGATATACAAAAGGAAACAAGACCGTCAGAGCGGTAATACGCAGATTTTATTGTGTAATTTTAGTGCCTGAATTCAGTGTGAGGGGGTAGGTAGATAAAAAAGATAACAGATTTGATTCTGAGAAGTCAGCAGGATGACATTCTTGACACAACTGAAGCATGTCGATTGTAGGATAAATACAAACTGCTTTGTCCACAGGGGGCGCCAAAATTGACCCAAAAAAGGAGCTCAAAGTTTTTGAAACCATTTCAAAGAAATGATCCCTTTTCTGTCTCCCATTGTAAACCAGACTTAAGGTGATCCCTCCAACCCCCTGCATCCTTTCATCTCTCTATCTGTCTAAGCTCTCTCCCTCTATCCCCCCCCCTCCCAGGAAGAAGGAGGGGCAGTCGGGGAGAAAAATACAGACGTTTAACAGGGATATTAAGGACAAAGGAAAAGCAGATCCCCTCTTGTAGCTCCAGCGTCTTCTCCTCCTTCCCAAAGACAGAAAAAAGAAAGACCCCCTCCTCAGTAATTAGACCGAGCCTGGGGGCTACAAAGTCTTCCCCGCCCACAAACAACAAGATAGTTTAAAGATGTTGATGTAAACAATTAGGAACACACACATACACTCACATGAAGTGAACATAGGTAGAGGGACATCTGTGTTGGATAAGTGCGTCTCACATTGTAACGATGTCTGGTTTGAATGCTGTAACATCATCATGAAAGATGTCCAGACACACAGGAAGACAGCTGTGGAGATCAACATCTGGGCCGGGGGTTTGGAGACGAGATGTGTGTGTGTGTGTGCTTCTCTGTGTTTGTACAGATAATGTGATTCTCTCCCAAAGGAAAACAACACAGAATCACTCACAGTCTTCCCCTCATTCACCAAATCGGAGTGTTTTCTAAATGTGGTTTAAGGAGGGAGAGTGGGCTGAGCGCACCCACTGACATGTAGGAAATAAGTTCCTGAAGTAACAATCCAGTGTTTAGCCAAGAAGTCCTCTGATTCATCTCCTTCGGTTTATTTACTCTGTCCTAATTCACTCAGAATAGATGTTTAGAAACCCACATACTCGGGTCAGTATGTCAATAATTTGTGGTGGTCGGAAGAAGGGGGTTCGAAGGGTGTGAATTACACACATGACTCCCAGCAGAGCGAGAGATGAGAGAGGAAGAGGGGGAGACGGAAGAGGAGAGGAGCAGAGGTGTGAAGTTTAAATATGAGGTGTGAGAGTTAGAATAATTTGGAGGTGGTCGAGTGGGACTGACTTTGAGAGCACACAAAAGGTGACCTCATCTCTTTGAAACTGGCCAAAGACAAATATTCACAAGGCTCCTCCTCAGTTTGGAAGTTATCTGCTTCACTTTAGCTGAGAAACCGAGTCAGTTTTAAATTAAAGAAGAAACTGAACGTTGTTTGAATACTGATTTTTAATAGGGTTTCTCTATGCATTGTACAGTTTTAACCCTGAGTTTTTGGGCCAACGATTTCCACAACAGAGGCATGCTAGTTTTTGATGCAGGGGCACCTGATGGTCTATTTACTGTATAACAGCCAAACAGTATCTTTTTTCAACTATGTTCCTTTTTGTGCTACTATATCTCCAGATTTATTTAATCTTTTCATATTATCATGCACTATAGCTCATGTCATTTGCATAAGAAAGCTCCTGTGATGAGTTTTTTGATAGTTACGAAACAGACTGAAATTCATATTGATGCTTTTTCGTGATATACAAAAGCAAAAAAGACTGATGATTTCTATCTTCCCACTGAGCATTTTTTGGTCTTAATGAGGTCTAATAGACGTCTAAATGAAGTCTAGACGATGGTCTAAAATTAGACTACCACAGGTCTAAAAATGAAAGTTTTCAGACGTCTAAATTTAGACCAAGCTTAGACTAGCCAGCTAACAGAGGTCTACCAGTATATTGCTCAACGGCTATCATGATTATTTTGGTTTAGTACTTGGAGATCAGTTATGCAACTCACAGTTGCTTTTTGAAATAGTTATTGAATAATGGGTTGAAGTGCAACATCTAAATTCCGTCTACAGATATACAGAATCTAGACGGTTGAAATTAGGTCTAAAAATAACTTGACGTCAAACAGCCGTCTATTGCTCATTGGGTTGTAATTCTTAATGTGACCCATTTGACGACCCAAAGAAAGCAGGATGAGATTTCAGTAAAATCAACCTTGACTTGCACAGAAGTTTCAGACTGACTCCGCCTCTTTTATGTCTTTTAAGGTCAACACGTTTCAGGCAGTGATTGGTTACGATGAGACCGACTCCTACGCTCTGTTCCTTTACCCTGAAGGCGGCCTAAACTTCTTCGGGACGCGACCAAAGGTGAAGTAAAACACAAGAACTCAGTTTTTCTGCTTTGACGTTCAATCACTTTTATAAAAAAACAGCAATTTTGTCTGAACGCTTTAATTTGCTTCCAGGAGTCTTACAACGTTGAGATCGAGCTTCCCGCAAGAGTGGGCTTCAGCAGAGGGGAGGTCACATATTTGATCTTCTCTCGGATTGAAGGACCTCACTACAGCGTTACCAGTGATGAACAAACTGTGAAAAACCTCTACCAGTAAGTAAAAGTCCTCAAATTTGCTTACAAATGTCATTTTATGCAGATGAGATTAACTTTGCTAACGATGTAAAGCTGTAAGGTTGGGCACACACACACACTCTCACTGTTTTCTTGCTCTGCAGGGTCGGTAACACAGGGATCCCCGGGGTTTGGTTGTTCCACACTGGAAACAGACACTCCTTTGACAACATCGTCCCTGCATCCATCGGTGGTATTCTCGCCACACCTCCAGCTGGAGGACACGGCCTCTCTCTGGTAATTTACTTTCTCGTTTTTACTCATTCATTGAGATAAACCGTCCAGGACTGACTCTTTCATGGTTTCTTCCTCCAGGACACCACCACCCCTGAGTACGCTGAGTTTGAGGAATACCCGGACAACACTTTTGACCAAGAGGAAGATGACGATTACCCACTGACAGGCGGGGACCCCGAATTCCAGCCGGCTCCTGCTGGAAGTGACCAGTCTGAGCCCCTTCAGCCTGAAAGTCCTGATGTGCCCTCGTCTCCCTCTGAGGGTTCTGATCAGTACAGGAGGGAGGATGTACCGCTGACCTCTGAACCGAGGTACAGCTCAGAGCCGGTGGGGAGGCAGTATGCGCCACCTAATCCAGAGACTCAGGAGCAGCCACAGGTACTGGCTAGTTAGTGTCAATTTCACACAGATGAGACACAGTTAACTTGCTTTTCGAGAGATCACAAGTTTCTACACAGTATATCTTTTAAATGTGACACGAGCTCCTGCAGAAAACAGTTTAATATGACAAACTGGAGTCATTACTTTCTGCATCTGATGAGAAATTATAATTGCGGTTAAAGACCGAGTTTTGAAAGTTGTAACTGCAGCTGCTTTTTGTAAACTCTGCGGTGTTTATGGAATGCCGTTCTGGATAAACTATAATGCGCTTGCAAAACCTCCGTCATGATACTCTCATCGCTGTAAACAATATCTCGGGTATGCACAGATAATAGCGCTCTGGTTCGAAGCATCTGGAAGACGTTAAAAGAAATTGGTTTGGCTTTCAATAACAGCACAGGAAAATAATTGTTTGTGTGTTTTTAGACTCCTCTTGAGGTGGTGGACGTCTACCCGCCTCACAGAAATGAACCTCCTATTTCCCCCGGAGGTCACGTGGTCAGCGTGGATGAAGATGATGTCGATTTTGACACAGGAGGTAAGCTCATCTGTAAATTTGTACACTCATGTGAAAGGATGGTCACTTTGAGGGACAGAAAGGTAACTTTAGCTCGCCCTCGGCTGCAGAGCGGCTCAGCAGCTGGCAGTACAATACTGCCGTTGTGCTGGGCAGCTACCAGGTGTGTGTATGTATGTGTGTGTGTGTCCAGAGCTCCCTCCCCTGCAACTACTCCCACAGGCCTTTGCTGTAAATAAGAATGAGGTCTCAGTCAACCTCCCTGGTTACATAAGGGTCAGAGAGTCTGTTGGTGTCAAAAGTATTCCCTTAATAAGCCATTTAGCTCAGGCTGAGGCGACGACAGTTGAGTTTCTACTGAAGATGCAGGGAAATATCTGTCTGCAGTTGACGTTTTATTTAAAAACAAACTGCAGAAGTCCAAAAAGACACATTTAGATATATTTTTAATGAAAACAGAAGAGTTAAAAACTTCTACAATAAATATTAGCTTTGTAACTGTGTTAGAAATGGAGGGACTTATGCAAGTAGTAGTAGCAGCTGGAAAGCAGGCAGGTCCACAGCAGCAGCGATCCAGAGGATGAGGGAACTCAGGGACTCCCAGAAAAGACTACAGAGTCATGAAGCATAGCTGAGCCATCCCATTGCACAACTTATTCACTAATTTGTTGTCTCCGTTTCAGCTTCTTGAAACAGAGCCTCTTAAATTCCATTTCAGCTTCTTCTTCTTCTTTAGAGGGACAGTTTTAGAGGGAGCGTGTGAAGGATTCGAACGTCTCCAACATGACGCTGTCTACATTTGCTCATTGTGTGTGTGGGTGTGATTTTTATGATACTGAGAGAGAACATAAAAACAGTGCTGTGTTTATCTGTGGGATTCCCTCAAAAGACCTGGCACGGGTGTGTTTATGTGTGTAAAAGCGCTGTGATTGCTCTCCTGTGTGTGTGCGCGTCTGTGCCTACGAAAATATCCAACATCCTGTGTTCGTTTGAGGGCGTTTCTGTGTGTGATACTCCTGTAAGATGACAGAATACTGCCTTTTGGATTAAATACAAAAAATAACGAATAAGGAAGGAGAAACTGGGGAATACAGAGTCCTGTGGGAATGATTCTGTCAGCTCAGCAGCCCCGTTTTCAAGCTGATCATCCAGTTCGTTTTGTGTTTACTCCAAAGAAATCAACAACAGAGTGAATCACATCCTGTGTGTCAGAGGATTGTTCTCCAGAAAGGACAGTCGGCCCAACGTGTTTAACAGAACGTGAACTGTAACTAAACACATTTATTATTTGATACACACTCGCAAAGTCGACTGAGATATGTGTCAAACAATAAAACGCCATTCGGAGGTTGAGAATCGGATGAATATGTGAGTGTGGGAGGCAGTGCTGAAACAGCTGGTTTCTCTCCAAGTAGTGGTTTGACGTGGGTCTGTGTTTGTCCCTGGATCTTGTCCACCTTTTGTTCCTCGTTTCTAGAAATACTTGGAAACAGCCTTTTATTGTTCAATAGCCAATTAAACGAGCATGTTTGTGATGATAGTATTGGAAGAGCACAAGGAAAAGTATCTAACTTCTCGTTTCGGCATCAAAACGCGTATAACTATCCGATAAATTAGCTGTTTTGTCAACATTAGTGAAAGATTTAATCCTAAAAGTGTCCAAAAGAGATGGTAGATGGTGATTTTGAGCCCATGCAGTGATTTCCACTCCAGAGTCATGTCAGTTCCTATGACAGTGCCACCTGGGGGCTTGAAGATCCAGTGTTGGTTTTTGATTTTTTGAATCTTTTATTTTGAAATTGTTGGATGTAAAAAGGCGCCTCTTTTAAATTCCCCCTGTTATATGCATTCATGTTACTCATCAGTTTAGAAATCAACATCCCTTGTCTGATGATGTTCTTACAGGTTATTTTTTTAAAGGAGCATTACGCAACAATCCCAGCTTTTTTTGTTAGAACAATCCTGTCTACTTTGAAACACGTTGCTGGCATCAAATTTGAAAAAAGCACATTGTTTTCATAACATAGTAATCTGTTTTTTTCCCCAACACTTTACACAGTGTCCTAACTTTTATGGAATTGAGATTGCACTCACAAGATTGATTACTTCCACCTGGGCCTATTGCACAACAGTTTTGGAATTAGGGCGGCAAAGGTCAAGTCAAAGTATTTAAAACAACAGAAATTGTGGATCTCATAGTACTTCTGCATTGTATGTAATTCTGCAGGATCTTGGATGAAGGACACAATTTCATATAATGTAATTAAATGATAATGTCTTCTTATCTGTCTTTCAGTGATTCACTACACTACAGAGAATAAGGAGACATGTGCCAGGTATGAACTCAGAGAAATAATATAGACTGTTCCTTTCTGGTATAAGAACTTTGTATTCGTTGTATTGCGATATATTGTAGGCAGGAAATCTCAGCAGGAAGATGATGGGTTTTTGATTTTTGTCAGCTGTAATCATCAAGTTTCTTTTTTTCTTACAGATTCCAGCAGCAGTGCTCCCAGAATGCATTCTGCTCTGACTACTCCACAGGCTTCTGCTGCCACTGCCGCTCTGGCTTCTATGGGAACGGGCGTCACTGTCTACCCGAAGGTAGGAGCGTCGTCGTTATGCCTCAACCTGTGGGATTTTGCACTATCTTCATATAGTATTGTGTTAAATTCCTGTGCATCTCTTCCAGGTGCTCCTCAGAGAGTTAGCGGGAAGGTTAGCGGGACGGTGACAGTGGGTTCGACTCCAGTGGAGCTGAACAACATCGATCTGCACGCCTACATCGTAGTGGGAGACGGAAGAGCGTACACCGCCATCAGCGAGGTATGAATCCAGAAACAAAACATCTCAATGCGTCATCTTTACTCTTACAGTTCCGTGTTTGTAAACTTTGCTCTAATTGGTCAGGTTCCCGAGCCTGTGGGCTGGGCTCTGATGCCGCTCGCACCAATCGGAGAGCTGTTTGGATGGCTGTTTGCTCTGGAGCTGCCGAACAGCCAAGCAGGGTTCAAAAACACAGGTGAACTGGGTTTGTCTAAAAGAGAGAGAGTGTGTGTGTGTGTACGTGTGTGTGTGTGTGTGTGTGTGTGTGTGTGTGTGTGTGTGTGTGTGTGTGCGTGCTTATACTGGCTTGTATATCTTGGAGCACATGTGTGGATAGAAGGGGGGACTCCTCTACTATGTTTGTGTGTGTGTGTGTGTGTGTGTGTGTGTGTGTGTGTGTGTGTTCTGTCTCCCAGCCAGCTGTATTTTCTCCAGGGATGTGATGTGATATCAGGCTTCCACCTCCCCTCTCAAATAGGAAGCAGCTGTGTGGTGTGTGTAGGTGTGTGTATGTGTGTGTGTATGTGTGTGTGTGTGTGTTCTGTCCTGATAGTCCCGTTGCAGACCTCTCGTATATGATATGTATCCGCTGCGCTGATTTGTGTCTATAATGAAATTGATCTATAAATAGAGGAGTTGATATATACAGACGTGCGCTGATTGTGTCACCAGGCGCCGAGTTCACCCGCTATGCAGAGGTGGTCTTCTACCCCGGCAACCAGCGCCTGTCAATCATCCAGACTGGCCGCGGCCTCGACGACCACAACCACCTGACTGTGGACACTGTAGTCAGTGGAAACGTGCCCTTCCTGCCCCCTGGAGCTGAAGTTACCATGGATCCCTTCAAGGAAACCTATCAGTACTACCCATCTGGTAACCATAACAACCTCTACGCTCAACATTATCAACATTAAACCTTTCCATTTTTTCAACATAGTTTGATATCATCCTCCAGTTGCTACCTCCACCTCCGTGAGGGAGTACATGGTGGTCTCGGCAGAGCGAGGCTCCGAGTCCTTCTCCTTCCAGCTGAAGCAGAACATCACCTACCGCGACTGCCGCCACGACAACCGCGCCACCGCTCCGGAGACGCTGCAGATCACCATGGAGAGGGTGTTTGTGATGTATGTGAAGGAGGAGCGCATCCTGAGATACGCCATCACCAACAAGATCAGCCCAGTTGGAGGTGAGTCAAACTCAGATTTCACAAAAACTATAAACTCCATTGATGAGAGCCAACTCTTAAACGTTCATGTATGGAAATTTGACTTGGATTTTATGACTCAGCAGGAAGCAGATTTGCTGCACTATTTCAAATATCTGATCTTGAACAGGTTTTCAGCAAAGATTGTTAAATTGACCTCAAATTGCCACAGATGGGTGCCTGATACATCACAATGCGCCTGCTTTTGCTCTCCATACAGACTGTTTTCTTTATAGCTGCGCCAAAGCCCGCTGATTCATGATTAGTCCGTCCTACTCAGACAACACGAATACCAACGTCTGGTTCAGTGTAAAGAGGCTCTTAGTTTCCAATCTGTAAGCAGAGGTCAGGTTTGTCATCTTTACGCCTGCTTTGGCTCTCCATACAGACCATTTTCTGTATGTGGAGGCCTTTAACCCTCAAACGAGAGTGAAACTGGGATTTTAAAAGTTTAAAAAAAAAACTTATATTGGTTCCTGAAAAACAATTCTCTCTTCAGCAAGCGGTCAGAAACAATTACAAACCTTAAAATGACAACAATATGAGGCCACACAAGCCAGAACATCGAGTGCTGACTGGGCTTCGGAGGACAGATTTCGACCACATTTTTTTGGAACTAATTTAAGAAATGCTGAATCAAGACCCTTTTATAAACAGCCCTTCATCAAAATAATGATTCTTGACATGAATCTTAAATAAAAACACTAAACCAAGAACAAGAAGTTCATTTTGTAACCAGGTTAGAAAACACATGCGAACAGGCTACCTGTGGTTAGGGGGGAATATCCATCAGTGGTCTGTTACATTGAAGAGTGTGTGAGTGATGGCCGTAATCCAGTCCAGACCACCGCTGTCAGTCCATAAGAGGTTTGACACACTGAAGGCGTTAAAAACGTGAGGTTTTGTGCTCCAGAGCCACAACTAGAGACCAGACCTCATGGTAATTGTACCGCTGAACACAGAGACCTCAGCCAAACCACGATGTAGTGCTCAGCTTTGAACACACACGCTGCGAGCGGCGATAAATCATACATTACAACCATAGAAAAACCATTTAAGAACGGCTCTATTACCTCTGCTGTTCTGCTGTGATTGATACCAAAACCTGCAGACACTCAGTTCCACTCAGAGTGACCACAGTTTGCGTCACAGCTGACTTTCCATACTTGTAGTTTTCTCTGTTTATGATGGGGATATAAATAAAGCGTTGAAGCTTTTGTGCAGAATAATCCGGTGGAACTAAAAGGAAGGCAGAAAGTTCCAGGAAGATTGAAGCTTATGTGGAGGGGAAAGTGCCGAGCTCATTGTGGATTTTCTGTTTGGAGATACTTTGGAGCAATGAAACACAAAACTTAAACCATAACGATTTGTGGTTAAGGAGGCACAAATGAGCCACAATGACTTTAGTCCTGCTGTTAAATGAATACATTAAGGTGGAATGTAATCAAAATGGTTGAGTTTAATCCGACTTGTTTACTTTTTCTTGGATTTGCAAGACCATTTTAAGCCTCAAATCCTTTTCTTAATGTTTCCATGTAGCCAATTAAATTTTTTATCCATTTGATTTGAATTTACAGCCATGAAACTGATGAATTTAAAGATTTTTATGAGTTTGAAAACACCTCAGATGATTGAATCATAGAAGTTTGTAAAATTTACCCACAAATATCTTTTTGTCTTTTTTTTTGTCAACAAAAGTTTGAAAAAGCACAAAAGTTTTTTAGAGATGCACATTTCTAGAGTTCCTGTTACTTTTGGTAGAAATGTAGCTTAAGTTGTATGTGGGTTTTGTCTGGCTAAACTGACATTTAATCACTTGTCAGGAGAACATGTAACCTGGATAGGTGTGGAAGGAGGACTGAAAGGTGGTCGGCTGGCTCTGCTACCTTTAGCCGGATTTAAAAATATGACATAGTAAATTGAGCTCATTTTTTAATTATTACCTGAAGTGAGAGTCTCCAGGAAATTAGACCCCTAAAATACAAAAATATGTGTAGTTATTCTGTCGGCACACAGTGGTTCAAGATGCTTTCTTTACCCGCTCCATCTGAGGAAAACCAGGAACACGTTGACAGATACAAGAGACTCTTAGATGAAGAGGGAATTACTGAGATTGAGAAAGTAAAAAGACGAATCGGTTTGCCTTGTTTTTGAGTTCAAACTGAGTTTTTGTCATTTAAATGTCAACGCGCTGATTATAAAGGTTATGATGACACATCTCACATGCACATGTACACACAATGACACAAGCAGAGCACAGCTGGAAGAGCTTTCAGAGATCAGGGGTTTTGTAAACACGGGTTAAGTGGTGTGTGTGTGTGTGTGTGTGTGAGAGAGAGAGAAAGAGAGAGAGAGCATGAGTGTGTTTGTGTGTTAAAGGGTCTTACACTTTCTGGGAAATAATATCCCAGCCAATGACAGATTTTCTGGAGGGGGGGGGGGGTTGCCGGGCAGAATAGCTGCCCAATGATGTCATGAGAAGCAGAGATTGCAGGAGACCTTAAGACACTGAGGCGAGGGAGAGAGGACGAACCCGACTCCAGCGTGTGTTTGCTGTATCCTGTCGTCACCTGGGAATGTGGATGATTAAAGTTAAACCGCCTTTATAACTTTTTACAGCCGTAATCAGAACAAACCTCCTTTAAGAGTCACATGACCAGGAGTCAGTTTTCAAGCTGAATTGTAAAAAAGCATTTTCACGCATTTTAATAAACGGCCTGTAATTAATATTTCTGCCTATACTTCTTACATTACGTTACTTACTTTGCATTACTTAAGTTGGATTACTGTTATTATGTTATTTACATTACATTCAGGAATCAAAGTGTTGTTTTCCGCCAAAAAGCACGTTTTTAAATCTGCTTCCTTCCCTCTACAAAACCACAGTCTTAAATTTTAGGTCATTGAAATGTTTGAGTAAAAGTCACTGATGATAGATATTATAATCTGTGTTGCATTTAGAGTGATTCACTTGATTTAAAGACACGTCATGTCACCTTTTTGCCACCCAGAAAGAGTTACAGCTACGCCTCTGTGAAACCAGCCTGTTTGTGTGTGTGTTTGTGTGGAGGAGTTTAGTAAAAAGCAACAGGTGGGAAACTGTAGCCATTGCTTTGATGGCATGCAGTGCTCTCTCTCTCTCTCTCTCTCTCTCTCTCTCTCTCTCTCTCTCTCTTTCTCTAATTACCCCTTAGCCCTCTCTCCCATCCACATGCATCTCGCCCTCTCATCTCCTCGTCTTCCCCGGCCACATTCAGCACTTTGAAGAGTCTCTGTCTCTTTGATAATGAGCCAAAATTGGCCTCTGGCTGAAGGAGATGGGAGCAAGCTGTGCCTCATGTCTGTGTGTTTGGTTTTGTTTAGGTCTAAGTGTATGTGTGTGTGTTGTATTTTATAGCTGATGGTGGTAAAGAAAAAGACCATCCTTTAACACTTAAGCATCATTTAAAACGGTTATTACTGATCATGAGATTTTTTTCATGTTCCTTTAGGTGGTTTATGTTTCTTATTATCGCAGATAACGGCCCATATGTGGACAATATGGTCGACTGGACTCCAAACCACTCACAGGGATGACATTGATTTTAAAAAAGTTTAACTTTGCAGACACTAAAAGGCTTTTAAAAGCCAAGGGAACCAGAAAAAATCAATTCCAGACAACTTTTATCTACTAGAATCCACATTTTTTTGAAGAGCGAAAAAACGCCATAATATTCGTGTTTGCAACACTTAAAGCTCCTGTGAGGAGTTTTTTCACATCAGTGAAATAGGCTGAAATTCATATGGATGCTTTTTTTAAGATATACAAAAGCAAAGGAGGGCATCAGGAACAAAACTAATATTCATACACTGTGATTTTTAATGCTTGAAACTAGTATAAGCGGGTAAATGTCAGCAGTGCAGCTCAAGAAACAGCCCGGTTTTAAGTGTTTTAGCAATAAATGAAATGTTTGACAGGATGTGAGACAGCTTTATTAATTCCAGTCTGTTTCATAACTAGCCAAAAACTCCTGACTGGAGCTTTAAAGGTCTGTATCTGGGTATCTGTATCTTTTGTTTCAACAAAAATGGATTTCCTTATCTGACTCAGTCTAATTCAGATCAGATCAAACATGAATTTTGTCCAGATCCACTTGGCCACCCATCCTCAATCTTTCCGAAACACTTAATTTTTAGCACATTTATACATCTATCACATTTTTCCCTAATGCTCTTTTCATGGTTCTCTCAACTGTGTTTTTTCTTCACATTTGTTTTCCAGAAATTAGTCAAAGCCGTGCCTTTGTCTTTGATTGTCTTGTGTGTCGGTATGAGGAAACCCCGACCACACATCCGCTCACTCATCCGTCTGTCTGTCGTCTTTCTCTCATGTATATGTGTGTCTAACCTCATCCATATGTTGAATATTGAAGGGAGTCACTTCCTCAGAGGAAACCCTCCTATGGGGGTTTGTCTGGACCGATCTCACATGTGTGTCTGGTTAGGCTGTCTTGTAATCAGGGCTGTAATCATCAGAGTTTAGCTAGTGAACGATCCAGATCTCAATTAATCTCAATTTAAGGGCATTCAGAGTGTGAGCAGTTGTGCTGAATGTTGTCCTCTGATTGTCTCTGTGGTAGGATTCAAAGGTTGAAAGGGAGAATCTTGACTTTTTATCCTCATAGACCTTCTCTAAGAATCCTGACTTTTTCATAGCATCCTGACTTTTTACCAGAATCCCAGCCTTTTCTCATTTTTCTGATTTTTTCTTAGAATCCTGACTTTGTCTGAGTCCTAACTTGTTTCTTAAATTTTCTGACTTTTTATGAGAATTCTGACTTCTTTCTTTGAATCCTGACTTAATACCAGAATCCAGATTTTTTTTCTTAAACCAAACTCCTGATTGTCACTCAGACTTCTTACTTATTTTTAGAGCTCTACCTATAAACTCAGAATTTCTCCTTTTTCCTCCTTCCTTTTTAGTGCCTCCCTACCCTTGTTTAGCTCTTATTTGAGCCTAATATTGAAATTTTAATTGTTTCAGGAAAAATATATGTTCATTTTAAATTCATTACCAGTAACATGTTTGCTATTTAAAAATGTTGTATTTAGATTAAAAAACACCCGGAGGAACCTCTCCTCAGTAAAATTGGGAAGGTTTCAGGATTTTGTGAGAGACTGTGTGAGCAAAGAGTTCAACAGTTTCAGAATAAAATTCATCGGTGTGAAATCGATTTCATCATTTATATTGCATGTTGTTAAAAATTCAGATTTGAAGAAAGGTCACAAGGTCAAGGCCTAAAGTTCTGCGTTGAAAAACAGACATGACTTTGTCGTGGAAATCACGGCATGGGTTCAAAATCACTTCTGGAAACCATCGACGGTGAACACAGCTCTTTCAGTAAAAACAAAGAAGAAAAGTGTAAAGTACCATTAAGATTAATCTTCATCTGTCCTCCTTTTATCACAGTTGAACCAACTGGGCCAGAGCTGGTGAACCCGTGCTACGGTGGAAACCACGACTGTGACACCACAGCTCAGTGTATCCCTCTGGAGGGTCAGGACTTCCAGTGCCAGTGTGCCACTGGGTACAGAGGAGACGGACGCAACTGCTACGGTACCTTTGTCTCTCTGTGCTTTAAAAAGACACATCTGATCCTGAAAGAGTCCAGGGTCTGGGCATCTCAAATGCCTGAAGTGTTTTGTGTCTGTGTGTGTGTATTAGTGTGTAATAGAGTCTGACATATCTAAACTGAGCGAACACATGTAGACAAAGTAAAGACCGTTCATGGCAGAGTGCCTGTGTTTCATCAACATCTGTCCATCCAGAGGAGAAGGGGGTCAAGTACAGGCTGGGGGAATGAATCATCTCAACCCTCTTCTTCTTCCTCTTCTCTCCTCTCACCCCTCCCTCTTCTGCTACATTCTCTTTCTCCTCATCTTTTTGCTAACTCTGTGTTTGCTCCTCTCATCCCTTCCTCTTCTGTTCACTCCTATTGTCCTCTTATCTTATCTTCCCACCTCTATCTCTTATCTCTCTTCTTTCCCCACCTTGTTTCCTCTTCTCTTCCCCTCATCTCCTCTTCTTTTGCCTCTTCTTACCCTTTGTCTTCTTCTCCTTTTCCTTTATCCTAGTCTTAATATTGTTGTTCACAGAGCCTCTCAGTACTCTGGGCTGGATCATGGTCTGTCATTAGCCCAGCAGCAGGTCCTTCTCCCTCTCTCTCTCTCTCTCTCTCTCTCTATCTCTGGTTTTCTCCTGCTGACAGCGCTAGGAAGGCCTCAGGCTGAGTCACAGTTCCCAGGATTAGACTTAAGTCTCTCTCTCCCTTTGCCTGTGTTTTAATCCTTATATTTAAAATCCATCCGACAATGTTGTCATGAAAACAGGGGTGACAACCTACGTTAAAGTTACACAAACTGGCAGGAACACAATGTGTACATACTCCAACAAAAGCACCAGTAATTAGACCGTTACACCTTGTAAACTCGCAAACAGATTCCTGGTTTATAGGTGGAAGAGTTAGTGTGAAACTCACTTTTATTCTTTTTTTTCTCCTCTCTGCAGACATCGATGAGTGTGCCGAGAACTTGAGCTCATGCCGTGCTCATGCTGAGTGTGTGAACCTACCTGGCAGCCATCGCTGTCAGTGCCAGAACGGCTACGAGTTCGGCTATGACGGCCGTACCTGCGTTGGTGAGTACCACCCCGATTCTAAAAATGTGGGACAAAGTTGGTTTAATGCTTTTCCAGTCATTTAAACTCAGTATTTGATCAAAATTAGTGAAAAGACAACATATTAAACATCTTTATTACATTTTTTATTGTGTAACAAAAAAGTATGTGCTCATTTTAAATGTCATGATAGCAATGCTTTTTCCAGAAAGTTCTTTGGTAACACTTTACTTGATGCCTCTCTCTATAACGCATTATAAATATATGTATAATGTGTTATAATCAAGTTATAGCACTGTATTACTATAGTTATAAACACTCATGCATGATCCTAATGCTTTATAACAATAATAATTACACACTGTAAAGCATTTTATCATGACTTACAAGATCAGGTATAACACATGACTCTCTATAAGTCCTGATAAAATGTTTTATAATGTGCAATGATTATTGCTATAAAGCATTATGATCATGTATGAGTGTTTATAACTATAGTTATACAGTGCTATAATGTGATTATAATGTATTATAAAATATTTATAATGGGTTATAGAGACAGGCGTCAAATAAAGTGTTACCAGTTCTTTCATTGACAAAAAACTCTAAAAAAGATGCAAATTGCTAAAGAAAACCTATTATGCTCAAGTGCAATAGATTTGTATCATTACAGTTTATAAAAAAGGCATTTCGTATCCCAAAAGTAACACACTGTGAGAGACTGCATGAGCTATTAGTTTGATAATTACAGGATTATGAACTTTGGTGTTAAACTACAAAGAATTTGGGGATTTCATCACCTGCATTCACAATATTCTGCAAATAATTAAGAGAATCTGGAGAAATTTCTGCACCAAAGTGACAAGTCTGATAGCTGAAACTGCGTGGGTGTGACACTGCATTTAAAAAAGACATGACTTTAGAGTGGAGGTCTACGCATGGGACCAAAATCACATGCAAAAAACCAGTGGATATGATAGCGTGTTGCTGCATCCACAAATGCATGCTAAAATTGTACCGTGTGTCCAAAACAGTTTATTTTTGTGTGTGTTAAATTGCTTCATCATTCCCCGCAGCTGTTATTTCTCCTCTAAAATGAACCAAAGTCCATTTTTGTGTTTCGGTCTTTGGGCTGAGCTCCATAATTGCTCTTAAAACTGACACAAGCAAGGATGTCAGCTGATGCAACCCACCGGAGTAACCGAATCTCATCCTCTTCACGGGTCGTTTGCGAGCTCCACGTGTTGTTGGTCAAATAAGACACGTCCTGAAGGGTGTAGTTCTCCGTGTTCTCAAAATCGAGCCCAGTATTTTGGAAAAGATCCACATATTTGTCCCAGCGCAGGCATAACATTTCTTCCACAACAGTAACGCACAGCTGCAAAAGCGAGACAACGCAGCGAGAGAGAGAGGAGAGAGAGGGAGGATGGGTGACAAATGTGAGAACGAGGAGGGGAAGGAGGAGAGGGTGAGATTAGACAGAGAGGGGGGGTGAAAGTGGGAGACAAATGGAGCAATGACACAGTGTGTGTTTTTGCTTTGGAATGTGTGGAGGAGAGAGGTCCTGCCGGTGTGTGTTTGTGTGTGTGTGTGTGTGTGTGTGTGAGTGTGTGTGTCCTGCTTTCACCCATCAGTATGAACTTTTGATGAACCTCCTTTAAACTCTCCTCACCTTCCTCTTCACTGATAAAGTCCCATTTCACATTTTAAGGCCTCGAAATGATTTAAAAACCCCAGAACAAACACAGATTAGATAAAAATAATTTCAGGACAGATTTGTTCTTCGACAGTTTTTAGTTTGTTGTTGTTTATCTTTCACGCTCTCTTTGTTTTCAGACATCGATGAATGCAGCTCCTCTCCCTGTCACATCAACGCCAGATGTATCAACGTGCTGGGATCCTTCCAGTGTCAGTGCCAGCCAGGGTTGTACGGCGATGGTTTCTATTGTTCTCAGCAGGAAGGTCAGTGAAATTTATGTGTTTGTGGGTCGTTTCTGTGGTTGTGTGACTCCCATTATCGTATTTGGTAATACTTCGTAAAGCTGAAAACAATGATTGTTTGTGACTTTGTGTTTTTCAGCTGATTTAATTTGCTTCACTCTCACTTTCGTTTGCATAATCGGAACTTTTGCAACACAACATCAAGCGGATTTTTGAGATGTGATGTTCTGAATTTGTCTACAGCTCAGACAGTCCGCCCAAAGACTCAGTGTGAGCAGCACCGGGACAGTCTGCAGAGTGGAGAACCAGGCAGTCAACCAAGTCTTGGCGCTTTCATCCCCCAGTGTGACTCTGAGGGACAGTACCGACCCCTGCAGGTAGAGTCTGAGTGTAAAGTGAATGACTGAATGACTGTAGAGCTTTAATAAGCAATGAGCTGATTTCTAAACTGAATTACAACAGTGTCACGGCTCTACTGGACACTGCTGGTGTGTGGATAACAGAGGGCAGGAGAGAGCCGGAACCAGGACTCCACCTGGTACAGCACCCAGAGACTGCAATAAACCAGGTGAGAGAGAGGAAGCCTATTTAACACAGTTATTTCTCGACCTGCGTTTGCACTTTTTAATTTCATTCATGAAAGTTGAACATATGAGACGTGTATTTGCAAGCCTAAGTTCTGTCCATCTTTATCACTCTAGATGAGTCAGAGGGTCCGAGAACTCTCTGTGAGCGCCACAGGGATAGTGTTCAGACCACCAGTCCAGAGGGATATCCTTTGCTAGGAGCCTACGCACCTCAGTGTGATGCTAATGGAGAGTACAAGTCTTTGCAGGTATGTCGCAAATTCAGGGTTTGAAGAGGCTACCTGCAACTTAAAGTAGACTAACCTGGATTTAAAGCTCCTGTGGGGAACTTTTAACTCAACCTTAGTGCCCCCAATGGACAAAATCATTATTATCTCTTCATTAATGCACTCATTTCCTTTTTGTACATCATAGGGACCAATCACAGTTGATTTTCTGTCTGTTTCATATGCAATCTAAAACTACTCATAGGAGCTTTGAGTTCACCTACACTCGTCCCCTTGTACCAGTTTCATGCACAATTAAAATTTTACATTTTGTTGCTTATGGTCTTGTTTGTTTGTATATAATAAAAGGATAAATTTTAGTGTATTTCTAAAAGTTTAGAAAAGAAAAAAAGATCTCTTTACCGGAGCTTTAATTTGTGATTTGTGTTATCGTTGTAGTGTCATGGTTCCACTGGATACTGTTGGTGTGTGGACAGAAATGGGCAGGAGAAAGTAGGAACAAGAACGGGACCTGGACAAACACGGGCAGACTGTGATAAACCAGGTAAGGGTTTATCATTATATTGTTATTTTTGATAAAAAAAAAACATCCTCCACAACAAATTTGGTTAAACTTTACATGGATTTTAATTCTTGCTGATTGTCACAAAGTGTATTGGTCTGTTTTCTGGTCAAATATCTTGTTACGTTTACTGTGCGCCACAATTGCCTGACAAGTAATGATTGAAAACCTTATTTTGAAACATTATGAGCATTTAAAAAAGACCTGAACTGCCCTCATTTAGTAAAAAATAGCTACCAGAGCATAGAAGGGCCCCTGGCACAACTCACCTGCATTTAAGAGGCACTTAAGTTTTTTGTATTTCACGTCCATTAAGTAAATAAACCTGTAAGAGGCGGTACAATGTGATCAAAACCAAAGCAGCAAGAAGGGATATCCTTATTTTTGGTCAAGTTTCATGAAAAATCCCCCCAAAACAACCGATAATAATCTCTCTTTAGACTCGCTCTGTTAGGGTAAATCCCCACATCTTACAAAATCCATACTCCTAATTTTTTAATGCCTGTCTGATGTGAGTTTAAGTGTCCAAACCCAAGCTGAGATAATCCCAATGACATCACGGTGACATCATTACACTCTCAAAGTCGACAAAGCCCCACCAGAGGTGAAGAAGACGTAATATGGCAGTTCTTTCAAGGCGTAGCAGGGTTTACCATTACAAGTAAACATGTTGGGTAAAATGAGTGGAACGCCCCTTTCAAAGCCAATGAGGCAATTATGGACTGATCCCATTATCCCAGGATGTAACAAAAGCTACCAAAGCAAGTCGACTGTTTTTTATGGGTCTAAACGTGATTCGACAAGACACCAAAAACTGTTCCTTTATGCAGATGACACCGTTCTGCTGTGCTTCATCACCTTTAACCAATTGTATAGTTGAAACTGAATCTATAATGCTCTACTATTTGGATGCTTAAGTAATTTACATAATAGTATTAGTACGCTATCACAGAATTGTGCTCTGTTTCTTTTTATTCCCCCAGATGAACAACAGCGTCCTAAAACTCACTGTGAGCTCCACAGAGACAGCGTACAGACCACCAGTCCAGAGGGATATCCTATCGTCGGAGCTTACGTACCTCAGTGTGACGCTCATGGTCAATACAAATCATTACAAGTCAGTAATTGTAATTTTTCGTATTTTCACATAAATAACTCAAAGCTTATATGTGAAGGTTTTCGCTTGTGTCAATTTTGGCGCCCCCTGTGGACAAAGTGTGGTCTACCTCTTGGCTGATAATTGTGAACACAATTGTTACTTTAGTGCCATGGTTCCACTGGACACTGTTGGTGTGTGGACAGTACCGGACAGGAGCGGGAAGGAACCAGGACACCTCCTGGTACACCATCCAGAGACTGTGACAAACCAGGTGAGGTTTGGTCTGGCATTAGACATGTATTTCTTAATAATAAAAAGCTTGTGTTTATTGTTGTGGAATTGTTGATTTTTCACTGTCTTTACAAGTAAAATCTATTATTTTCTTCTCAGATGAGCCACAGCGTCCTCAAACTCACTGTGAGCTCCACAGGGACAGCGTACAGACCACCAGTCCAGAGGGGTACCCTATAATAGGAGCTTACGTTCCTCAGTGTGATGCTAACGGACAGTACACGCCACTGCAGGTGAACGTCTTATTACTGATGGCAAAAATATATATATATATACTGTATATATAATATATATGTAACTTTTTTCTTTTTATACAGAGTAACATCATTTTTGACTGCATGAAATTGACTTTATTCCTCGTATTTTACAGTGTCATGGCTCTTCTGGGCATTGCTGGTGTGTAGATAGGACCGGACAGGAGAGAGCAGGAACCAGGACATCACCTGGGGCACCACCAACAGACTGTGACAAACCAGGTGAGAGTGACAAAGATGAGTATGAATGGAAAAATGTCTCTGAGTTTAACATCCCAGGGGTGCTTGAGCTGTTCCTATACATGTGTTAATGGTACGAGTATCAGCAGGTGCATTATGTCATGGCTCTTCAAGGCTGCCTCGCAAAACATTGACCTGTGAACTGCATAATTCCTCAGCTCAATGACAAGTCAAACAGACAGCACGTTTACGTGAGTGTGTCTAACCTTGTAAGTGGTACTCTATTAAGGTCAATGGGTCCTAGCCTTGGAATGCCTGGGAAAACAGGTGACATCACTGCGAGGCTGTGTGTGGTAGGAAGCTTTACAGAAACGACGGCAGAGTGAATCACTTACATGAGGCTGAAAAATACGGTCAAGAAATAAGAATTTGTTTTGTTTGAAATAAATGTAAAGAAACACAAAATAATTCATTCATTATCCTGACTTTGGATTCCTTCTACCCTGTGCTGCCAGTGAGAAAATAGACATCCCGCTTCTGTGAGTCTTTATTGATGAAAATGTTTGTTTCACTTACTCATTGTTGTGCTGCACAAATTCATGTTATGTTTTGTAGCTTTATATTGTGTTACATGTCTAAATATTTCTTTATTTTACTTCACATTAGGTTATTTTTGTGGTGTTAGGTTGCATTGTGTTACCTTACATTGTGTTATGTTACCTTGTGTTACATTGGGTTGCGTTATGTGTTACACAACATGTTACGCAACACTGTGTTAGATGATATGTTACATTGAGATATGTATCAGTGTGTTACACTACATTGTGTTATGTGACTATACATTGTTTAACTTTACCTTGTGCAGTGTTACGTTGTGTAACAATATGATGTGTTTTGACGTGTTATGTCACTTCACTTTGTTACATTACCATGGTACGCTTGTTAAATTACATTACAACATTTTACTTAATGTTACTTTTCTTGATGTTACATTTAATTACATTACAATTAATTATTAATATATGTTTAATCAAGTTACATTTCATTACATTTCTCCACACATGACAAATTGCTACTTTAGATTTACCGTATTTTTCGCACTATAAGGCGCACCTGATTATAAGACGCACCATCAACAAACGCGTCTATTCACGTCTATTTTCATACATAAGGCACACCGGATTATAAAGCGCATTAAGCCAAACAAAACAGTCATATAAGTCAAACTTTATTTAACTCATTCAAAAACTCCGCGAGGCTACGGTAGCTGCAGTGCTCAGACAAGCCAAAAGGATTTTAAGTGCGCCTTATAGTGCGAAAAATACAGGAGTTACATTATGTGAAATCTCATTATGATACATGTCTTTCATTACGTGATGCTGAGCCTCTCTATTTTTTTCTTCTAGATGAACCGCAGCGTCCCAAAACCCACTGTGAGTACCACAGAGACAGAGTCCAGACAACCAGTCCAGAGGGATATCCTTTATTCGGAGCTTTTGCGCCTCAGTGTGATGCGGATGGACAGTACACACCGCTGCAGGTGAACATTGTCTGAGTGACATTTGTTTGGGTTTAGCTGTAGATTTTAAGGTTTCAGGTTCTATCCTAACCCATTTTTTCTTACTCCTTAAGTGTTACAGCTCAACTGGAGAATGTTGGTGTGTGGACAGTACAGGGGAGGAGAGAGTAGGAACTAGGACCTCTGCAGGAGCGCCACCGCCAGACTGTGACAGACCAGGTGAGGGACAACAAAACATGCACTGAGAGACGCAAAAAAGATGTGAAATGTCAAATTAAGTTGCAACATTAGAGACTGAACGAACAAGTCATCCACCAAATTTAGAAAAGCTGCAAATACATGAGGAGTCTAAAGAAATATCCGTTCAGAAAGGACAAGGCTGAAACTATCTCTGGATGGTCATGATCCTGCACGAAAAAATACATGACTCTGTAGTGGACGTCACTGCATAGGTTCAAAACTGCTTCCAAAGATTCTTTTTTATTAACATTTTAAACAGACTCCCATCTCTTTTGGAACTGTGGTAGAACTTTTGTGCTAAAATAATGGGCAGAAGTTGTGTAGCACACTGCTGCTCATCGGGTTAAAACCACAATTAACAGTTTAAACTGAAAAGAATAACTTGATTTATTGCCTCTCTCTCCCTCTCTCTCTCTCTCTCTCTCTCTCTCTCTCTCTCTCTTTGGCTCTCTTTGCTCTCTCGCCCTCTCACTCCCACTCTAAACGTACACAAAGAGGCCGTTCTATAAATCCAGCCCTCGCTATAAATTCCATTTATGACCATCCAAACATCTGAAGTGGTCACTTCTTGGTAGGATGAGCCTGAGGGCTGTTGCGAGGCAACCGAACCAAAACATGACAGGTTGGCAGACCAGCTGAGCGACAAAACAGTGTTACACCCTCCCTGCAGATGCACATCACTCTAAAAACACATGCTTATAGAACTGTCCGCTTGCTCTGCCTCTTTAAATCTAAATGTGTTTGACTTAGTTTGATGACTGCACATTTATTTGCTCTATTTCTCATCTGGAAGCTGCATTAGAGGCTCTCGTACTGTCATTATTTGCAACGATGGTGGCTTTTCATGCTCAGTTTTAGTTTGTGATTCACATCCTGTGGTTGTCTAAATTAAAGGTTCGGATTAGAAACACTATTTATGAAGATGTGACCCCTAAAAGGAACTTTTTAAACTTTATTTTTGTAAACAAACATATAATAAACAACATGGGTAAGCACTTTTGAATACAAGTGCAGCTCAAAACATGAGAAAGTTCTGAAAAGGTCAATTTTTCCCCCAAATTTGATTCAAAAAGGGAAACTTTCTGTCAAATGGTTTTAGATAGTTTTTGATTTCCATTAGCTGTAAGCCTCCATTTCACAAACACAAGGAGGTTTGGACAAGAACCATCTTCATGTTTCTGTTGTTTACACTACACTTGAAAAATGAGCTGCGATTATTGGGTCTGAACAGTCAATCCTGATATCAAGAATGTGTTCCCCACGCTGCCTCATGCCAATACGGACAAATTCCTGCGCAGCTCAAAAGTATGTGAAAATGGTCTGCCAGCTGTTCCACACATTTATTCCAGCAAAGACAGCTGTCTGTACACATTTTATTTTCTGGGTTATGAAATCTGCAGTCAGACTCCGCCAGCAGACGCCCCTCCAAAGACCTGAGCTGGTGGAGGTGTACTGTATGTACTGTACCGAGCTCAGAGGACTGTCATGTATCACACTGAGACTGTTTTGTGGAGGAAGATAGTGTCAGATCACTCTGTAAGAGGACTTTATGTCATACTTAAGGTAATCTTTAAAACTCAGTCATGGTACTAGAAGTTTGAACTGTCATCAATTATGGTTCAAATACCGAAGGAACAAAAATTGAACTTGTAGTTAGTCTCATTTCTCCAACATTTCGCCCTGCACACCATTATGTTTAGGCACAGTGTTAAGGAGGGCAACTTGAGATTAATTTACAAATACCATCTGATTTCTCTTCTCCGCCATTTTGTCTTCTCTCAGTCTCTTAGTGGAGGGTTGTTAAGATACCCTTACCTGAAGTAGAACCAAACACAACCATATTTTTCTCAACTGAATTACTTCTATCTGTTATGGATGACGCCATCTTTATTGTAGTTTGATCCTTGACGGCCTCCGTTGCCTTGGTGACAAGAATTTTCTACAGACTGCACCTTTAAAATGATCCCTGGTTTTCAACTTTCTTATAAAATTACCAATCTAGACCATTAATTGAAAGGTTTTTTTTTAAAACTAAACCAAATTCGCTGCAAATTTCAAGAGTTGGCTTCATGCTGGCATCAAACACCCACATCAAACTCAAATCAGAGCGCCAGTTTCAGTCAGCCTGTATTTTTGCGTACCCACATAATTGTTATAACTCATTGCCAGCTCAGGATGCCAGCCTCGGGACTGAGATGTCATTTATTTAGTGGACGGTCCACATGCTGATGACTTCTGGGAAGGACATTAGAGGAGACAGAGCCTGCTAAACTTAGTTCATCACAGAGAGGAAGCTGAGTGATTCACAGGACCGGACAACAGCACGCTAACTTCAGCTGAAATAAACCCCTCTGGAAAAACCTCGTACAGGACATGAATTTAATTGTTTTGTTAGTCTTTGTCTCTCTGATCTCTCACTGCAGATCTGCTCTCTTCTCACACTTCTCTCAGATACTCTCCTGATCCCCCTCTTAGTTTGGAGGCTGTAGAAACTTAAAGGAGGAGAGAGAGAGGGGGGCCTGAGTAAACATTCGTAGAAGCCTAAAGTGGTTTCGGGTGTAGTTTTAAAGCTCTCCCATAAAATGAGTTATCAAAGGGGTTTTACAAGGTAAACAGTATTGACAAAAGCAAGATGTGTGTGTGAGCCTCTTTAAACACAGGGCCCTCCTACGCCATTAATCAGGCACTTAAACGCTCACTTTGAGATAACTTTGGAAAAAGAGAATAAAATTTCAATAAATGACAAGAAAAATGAGATCAGACTCATGAAAAGTTGTAACCATGTTTGATTCCTGTCCTCCTCAGTCCCTGTGGCTCCAACCCAGCGTCCCGAGAGTGTGTGTGAGCGATGGAGGGCCAGTTTGATCGAGCACTATGGTGGGAAACCAGAGGCGCAACACTATGTGCCCCAGTGTGAGGCAGACGGGCAATTCAGGTATCAAAACACGCACAAAAATACTGTAGTATACTGTTTTTTTTTTTTTTAAAACAAGGCTCTAAAGAAGTGCCTCTTTTCACAGTCCAGTCCAGTGTTACGGGGAGACCACCTACTGCTGGTGTGTGGACGAGGATGGACGTGAGGTTCCCGGTACCCGATCGCATGCTGCTGTCAAACCTGCATGTACGTACCATGTGTTTAAACCTTGATGGTAACACTTCATGGTGATTATGCTCCAAAAATGCTCAATTGCGTCATCAAATGTCATCCTAGGCCTTCCCTCAGTGGCCCCGCCCACTGTGCGTCCATTGCCCCGCCCAGATGTGACCCCTCCCCCAAATGCTGACATCACCCTGCTGTACGCACAAGGGCAGAAAATAGGGGCGCTGCCTCTGAACGGGACCAGACTGGATGGAAACCGGTCCAAAACTCTACTGACTCTGCATGTAAGACTTACTCTGGTTAATGGAGTTCTTGTATTGATTAATTGACCGTATCTATTGTATATTGTTTTCATCCAGATCCACAATTTACAATCTACAGGAAGTGTTGTGTACTTCAAAATAAAAGCACAGTTTTATGCTTTGTCTGACCAATTTTACGACCTTAAATATCAGATTCAGGACTGGAAATGGATGAAAAACCAAAGAAAGCTGCATTAGTTGAGTGCATATGAACACTCATGATTCAGTGCACGCTCATGTATATACATGTGTGTGTTTGCAGGGATCTATAGTTGTGGGTATCGCCCATGACTGCAAAGAGAATCGAGTCTATTGGACGGATTTGTCTGCAAGAACGATCAACAGAGCTTTAGTGGCGGCTGGAGCTGAGCCCGAGATCCTCATCAACACAAGTACGAAGACGATCGTAAACTCCTTCATTTCTGTTATAACCCCCCCTAAGGACCAATCACAACAGCTTTCATGTCTTGCGTACAGATCTGGTCAGTCCAGAGGGTTTGGCACTGGACGTCAATCGCAGAATGATGTTCTGGGTCGACTCAAACCCGGACTTGATTGAAAGCGCAAACTTGGACGGCAGCGGGAGGCGGACGCTGTTTGACACCGACCTGGTCAACCCCAGAGCCATCATAGTGGTCTCCTCCACCGGGTAAGGCCCTGGATTCATAACACAGCTGCTGATTTTTGTAATATCTTACATTAAGTTTAAAGAAAAAGGTTGAAATTAAAGGAAGAAGGTGCACTTTGTTTCACCCTCCAAGCCTCGAGGGGGGAGTTTAGCCCAGATTTACGAACATGCACGAATCTCGAAACAAACAAACACCCACTCTCATGATCGAGTGTCACGTCCTGGAGGAGCTCCACTGAAGCAGAACGAGATATCGGCAGTGATTTTCTATCAGAGGCGGCCCCAGATGGTTTTCAGCCCATTAGCACAACCATGAAATCAACAGCATCCAAAACCTGCAGACGTGCTCTGAGTCAACACGGCCTGTTTCTAATTCATGAGTACAGTGGGGGGTTGTATTTACAGGCATTGCATAGTGATTTCGGTTAGAGTCTGTGACCTTAACATGACCTCATGGGTGTGAGACGCTGACACAGAGACATGGACGGGATGATGGGGCAGCTCTTCAGCCTCTAATCGTCATAATCTTGTCGTAAGAGTAACTTAAAAATGCTTTTGTTTGACGCCAAACTAAACTGAGAAAACTGGATTTACTGATGCTGTTAATCCAGGACACACACACACAAACACACACACACACACACACACACACACACACACACGCACATGTGCAGGGTTGAAAATATGAGGCTGTCATCACTCCGCTCTCCAGGAATAACATCTGCTTTTCGTCATCGCAACTAATCACATAATCAACAGGTATGCATGCATGTGTGTTTGAGAACGTGTGTGTCTGCAGTTGTGTGTGTCTACATTTGTGTGTGCGTGTGTGTAGAACCCTAATTCCAAAAGTTGATTTTAGTGATTTTTAAAGATAACGGATCAGATATTCAAAATTAAAATTGAATGTAGATTTAAAGCCCCAGTGAGAAATTTTATGTTTGTGTTGATTTTGGCGCCCCCCTGTGGACTTAGGGGTTTTGGTCTGTCACAAAAAACTGCTGACTTTTTTTACTGTTAAGCAGTGTTGTTTTCGTTGACAATGAAAACAACACTGCGTAATTTATGTTTAGTGTTTGACTGATGAAATGCTAATGAATTTCGCAACTCTGTTCATCGTCCACCACTAACGTTTTCGTCTAGTCTCGTCTTGTCAACGTAAACGCACATTCGTCTCATCACATTTTAGTCATCTAAGACTTTAGCTCGTCAACGTCACGTCTTCGTTGTGGAAAAAAAGGGGGCGTCAACGTCATCGTCAACGAAAACAACACTGCCGTTAAGTATATCACTAATTTCCCCATTTCTCGTCACCCTAAATGTTTTCAGGAGGCGACAGACTAGGACTTTAGGCAGACCACTTAACATATTTTTCACACTATAAGGCGCACTTAAAATCCTTTTGGCTTGTCAGAGCACTGAGCACACAGAGTTTTTGAATGAGTTAAAGTTTGACTTTTCTGACTGTTTTGTTTGGCTTCCATAATCCAGTGCGGCTTATGTATGAAAATAGACGTGTTAATTGATGGCGCTTTATAATCAGGTGCGCCTTATAGTGCGAAAAATACGGTAAGCTTCAGGACTCTGGATTCAGCTGTTATTTTTTTATCGTGCTTTGGAGCCTATGCAGTGATTCCCACTACAGAGTCATGCCTGGTTCTGCCTGAGGCTCTCAGATCACAGACTTATGGGATTGGTTTTATCATGAACTGTAGTTGATGAAATCTCTTCTTTGATTCTATTCTAAGGACAATGACCCTGAAATAGTCAGACTGTTGCTCACACAGTCTCTCACAGAGTCTGATCTTCACCTCTGAGAGACTCAGCCTCTTACTGGAACGCCCTTTTTTATACCCAGACATGTTAATCACCTGTTGTAAATGAACCTCATTAGTTTGGAGACGTTCCTCCAGGTGTTTTTTCGTCATAACGCGACTTTTTAATGCTCTGTTGTCCCAGTTCCACCTTTTATGAATGTGTTGTTAACATCTCATTAAAAAACAAACATAATTTCCAGTAAAAATATATATTTTTTATTAAATATGTTGTTTTTCCAATTTAAGATTCTGTTTTTGTTGAAGTTTTATAGCGTCCCAGCCTTTTTGAAATTATGGTCTTATGTATTAAATACAGCGCTTTAACACAGCAGCAACAACCCCGATCATAAAAGCTAAGATGTGCGAGTTCAGATTATCGCTTTGACAGTTTATTTTCTAACTCAAGGCCAAGTGTGTGTGCGCGTTTATGTGCTTTGACTTAAAGCCAAGCCCTTAAGGTAATTGCTGCTTCACATGGGTACACTTATGCATGTGCTCTGTGATTTCTGAGCCTTCACATATTGCCCTCACACACACACACAGACTCACACAGACACACACTCAAAAATCACACACATTATAAAAACAGGAACAGCATCTGCTCGCCTATAGGATCATAAATTGATTAATGCACACACATTCATAAACACATGCTGTGTGTGTGTGTGTGTGTATACGCTGATTGCTCATGTGGTGTGTGTTACCTGTGGATCCCAGTGGACTGCCCACATGTGCGCCATCACGTGCAGACGAGAAGCACAAGGCGTCAGACGCAGCCCACACACACACACACTTTAAAAATGTTCCCAAACAAGAGAATTTGATTGATTTGTAGTTTTAACAAACTCGCGTCTAACTCAAAATAAGAACATTTATGGGTGTATGTTCTGATTTAAACGAACAACACATCCATGAAAAGGCATTGGGTCAAAGGTCACACATTGCTCAGAGTAACCTGACCGTCACCTCATCAGTTTGAGACAGCTGCTCCCCGGTGAGCTGTCCTTTTCTGCCTTCATGTACCAACCCTCATGGGGCTTCGGTTCTCTTATATGAGCCAGATCCCACTGCTGAGCTCCAAAACCACTCCGGGTAGAAACCCCTGATTTTTCCACAGAAGCAGGTAAATCACAAAGCTGCATCTTCAGACTCTGTTATGTCGTCTTGTTGCAGAACTCTGTACTGGACTGACTGGAACCGAGAGGCTCCAAAGATTGAGAGCTCATCAGTGGACGGTCGGAACCGCAGAGTGGTCGTGTCGGAGGGGATTGGCCTGCCGAACGCTCTCACGTATGACTCTTCTTCAGGACAGGTCTGCTGGGCTGACGCAGGTAAACACTCCCTCTACTTCAGTTCTACTCCTAAAACCGCTATCTGGGTGACTTCAGACGCTCAAATGGTTCAATTTTTGTACAGGTACGAAGCGTTTGGAGTGCGTGTCCTCAGACGGTTCAGGTCGAAGAGTGGTCCACCCCAGCGTCAACTACCCATTCAGCATGGTCTACTACAGGAACCACTTCTACTACACCGACTGGAGGAGGTAGCCATCTTTGTGACAGCGCAAATGTCCAATTATCACCGATCACTGATCGTTAAGGTGATCGGTCATCCTCTGTGCCTCTCTATGTCTGCTGCCTTACAGGGACGGAGTGATCGCAGTAAATAAGGAAAGCAGTCAGATCACTGATGAGTACCTGCCAGACCAGCGCTCTCACCTGTACGGCATCGCCATAGCAACTAGCCAGTGTCTATCAGGTGAGATCTGTTTGATAGAAACACAATTACTAACCCTTTGACATGTTCTCTCTTATGTATTATAAAAAAGGCTTCAATATGACTCTGTTTGTAAACAAAAAAAACTCCCTACTAGAGCTTTAAAGTCAGGTTTTAACAGGTTCTGATGGAACCACTGTTGCAGACCACTTGCTTCTCTAGTTATACCAACTTTAGTAACGACCACACGATAGCAATACACAGCCGTCTGAGGAGCCACACGCTCAACCAAAACGCCACTCTATAGCCACAAATAATGCTCAGAACAGCACCTAACTTCATCAACAGTACATATAAGGTCCCAGCCATGGATAGTAACTTCATGTTGGTTGAATTGAGTATTTTTCATGCAGTTTTTCTACCTGCACTGAGCCTGTAGTTTAGGAAGTTTTAGTTTAACAGTATTAAAATTGTTCTAGGTTTGAACTCTCAATCGCTCTGAAAAAGAAGGAGCACTTTTTAATACACTTTGATATTTCATTTTAGCTCAGAAGATCCAGAGTTTTCCCCCTGAAACCCAAACTGCCCGTTAATAGTACCCTGGAAGCACAAATTGTGCCGAATATATTCATGCTTCATTCTACCTTTCAGGGCGAGGAGAGGTAATTGGCCCCAAATTTAAGCTTTATTCCCTCACTTTAAGTCCTGCTGTTTTTTATCAGTCACATCCTTGTTACACCTGAGATCAGCAAAGAAAGAGTACAGAGGAGATCATGAACTCAAAAGAGAGGAGGGGCCACCTGACATGAGCAGGTAGTTGAAGCAGCTGAGAAGCAGGCAGGTCCACAGAGGTATCCAGAGGAAGCTACGGCATGATGGACTCGCAGAGAAGACTGTGATGATTCAAAGTTAAAGGGGTATTCCAGCATAAATTTAAGTTAGGGTCAAACACACCGTAACACAGAGTTGGACACCAACTCGAGAGATGAACGTTGCCAACCGCTTGCTTCTCTAGTTATACCAACTTTAGTAACGACCGCATGATAGCAGTACACAGCGGTCTGAGGAGCCACAAACAAACCTCAAACAAAACGCCACTCTATCGCCACAAATAATGCTCAGAACAGCACCTAACTTCATCAACGGTACATATAGGGTCCCAGCCATAGTACTAGCCACCAAACATCTTTTTAGCTTTGCCTGATTTCTTTAGCAAAGAGACTAAACACAACTCACCTACTCTCTTCCAGCAGCCGTTTGTTTGTAGCGAGACCTCAGGCCAGTCCATTACGAACTGCTGCGGGGTGACGCAGCTCAAGGATCATTACTTTATCATTTCCTTATAGTAATAATCATCATATAAATCATTCTGCACTGCAGACACGGTAGTTCTTCTGCCTTAGCATCTCGGTCTGATTACATTTCCATGAAGAAATGATCATAAATGTTCTTCCTTGAGCTGCGTCACCTTAACCCACTGCAGTCGATGGACTCGCCTTAATTTTATGTCGGAATATCCCTTTAAGTCATGTGAGCCTTTACTGGATGGAGAAACTCATCACCATAGGAAAACAGTCATCACACAGCTGGATTACACCCACTACCTCAGACTTGTACCTTTGTTTTTGTGTGCGTGTGGTGACTTCACAAAAGAGCAGCGATTACACACAGCTGTCTGCGACCCTCCACTTCTAACCCATGTGTGTGTGTTTGTGAATCCACTCCACACAGCTGTGCGCGACCCTCTACCTGTATTTTGTGTTTGCGTGCGTCATGTTTGATGTGCCCCTGCATGCAGACGTCTTCACCTCCTTTCAAAGACTCACATTTTACACCTTGAAAGTACAAAGTGGGCCTCTAAACACAGGATAATCCCCAAAGTGGCACCTCGGCGGGGCTGCACACATCTGCAGGGAGCGTAAAAATCTGCCCCTCAGTCCGACTCGCAAAAGTGATCCAAAAAATTGAGTTTTAAATGTTCCTCTGACTCTCTCTAAAACCTCAAGACGAAACAACCACCGCGACTTCAAAGATGTGGATGTGCGGTGTAATTGCGCCCATGATGACGGCTCTTAACGCTCTTGTTGAGGGTTCGGGAGCTGCTTGTAAGAGGCTTAAAAGCTGTTATTGTTGAATAACGTGAACACACACTGACACATGCTCTTAACGCAGATAATTTGCGGTCGCCACAAGCAGTAAAGTGAAGGGCTTTGTGTGGGATGTTTGTTCTGTCATTAGAGCCGTCGCGGCGCTTAAGCTTTCATCCTGTTGCGCTCAGAGTCACACAGGAAGAGAAAATCAGACCTTTAATGCTCCATTTCCTCCTGCAGCTTTGAAGAAGAGGTTTGTTCTTCTACTAACAATGGAACATTTGTGTCAAGTAGCAACTTTCCGTCCTCGTAACGTTTGATTTCTGTCTCAGGGATCCATTAACGATGGACTGGCAGCTGAAGAGTCCTTGGTGCTAAAGCTGGGGGGATGCCTAAAAAGAGGGGACCACCCCGAACAGCGCCCTCTCCAGTCGCCCCCTCAGAAGAAGGATACTCAGTTGGGGAGCAAGTCGGCTTCCTCTCGCCAGATCGACCATCTTTCAGCGAACCCCGTCCTCTCACCTCGAACCCGACCCCGTTATCTCACCTTAAAGATGTAACCCCCCAAATAACTGTTTTGTAAATGTGTTTTATACCTCATTTCTAGTTTTTTTTTGTTTTCTACTGTATTTTTGTACGTGAGTCGTTTTTGTTTTTCTATCATTTAAAGCTACAGGAGATTGGAGTTTAGGTTTTCTGTCTTTTACGCCACAGAAGAATCACATAAAGGAGCCTCGAGAAAGTGTTAAAAGCTAAATTCATGCATCAGTTTTCTTTCCAGTCAGCCGGTCACGGCGGCGGTGTTCAGATTAAGTCAAGTGGGAAACGTACGAAAAAGAAAGAGGTGGAATAAGGTCCTTTTTTCCTCAGCCCAGTGCGCCAGCTGGAACATCAATCTCTGCACTAATAATCTCTACTTTACACATCATGAATTGACGTCAACATTCTCCTTAATGCCAAATATTTTTGCTCCATCTACTTTTCAAATCTTTATCTTTTTATAAGATGTGATATTTATAACAATAAAATGTGATTTGGTACTTGACAGACCTGCAGTTTGTGGTGTTTTATGGACACTTAAACTATTACGAACAAGCGTCACTTACTTATATCTGAGTAATTTTGTTCTTCAGAATCAGAAACACATTAATAATCCTCAGGGGGAAATTGCTTTTGTCACAGTACTCCAGTGCAAATACAATAAAAATAGGGGGAAAATAATAGATAAAATAAGTGATAATAAAGAGATAATATACAAGTATTTACACACAAATAGTAACATCAGATGCATGTAAATCTGAGCACAGTTACTTATTTACAGTAAGTCAATGTTGATTAAAAATTACTGCATTTTAAAAAATGATGTTTATATTGATTAACTAATGTTTTATTCGTGGCGTCAAATCCTAACAATTTTAACAAAGTTGACCAGAAAATAACTGTAACACGAGTTGGAATTTTATTAATGAGGAAAGGTCAATTTTTCTAAATTTCCTAGAAGAAATTGTCTGCCTTGAACATACACCACATCCTTCAGGACGTGTGCAGTTTCTCCTTTTAGCCACTAGAGGTCAGCATGACGCTGTTTACGATCAAGTAAGGAGGCAGTACAACTGCACTCCTCTACATAAAATCAGAGATGCTTCTTAATCTTCGTCCTTAAAAGCGTGATTTTGAACTGGTTGTGAAAAAGAAGTAAATTAATACCAGTGCCTTGACACAGATCTTACCAGGAATGAGATTCATTTCTTAAAAAGTGTCACTTTAGGGTAAAAAAATGTATGTTTTGCACTCAAACCATCTCAACCAAATGCTAAAGCTTAAAAATTTTGTAGCATAACAAAGCAGTTGAATAACTATCATTTAGCTCTTCAGACCTACACATTAATCATGTTTAATGAAGTTAAATCACTTTACAATCAGAAAAATCTGATATACTTAACAAGTGTATTAGTTTTTAATCGTAAAAATACAATAAATAAATACTCTTTTGGACAAATAAGTGTCTGTTTTCTTTCTACCTGTCTAACTTCCTAAAGTGAAGGCTGTGAAAACCATATGTCTCTATTAACAGGTTAAAGAAATCTGCTTCCCATCAAGGATGAAGCATAAAAATTCGATTTTAATAAAATCTGAGAATGTAAGTTACTAGTTGTCATAAAAACTTTAGTTTGACAAAATAAGCAAACTTTATCCTCTTGGGAAAAAAGTGAAGAGCCCAGGAAAGCCAACAAGTGAGCCTTGAGTTTTCTCTTTGCGAAACAGGCCCCTGGGTAGTCTTTCAGACAGTGAACTGATACTCAACCGAACTGGATCTGCTCCAGAAGATTCTTTGGAAATATGACAGCGTGAGTGATTCTCTGGGAAAAACTGTATAAAGTGGTGTCTGTCCCCCAGCTTATTCACACTGGGATTGTATAACTTGTCAGCGTGGAGTTGAAAATTAACCAGTGGTGGAAACAATCCCAAAATATCCCACGGAGGTCGGAGAGCCCCTGATTTGCTGATACCTTCCTTTACTTGAACCAAACCCCGCAAAGGGAGATCTTAAATTTAAGGTTTATGTTCAACCAACAATAAAACCACACCAATACTACACAGGACTATTAATTTCAAAAGGATGAGGCACACCTGGACACAAAAACAAACCAAATCCTTCATTTCTGAATGAAAACACTCAGATTAATGTTGGCATAAACCCTGTGGGAAAGTCCCAACTCACCACATCCCACAAATTGTCTTCAAAACATCAAGTAGCAAAACAACAATATTCACTCAGCAATATTCCCTCAGCACCACTGCCAATTTATTGTGCGTCTTTGCCAGTAAAATGTCAACACTAATCTCTTTGTTTCTTTGTTTTTGGCTCAGGCTGATAATATTTGTGGTTAAATGATATGTGTTACCAAAGCCCGGTTGAAGTGTTTATGTTTTCGCTCGTATCTCAGATTATAGGTGGCAGCTAATGCCAAAAACACATGCTGTGGCTGAGCTTAACCTTGGTGAATTAACACTTGTGCAAAAACAGGAAAATAGGCAGCGACCAAATGTCGCACACACTGGCACCGACAATAACAATAATGTGAACAATAGTGATTAGAGGAGTCAGGGATTACCCTTAATCTGCACTATCGATGTGTTTGTTTAAAGGGGTAGATATGCTCATTAAAAAGGAGTTAAAGCAGGGGTAACCCTCCTGTACACTGACACCTCATTCACAGAGGTGTAATCTGCTTGTTGGGGGATTATAAAAAGCAATCCAAGTGTGTGTTTGTGAGGAGGGGGGGTCTTCCCCGCAAAGGCATGACTAATGATTACAAAGATCACAGAATTACTGGCATAATTACCGAGATGATCTGATGAGCAGATGTTTGTGAGCTTCCCAGTGTCATCTGACCGGCCTCTCACGGCCTAATACAATCACCCTGAGCGCTTGTTTATCAGCGCTGCAATAAATAATGATGGACTCCGGCTATTCCAGGGGACAGGGGCACTGTTTTTAATTTATGCTTTGGGTTTTGTTCACTGGAGGGCATCCAGAGGGCACTGGTAGGACTCTATTAAAACAAAATTTCATGTGATTTTTCCAAAGGGCACCAGTGAAACCAGTCATTTGTTATATCTCCTTTAAGGTCATTTAAGAGAGCACTTGTGTGGTTTCCTTCAGGTCATCAGGGAGGACAAAACCCCACTGTAGATAAACAGTTAACATCAAGTGAGACACGTTTTACTTGATTTATGTGTGGGAAAAAAAAGTCTCTCAGTGCAGAGAGTGAGGACTGAGCAGCCAGGTGATGGCAGCATTTCTGCAAGCTTGTTATTCCAATCCACACAGGCTTCTGACGCATTTGCTTTAGTCATTCCCCCCTCTGTGCGGAGGCTGTTTTTCATTCAATAAGAACACTTTGTAAATATGCAGCAAAGTGCAGCAAAAGCATGAGGGAATATTATGTCACAAACAAAGCCTGGCTGCCACTTTGGAGCTGATCTCTACACCGGAAAGACACTTTTTTTTTTTTTGAGAAGTAGTCCCTGAAATTGTACCAAAATGAAGATAGTTTGGGTGTTAGAATAGTTGAAAAGGTGTTAGTATGAAAAAGAAAGGTTTAAAATGAAAAGGGATACCCATTAAGTTAAAAATAGGCCACAACACGCCTTATATAACAAGTGGGACGTTGAGGTTGTTTACAGTGTGAGTGCGTGCCTGAGAAATGAATGGTTACAATGCAGCATTATTATGCACTTCTCAAATCCTCATTAATCCAAATGAGCTCAACTGGCCTGTCAATCACTCTGTTAAAAAGCATATTCGAAATATCAACTTTAATAATAACAGTGCACTTTCTGTCGTAAACACGTTCATAAAACATGTCGTGACGAGTTTATGGTGTTGTTATTCTGCACAACACTTTCGTTTTACAGCATTCCCCTGAAGATTGACTTGTTTTTCAATGGAGCTTTGCTGATAATTTCAGTTTCTACATGAGAAAGCAGGGCGGGGGCGGGGTTTTGGCGTGCTTGAATTATGAAAGCAGCCAATGAGGAGCGCCGTAGTCAGGTGATTGACAGGCACGGCCCCCCTATGACTCTGTGTTTTATTCTGTTTTTAGAGCAGCAGCAGCGTCACATGTTGTTTTTCTCCACGATCGGATCGAGTCGCGCAGCACTGTCTCTCTCACCGTGGCTGACGGCGGACACGCATATCGGTGTCTGCAATGGATCCGGTTTAAAAACGGGTGAGCTTTGAGTTTCTTATACATTGAGTTTATTATTTTTGTTGCTCTAAAAAGAAGTGGAAAGAAATGGCAAGTCCTCCAGCGACAACAGGGGGACACCTGTTATCTAACGGGACGAACGGAGTGAAGAAGTGCGGGTACCTGAGGAAGCAGAAACACGGACACAGGCGCTTTTTTGTCCTCCGAGAGCCCACGGAGCGATACCCCGCGAGGTTGGAGTATTACGAGAGCGAGAAGAAATGGAGGAACAAGTCCGCAGCGAAACGGGTCATTACTTTGGACTCCTGTCTGTGCGTAAACAAACGCGCCGACGCCAAACACAAGCACCTCATCGCCCTCTACACCAAGGACGAGTACTTCGCCGTGGCTGCCGACAACGAGCAGGAGCAGGAGAGCTGGTACACTGTGTTGACTGATCTAATAGCCGAGGGGAAAGTGTACGACAGCCCAGCTTCCACTTCCTCTTTAGTGGGCTTTGAGGAATCCAGCTATGGACTTATTACTCCTGCAACAGCTGCTTACAAAGAGGTCTGGCAAGTCAACTTGAAATCCAAAGGTTTGGGTCAAATCAAGAACCTCACTGGAGTGTACAGGCTGTGTTTGTCGAGCAGAACCATCAGCTTTGTCAAACTGAACTCAGAAACAGCTGCTGTGAGTTTACAGCTCATGAACATTCGCAGATGCGGTCATTCGGACAGCTTCTTCTTCATTGAGGTGGGGAGGTCAGCGGTCACTGGACCAGGGGAGTTCTGGATGCAGGCGGAGGACTCTGTGGTGGCGCAGAACATCCACGAGACCATCCTCGAAGCCATGAAAGCCATGAAGGAGCTCTCAGAGTTCAGGCCGCGCAGCAAAAGCCAGTCGGCCAGCACTAACCCCATCTCTGTGCCCACAAGACGCAACCTCAACAACCTCCCCCCAAGTCAGACGGGCCTGGTGAGGAGATCCAGGACAGATAGCATGGCAACGACGTCCCCCGGGAGGAAGTTCACATCCTGTCGAATAAGAACAGCCAGCGAGGGGGACGGGAGCGTGACCCGGCCCGTGTCCATGTCTATATCTGTGAATGGAAGCCCAACAAGTCCGAACTCGGGGAATCTCAGCAGGTGCAACACCCTCAGCAGCGGGCGCACCTGCAGGATGCTCGAATCCTCCTCCAACCTGCATCACAGCCGCTCCATGCCGGTGTCCAACTCCCCACCAGCTGCCTCCAGCCCCATCAGCATGTCTCCCAGAGGGGGGGCGAGCATCTGCACTCCAGATAAAGCAAGACGACCCTTCAGCTGCAGCGCCTCCATCTCTGGCTCCCTCAGCGACACTGGTTTCATGCTCTGTGACGACTACAGCTCCAGCCCAGGTGACCCTAAATTCCTCCCCCTAACCCGCAGTGACACCCCCGACTCCCTGTCCAGCACTCCTCCTTCCCGTGACATTAGCGACCCTTGTGGCTACATGATAATGGAGGGGTCCGGCAGCAGCAGGTCTGGGCTCGGCGGAGAGGGTCTTGTATACGATAAGGCGTACAGGAAGAGGACGCACTCCCTCACAACGCCTCGCCAACAGAGGGTCGTGGCGCCGCTGTCCTCTGCTTCCTTGGATGACTACACTCTCATGAGGATGGCCCACGGGCAGAACTCTCACTCCGCCTCACCCAAAGTGTGCTACCCAGAGGATTACGGTGACATCGAGATCGGTTCATCCAGGAGCTCCAGTAGTAACCTTGGAGACGATGGCTACATGCCAATGACACCAGGTGTGGCCTCCCAGTCAGCTAAGGTCGACAACTATGTCCCCATGAGTCCTATGTGCGTCTCAGCTCCCAAGCAGATTGTGAACCCTAGGGTGCACCCGCAGGCGGTTGCCAGCGGCGGCTACAAGACCAACTCTCCCTGCAGCAGCTCACTGGAGGACAACGGCTACATGAGAATGTGGTGTGGATCCAAGTCCTCCATTGAGAGCCCAGACAGGAACGGCGAGTACATGAATATGTCACCTGGAAACCCACCCCAACTCCAGACGCCCCCTGACTACTACTTGGGTCTGCTGGCTGGTGAACCCGCGTCGGTTCGGCCGTCCTATCAGGCCGGTTCTCTCACGCTACCTGCTAAACTCCAGGCCTCCAAGAACGACGAAAGCAACCAGTACGTGCTGATGAGTCCTCAAAGTTTGAGACAGAGGGTGGGGGAGTCAGACTATTACTCAGTGATGCACCCCAGCCAGACCTCACCACTGAGCCCCTCAGTCCCTTCCCCAATCAGGCATGGCCGAGCGGAAAGCCTCCCCTACAGAGGGAGAATGGGCAGACCCAACAGACTTTCTCTGGACACCCTGAGGACCCTACCCAGCATGAATGAACACCCCCTTCCCGGGGAACCCCGCAGCCCCGGCGAGTACATCAACATCGACTTCAGCAGCGCCAGATACTCCCCGCCCTCCACTGTATCCACTGAAAGCAGGTCTTCATCACTTGGATCCAGCGGCGGGGGACCAGGGCGGTCTTCTCTGTCCGACTACATGAACCTAGAGCTGGGCTCACACTCACCCAAAGAGGCTGACACTCCCGCTGAGCGCTTGGACACACTGCAAGAGTTGTCCATGTGCTCGGAGGAGGACGGAGTGTACCATCTGGACCACGAGAAAGGATCTCAGGGCCTGGGTGGTGATGGGAAAAACGAGTACACGGAGATGACTTTTGGGATGACCAGCTCGCCTCCTCAGCTTGTTCCTCAAAACGCAGCTAGGTATGTACACCAGAAGTCAATGAATGAATGAATTAAAAGTGCCATAATCTGAACACCATTGATGCTGATAATGCGAGTGGAGAACTGAAAAATGATCTTCTGTAATAGATTCTTACTGCTATAAACAGGATTGAACTTGTTACTAAGTTAATGCACTTTATAGTATAGCAATATGCTGTGTGTAAAAACTAGGGGTCGACTGATATCAGTTTTTCAGGGCCGATACTAATACTAATAATTGACTGATAGCTGATATTTGGAACTGATTTGCATTTGCGGTGGAAATGAAAATTTAGCTTTGAATATGACCAACTCCATTTAAACTGAAACTTTCAACATCGAATTCGGGAGGTTGCCAGGTTTGAAGTATCGGGCCATAGATAGAGTGAATGGAGCTAATCAGGTTGAGTTGTGTGTGTGTGGGGGGGGATATTAGCCCAGACAGAGTGGCGAGGTGGTGCACTATTTAGTTAATTGATTGTGTTGTTAACCAGTAAAATACAACGCCAATGCAGATATCGGTCACAGGAAAGTATCGGCCTGATTATGGGCCGAGCTGATAATCAGTCGACCCTTATTTTGTTTGACGTATGAAATTAAAAAGATTCTTCCTGACTTCTTCCATCAGCAGCCAGATAATTAGGGAGCGGAGACTCTCTCTGGAGGACCAGGGTGTCCCAAAGAGCATTGGAGTCTTCCTGCTCGGCGCCCCCTCTCCCTCCACACTGGACCCCGACTGCTCTGCCAAGGTAATCCGCGCCAACCCGCAGGGACGCCGGCGTCACAGCTCTGAAACCTTCTCCGCCACCGCCACTGCCACCGTGACGCCGGTCTTCCCCTCCTTCGCCCGGGGGGACGCGGTCAAGAGGCACAGCTCGGTGGAGAACATCTCATCCCGGAGCAGCGAGGGCTCCGACGAGGAGTACGGCAGCCCCGTGAACCAGCAGAGCTCGGCGGGGTACCCTAACGGACTGAACTACATCGCCTTGAACCTACTGGACAACAGGGACGTGGAGAAATGCGAGAACCTGGCAGGCTTCAAACCGGCCAGCAGCTGCAAAGGTGGCATCAATGGATTACACAGCTCACCATATGTGTGTTTGGGATTCAAGGAGGCTGCAACTACTGCCAAAGGTGAGTGAGTTTGATGTCAGCTGTTTTACCGCTGAATTCTTTCCTTTGCAGGTGTTATTGTTTTCACGCAGGAAACTTTGCATTTGCGGTATGTGAAACATCCTATTTTTAAAATCATACAAAAAAAGACAGGGGTTTGGTTGAGCTGAATGAGGAAACAGCTGCGCTGGTAGTCAAATGAAGGGAGAAAAAAAACAGAGATGAAAGCAAACCTGCATTTCCTGTTAATTCAAATCCACAGTGTCTCTGTGGATTACAAACAACATGAGTAGGTGGTGCTGATGTGGCCTTAAGCTGCGAGGTTTAAGAATATACAGGTTCTGCAGCATTTCTTTTCTTTTTTTTTGCACATTTCCCTGATAAACAAGATTGCAACACAACATTCAAAAAACAGAGGAGTGGATCAGATTACGCTTTGATTCAGTTGATCCTTTGCTGCTTCTTTCAAAATCATTCATATTTGGTAATAGCTGCGTTTTTCTGCGGCATGTGAACGCAGCACGAGGCTGCTATGAAACGTGACCAGGCTGAGAGCTCTGAAGTAAACAAGCACCATGACAGAGCAGGACGCTGCCTCGCTGCTCCTGCTCCTGCTGCTGCTGTCGTGGGCTGTGGACGCTAAAAATACTCGAGCAGATTTTAGGATTCCGCCGACGCTTGTTGTGAATGAAAGTTGTTTGTGCATAAAGCAAAAATGAAACGCTGAATAGACCCTGGAAATACAGCCAGCGTTTAATTATAGCCCGTGAAACGATTTTACTATTAAGTGTTACGAAATCTGTAAAGCTCAAGGAATGCCTCAGAGTGAATAGGTAATGTCACAACAAGCTGCAGGCATTTCCGGCTGTTGTTTTTCAGTTGGGTAGGCTTTAGGATGTGTTGCACATCAATATGACCTCTATAGACCCCTTATTCCCACCACGCCGTGATCAATACCCCCCTCCGAAAATAACAAAACAAACGCTGTGACGCTGGATGCAGACGGCGTAAACAAAGCGGTCAGAGGCGGCAGATTGTTGACACAAAAGCCAAGTTTGACTATCTGTCCCCTCACCTACAGTGAGCTCAAATGTGTTTGTGAGCACACAGAAGGGGGTGGGAGCAGGGGAGGGGGGGAGGGAGGACTCCTACGCTGACATGTGAGGCCCCAGCACAAGTGGATATGTGTTTGTGTCCTTGTAGGCAGCAAGAGAGGGGAAAACAACAAAGTGGGCGAGTTGCTATGCAGCCATCAGGTAACTGGATGTCACGGTCTGCATTCCTGGCAGAGCGGGGTTTGAAAAGTTCCTGTGAGAGGGGGCCTGTTTTTGTCCTCGGCTCTGGGCCACTTTGAATAGAAAGTGGCTTTTATTTCACCGCGAGGGCTCCGTGTGTGGGGAGAGAAGTTATGTTACGTTTCATCTTAACACACTGAACACAGAAATGATTAAAAAATCACTCGTAATAAAGTCGATTTGATAATAAAGGGGCATTCCACGGAGGCTAAGGGAGAGATTTACCATTTTATGTGTTAATATTTTGCTTCCCTCTGTTCTGGAGTTGAGGACGTATTTTTCAGCCTCTTTTTTTAAGTTGAAAAGGAGGTAAATGAAGTCAATAATGGTCTAGTGCTTCCTTTCAAACCCTAGATTAACGTCAAAAGGACGAATAACAACATGTGGGCACACTCGGTTTGTTTTTGTCCGAGCAGTGTGGGCTCGCACGTGTTCCTCCCTCATGCTTTGTCAGAGTACAAACATTTTATTGGCGCTAATAAAGCTCGCTGAATGTAAATGAATAGGGAGAGGGAAAGGAGAAGACACAAGCACATACATGTGGACTCTCGCACGTACGCATGCAGAGCAGCGAGGGGTGTTTTTCTCTCTCAGGGATCTTTTTTTTTTTTTTTTTTTTTTTCCAGTGGCGTTGCCTGCATCCGTGAACACTTGGCAGAGATGCGCAGAGAGAGAGAGAGAGAGAGAAAAAGAGGGAGAGAGAAACGACTGTTTTGTTTTCCAGTGCTGCTTGCCTGCCTGTTTGTGGAAGAGCGAATGAATGCGTGCATAATGGGGCAGCATGGCACGTGCACTCCGCTGCCCTTCTGCCTCATTAGGCTGTTCACTTAGCAGAAGTAAGACAAGCAGAGAGAGAGAGGGGGGGGGAGATGGAGCACAGCCTTGTAAGCTCAGTAGGAAAAAGAGGAGGTGGTCGAAGAGGAGGAGGAGGAGGAGGAAGGGGGCTTGGGCTTTTTACAGCAACAAACAAACTCATTGGTGAGGTGCATTCTGGGAGCCCAGAATGGCAGACCTGATGGCTTGTTTACTGAACACTCAGTCCTGCTGCTGTGTGGCGAAGAGAGGTGAAGGAGGTCGAAGTGCTTGGTGAGGGTTCCTGGCGCCGAGCCCGACTCACGGACAGCTTTGATTTCATGTTTATCAGGACGTCACGCTGGGAGCTCGGACTATGACCCAAAAGTCTGCCAGTTTCATTCCCAGCCAAACCCCCCTCCACTGTTTGTATTTTTACCCATTTTTGGTTCAGGGGGACTCCTTGGAGTTTGTCAGGATCAAAGTAATGTACCGCTTAACCTCAACTGGCCCTTGGAATTTAGCATTGGCCCCCGGACCCATGTGACAGCCCCCTCGGTGAGAAACGTGACTGCACCTCCTCAAGTCAACAAAACCCAAGTCAAGAGCTTTTGACAGCTGGATGCTCTTTTATCCTTTTTTTTTTTTTTGGGTGTTCCACCTGGAGTCAGCTTAGTTAGCTTAATGCCCGGCATCAGGTGTTTGTTTACCTTGTTCTGTCAGCAGAACAGGATCCCATGTGACTCCAAGGTAGTGTTTACCTCCTTTCGAACCCAAGCTGCTTGCCTCCTCTGGTTGCCCTGGCTAGCCGCAGCTCAGCCAGATGGATGTTCTGTACCAGACTCAGATTAGCCGAGTCAGCCGTCTCTGTTTGTTTCCTTCGCTTGTCTTATAAATACCTTTATCTGACGGCTGATGCCTCTGAGATGACTAAAGACGCTCTATTAGTGGAGTAAGATTATTCCCAGTACATCTCGGTTAATATGCCGCTAATCATTTCATCTTGGCAGCACTGTAGGTAGAAGACAAGAGTAGGGCTTGGCGATATGGGAAAAAGTTTATCACGATATACTTCTTTCATATCAGTCGATATCAGTATATATCACGATATAAAAAAATTACTTGTCAATCTTAAATGAAATTTGACAGTGCTATGTACAAGGGCCCGACCGATTTATCGGCGAGCTGATTAAATCGGCCAATTTTAGTCCGTTTGAGACTAGTCAGTAATCGGCCAAAACTCGCCAATTTTCACCAATATTTTCAGAAATAAAATGCGGAGAATAAGATTCAGTTTCACTTCGAAAGTAAGTAACTATACAAAATAAGTCACAAGTTTCAGTTCAACCCACTTCACGATGTTCCCCGCTTTGCTGGTCTCGGTCACGCCGAGTTAAAGGTGAAGCACCATGTAATATGCAAGCTAAAGTTAGAGTTAGCCATCTGCTATTAGCCTTGCTACACTGTTAGCCGTTCCAGTAACGGTAGAATAAACAACAGTACACATTATATGATCGAGCTACTTCTCTTACTGAGGCAGCTGCTGGTCCGAGTTTGATCAGTCGGTCTTCCTGTCAGCATGAAGAGCAGTAGCCGATCTACAGTATATCGTATACTGTAGATATCTACAGTATATATATATTTTTTATAACTTAATAAAAAAATGTAAAAATCACCTGATTAATTGGTGATCTGATTTTTTCCCCTAATAATCAGCCCCAAAAAATCCATATCGGTTTGGCCCTAATATCATTATCGTATTATCGTTTTATCGCCTCGCCCTAGACAAGAGGGTAGGGTTTGTGCAGTTGGTCTGATACAGACACCAGGATAGGGATTGGCTCCAGTTGACCTTAAAAGTGGCGTTTGATATCTCAGAATCAATGCACGCATATTTTTCCTTAATCTATAATCTTCTGATACCTAAGGAGTTCTCAGTATCTTCAAGAAAAACATAAGGGGGCTTCAAGACTCGAGGAGCCCCGCTGTGACACTCCGAGTCCCTCCTGAGTGCTTGTGGCAGATGGTCACTCTCTGGAGGGCAAGTGTGTGAGAGTGTGTGCGTATAGTTGTGGGGTGAGGAGGTAGAAAGGAGGGGTGGGGGGGGGGTTAAACACCTGCCATGCTGCACTATCCTCTCACGCAAACCTTCTCATTACACCAATTTCCTTTCCTATGCCCACTCTAGCACGTAAATACACACGGCTATATCGCTCTTCCGAGCAAACACACACATCCCCACCTACTCACTATCCCTCTGCTAATGACGGCCCACCATCTGCCGCACCCACGGGCTGCACAGAGCATGACCATCAGCATCATGCGTGTGCGCGCAACTGTGTGTGTATGTGTAATTTATCGGCCAGATTAGAGGCATTCGTGTCCATCTGCACAAATCCCACTTCCTCCTAACGTCATTCAGAGAGTAGTATTTTCAATGATGTCATTGCAAAGAGAGGAGAGGAGGCAGTGGGTGGATCTGAAAAACGCACCCGGAGCGAGTTACGTAGAAATGTGTTATTTACATTTCCTGTGCAGTGAGCGAAAGAGGTCTTGCCGCACAGCCATGCATCCCTAACTCGCTCTGAGCATGCTCAGTTGGCGCTTTGAGGGGAGAGGGAACAGAGGAAGTGATTTGTTCCCAGATACACAATGAGAGAATGAGAGAATCAACCGAAAAATAAACATTTAGAGATTTAGTATCTGTACATCATGTTATTAAATGATACTGGAAAAACCTGCGTGGAAAAGGGACACAGCTGAAGACCAGCACTGCATGGTTTTGATCTTAGCATCAAAATTAGACACGACTCTGTAGTGGAAGTCACCGCATCAGCTCATTAAAACCACTCCCTGCATCTCCAAATGTGTGTCAAAGCTAAAAGCGAGTCGATACTCCAATCCCATCTTCTGCTTTTAAAGAAAAGTAGCACCACCCACTGTCGAACCACCCAAAAGGGCGACACCTGATTGAACCCATCATCCTAAGTGTCCAATCCCTCGCCGCTAAACAATTCATTTACTCCCTCGCCAGCGTGCATTGCAGCTAAGATCTGGCAGACACAACAAAGCAGTGGCAGGAAATCCAGAAATGCCATGTTACTTGATATATAGAGAACAAACATGCACACGTAACACCGCAGGGCTCTTGTGTCAGAGTTTCCAGGCAGAGTGTATGTGCATGTGTGTGTGTGTGTCATGCCACAAGGGAGGAGGGGGGCTAAAGTAGGGCGGGATGTTCCAGACAGGAGCGCTCACTGCTAGATAACTGCGTGGCCAGCGTTCCCCACATTTAGCCAGCCACGGCTCCAGATGAGATTACAGCCTCTACAGGCGAGATTAGACGGCCAGGGGTAGATCAGCGATGGTCAGTGGCTTCTCCGCAGACAGCAGCTGGGTAATACGTAACGCAAGGTGTGTGCATATGCGCCGTCTGACCTGTCCAGATTGGGCTTGTTATCAAAATCATCCGCGGAAATAGAGGAGAAATTTACGTGGAAATCGGCCACGGGATTATACCTGTGGGGCCCTGAGACAATGTTCCCAAACAGTAATATTCTCTCATTCATTGATCCACTTTGTCCCCAAAAATAGTCAGGACGTACAAGGGGATTCAGGATATTTTGATATTACATAATAGAAGATATTAAATCCTTAGATTTATCAAAGGATTAAGTGACTTAGCATACCTTATTAAACTACCCTTTATCCTGCTCTGTTTGTCATTTTTAAAGTGTTTTTTTATGGGGTCTTTTTCTTAAATCTGTATTGAGTAGGAGTCCTAAAATTGCTTCCCTTCACTTCCAGTCATTTTGAGGTGGTTAGCCATCTTTTTCTGATAATTGCGACCTTTCCCTCGTGAGATTTCCTCCTGAAAGCATGCTCCGAGGCCCTTTTCTCACCCCTCTGTATGTACATCAAGGATGCATCCGCCACTCTGTTACAAGCTGGTCCGCCTCTGCTCGGCTTGTGTCCATAGCAACGCGACAGGAGACCCCCAACCCCCATCCTTCTACATCCCAGATTATGTAATTATTGCAGACCAGGCTTCCTCCCCCCCTCGGCCTGTCCGTCCGTCCTCTAAACGCTTCCCGGGCAAAACAGCTGGTGCGACAAGAAACGACACATCTAACTAAAGCATGATGGGATTGGAGGGCTCAGGTGGAAGGGCGGCGAGTCCAGGTGCAGCCCAGTTGGCCGACTGGAAAAGATTATAGCTCATGTATATACAGGAGAGTATGCACGCTGCAAAAATAATTAAAACGACCCTGAAAAGACCCTCAAACAAAGTCGACACGACTAAAACCTCGGCTTATTCAACGAGTGTGCGGTACTCTCTGTTCTTGTTACCCAAGCTGTTTTGCCCACCGTCTCCTTGTTATTCTGAGACAAGTACAAACTTAATCTGTAAACGACTTCACGCCGTACAGTACAACACACTGTTCTCACAACCAACATGTTTGCTGCCTGAAAGCCAAGCATTGTGTGCTCCAGCGTCACTTATTGGAAAATATTGCGGCTACGAATCACAGCTTTCTCACTTTATTTTTACAGTCAGGAGAGAGTGATCATGAGCTCTTAAAACATTCCTTCTCTTTACGTAAGTTAATTGGAGCTCAATCATTCAGAGCCATTAGATGTCCTAAGATTTTATAGAAACACCCTTGAGTCTGGAGCTTGTGAAGCAGTGTACTTAAAGGTATATTACGGCGTAAAATTAACTTAAGGTCAAACACACCGTAACACCGAGTTAGACACCCCTTCAAGAGATGAATGTTGCCGACCGCTTGCTTCTCTAGTTATACCAACTTTAGTAACGACCGCACGATAGCAATACACAGCCGTCTGAGGAGCCATAAACAAACCTCAACCAAAACGCCACTCTATAGCCACAAATAATACTCAGAACAGCACCTAACTTCATCAACTGTACATGTAGGGTCCTAGCCATAGTACTAGCCACCGAACTTCTTTTTAGCTTTGCCTAATTTCTTTGGCAAAGAGACTAAACACAACTCACCTACTCTCCTCCAGCAACCGCTTGTTTGTATGGGGAGCCCTGATGAGGCGATCACCAAGTGCAGCGGAGTTTCGCAGCTCAAGGAAGAACATTTATGATTATTACCTAATAGAAATGCAATCAGAGTTCTTGTGTATCTTGAATTTCAGTTTAATTATTGAGTGCTGGCCAGGAAATGAGCGCAGATGAGCATAGCATTTTTAACTTCCCTTCTTTACGTTCGTGCTGTCTCCTCACTCTTCATGAGATAAACAATCGCGTTTGACTTCATGTAAAATTTCGTGTTTGTTTACGCAAGTTTCCCCTGCAAATATGCAAAGTTAAAAATGTTCATCTGCACCCCACTGTAGCTTTAAGTTCTTATATATATCAGTTTTTTCTTTATTTCTTGAGATGAGTGTTTTCCTTGACTGCAGAATGGAAAGCATTTGTTTGTCTTTAACCCCTGAGTGTAAACAAAACCTCTGTTTACACGAAAAACACACAGTACGGCTTTAAGTTTCACTGCATTTTACATTCATACATATGAATGAATGGATGGAAATGTCTCTGTAAGGCTGTATCTCATAGTAGATGTTGCTGTTTAATGGTATTAGATTTGGTTTTTGTGCTGGAACTACTTAAATAATGGATATTTCCACTAATGCACCTCTTCCTTTCTTGTCGTCTCTTTCAGACTGAAGGACCCCTCTCTCCTCAGACTTGGCGTCTTCACTGAACTGCTGCTTGAAAAGAAAAGAAAAAAAAACAAAAAACGAGACAAACGAAGAACTCAGCCCTGCCACTGGGCTCCATCGCCCTAAAAGACTGTCTGGACCCTCAGTGACACTCACACACAAATGCATACACACACACACACACACACTCTGGAAACAAGCAGGTCACCATCTATGCATGTTATGAATTTCCCTGAAGGCACGACAGGTGTGTTTGTGCACCGGTGTGTATTGTGTATCGGTGCGTCTCATGTTCCCGGCACTTTCAGGGGGGCCATTTCTGCTCTGACCCAAATTTTGGCCCAAGCACAGAAGCAAAGATAGTCAAGACAATAACAGGACTCCTAATGGCACCCAGATACTATTTATTTACTTGAGGGCAGTTTCACGACTGCCTGTGTGAGTGAGAGTGTGTTACAGTACGACCAACTGGTGTGTCAGTGGAAAGCTACTACAAAAACAGCCTAGGGAGTGATGATACCAAGGTACACTGAGTAAATAACTATATTTAGATTAGATATTTTATTTATTTTTGAAAGATGAATGTCTGATAAGACCTACCCGATGCCTTAATGTCTATACTGTCCTTATGTTTTCTATGAAATAAGAGATAAATATTCTATTTCAGTATGTCTGTTTGGACCTGCATCTCTATATTGTTATTCTGTTGTGGAAAGTAAAAAGCCTAGCTTAAAATAAAAACAAAAAAAATCCAGAAATGTACGAAACAGTGGGGCTGTTTGAGGTCTGATTTATCGTATTAATATTAAAGTATTTTCTTAATTAATAATTTCTTATTTATTCTAACCTAGTTTATTTTTGTCCAATCAAAGAGCTGGACTTAAAGAAATATATTTCTAATTGTCTTTAATTATGCATGTCTTTAGCTCAGATCCCACAACACCAGGCATCTGAATGCACTGTACCTCCCACCGTTCCTCAGTCACTTGAGCCTGAAAACCTCACACACTCCTACCTTCGAACCTTCAGCCTGCTGTGATATCAAAACTGTCGAGTTTATGTGACATCAGAGGGGTGGAGCCAGCAAAAAAACAAAAAGAAAAAATGGCGAGGTTGGGGCACAGTTGAGACGGTTTCCGATCAAGCGGTGAGGGCTGGAGTAAAAAGGGGGGGCTGCCAAGAGAAAGTACGGGGAGAGAGGCCAGCAGCTACATCTGGCACCATTATTGAGGTTCACTGGAGGACCAGCTGTGGAGGAATATAACTCTAATTCAGACAGTCCAAAAACCTGATCCAGCTGTGCAGAGTTATGTTTTCAAACCTAAATTAGAAGTTTAGTTTAGCGCACTTAAAAGAAACTTTCAAAACTCTTCCCAAAACTTTGTAAACTCGACAAATTCAGCTGCTCATCTTGATCTCCGCTCTTGGCTGCCAGATGTTTTGCTCCCGTTTTCCGACTTCCCCGACTCTCGCGGTCTTTGTCATCCACTGTGCCGACTCCACGTGGCTCACGACCCCTTTAGTGTACAGTAGATTGTAAAACTTTGAACCATGTTTGAATGTATCGCTGAGCTGGCGGGGAAACACCGCGTAAACACACAGTGTGGGGGGAAAACGGTTTTCACAGAGTCGTGTAATATTAGAGCTGTGCCACGCTAAGTTGTGGTATCTATTTATCTTCAGAGTCTTGAATGTGTAAATGATGTACATAAGAGAGTTTAACTAAAGAAGTCTATTGAAAATACATAGAGGACTTAGATTTTACCAATGTTGCAATGATATTCCTGTGTAAAGACTTTGGCTACAGATTTTTCAAAAAGGGGCAGGGTTTTGCTTTGGGCTTGTACAGTGTATTGTATGCTTTTTTTCTCCCTCACAGTCTGACTATATAAAAAAAATACTCTGTCTATTTTATTATAGAGATCTCTTTGCCTTGTCGACACACTTTACCTAACGGCATATGCAATAGTGACATGACTACAAGCTAGTTTACAACCGTGGAACCAAATGTAACATTGCATTCATGACTTTCTTTTTCTCGTCGTGTCGAGCTGAAGCTGTTTTTGTTTTTTGTTCCTTTTTTTTTTTGCTCCTTGTACATTTCTCTTTCTGCCAAGTGTTTTGTTCTTAACACGTCTCAAAGCACCCCCCCTCCCCCCGTGTGTGTCCATGTTCGGACTCTGACCCGGATCGGCTCAGTCTGAATGTGTCATTGTCTTCCATTGTACATAGTTCAACATACTGTTCATTGTGATGCTCACAAGAGATGATTATAATGATTTATAAATTCTGGTAGTCGAGTATTGCTTTTGTCTGTATTGATTATGGATAGCGACCTACAGAAATAAATGAATTTATTTAAAGAGGTACAGCTTTGTCTTCATCGTCTTATTTCCCACGAGTATGACAAAACACCTCTGGTTTATCAGAAACACCTTCTCAGCGCTTTTTCTCAATTACATCCAATGGTATCAAATAAAGCAGAAGTTCCAAAACCTGCAGTTCCTCAAGTGTCCACCTGAGGCTAACCCCATATTACAAAATCTGGATTTCACAACCCGAAAAAGTCTTTTTTACAACTCGGGTAAAACAAAAAAAAAACGTTCAAGTCCGACTAGCTTATTTACTTAAAGATATATTACGATTCAAAGTTTAGACATTAGAAAGAATTTGGCTATGTTCACACTGCAGGTCAATTCCGATTCTTTTAACCATATGTGACACATATCTGAATTTAAGTGTGAACAGTGCAATTCTGATTTTTTTCAAATCCGACCCAGGCCTCCTCTGAATGTGGATATAAATCAGATATGTATCCGATGTGACTGCAGTGTGGACGCTAAGGCGCGTTCATCCGACTTATACGTCATCAATATGCGACAAACGTCACCATTGTTTGAGAACACAAACAAGCGCGGAAAGCAGTTCGTGCTTTGTGCGCATGCGGGTCACTTCACGGACACATTCCGTTCACATTAGGTGCAGCATTCGTTGTTGTAATGTGAACGACCGCACAAAAAGATCGGATTTAACAAAAAATCCGAATTGTGCATCAAAACTTGCAGTGTGAACGTAGCCTTAGAGGTGGGGCTAACTTGACTGATAGATGGGCTCATTCTAATGGTGCGTTCGAGTTACCTCGGAAGTTAGATGTCGGAGCTGAAAATGAGTTACCAGTGTTTTAGTTACCATGTCGGAAAAAAACAAAATCGGAGACGGAGACAAGATGGCTACACCTACGAAAATTCCACCTTGACCTTGTTATATTCGGATGAGGCAAGCGCTAAACTAACTTTCGTAGATGTAGCTATCTTGTTTCCCCATCCAATTTTGCTTTTTTCCATCTTGGTGACTGAAACGCTGGTAACTCGCGTGTGACGTCATTTTCACGTCAATTTCAGCTCCGACATCTGACTTCTGAGGTAACTCGAATGCAGTATAACTGTAGTACCGCCTCAAATTTAAAACACGAGTATAAGGAAACTTAACATGTTTATTCACGTTTAAACATTGTTTTATTGATAATCATTTCTCAACAATAGGGTTAAAGATAATTATTAAAACTCTGGGATCAAACAAAGCTATAAATCCCCCTCAGATTCACTGTACATAAAGTGAAGTAAATCAAGTCAAGTGCAGTGGTTTATGATGATAAAAGACCCCGCTCTGCTTCATCCTGCCTCTATTCTTGAATATCATGTGTTTGGCCCGGTGCCTAACAGCTTCCCGCCTGTGTCACAAAGAGGAGGATATCCGACCTCCGTCCTGCGGAGGGTTGAGGAGCTGAGCTTCCCGACCGGGGACACTTTCTCTCTAAGTGTTTTTATTTCAGTCGTAGGCCAAGTCAGGAAACTCATACTGAGCCAATGACTTCCTGCCAAGCCACGCGTCTCCAGAAACCACTGTGTCGTCAGAGTCTAGAGGTCAACAGGTTCAATACATGAAATAAACAACCCATTCCACCTGTTTCTATCAACTACAGAGTCCGATATGAGGAGCTGTGAGTGTCTTTACCATGCAGATATCATATATTGTCAGAAAAATAAGAAATATTCTCTTATCTTTGGTGATTTATTGTTACTTTAAATAAGTCAAAGAGGCTTTAAGTGGAGTTATAGGAGTTTGTCAGAAAGATACTTTTAGCTTTTTAAAAGGTAAATTATTTAAATTTGTAGTTTTTCTGTGTAAACACTATCCTTGACCTCACTTTTGGGTGGCCTTGTCACCTGTGGTCTCATTAAGTCCAGGATTAATTCATGAAAAGTCATTTGGGGTTAGGCCAGCATGAGGCAGAAAAACAATAGGAGGGTAGCGGAGAGGGGGGGATCATGTGATGGAGAACGGCGGGAACAAGAGGGTCACTTAAGGGCAGGCAAAGAGGGCGGAGCCTAAAACGGACGAAAAAAAAGGGGAAATGTAAGGAGAGGAAAAGCGGACATCGGACAAGTTTCCTTTATTTTTGCACATTCAGGTTTCATGTCGTTTCCTTCCTGTTTTCTTTTGTTGATCACTAACCCTTGTTTCTGTCTTCTCGATCTGTTCCCTGCCCCCGTCTTGTCACACCTGCCGCCTGATTGTGTCTCCTCACCTGTTTCCCATCACCCTCATTACTCCTTGTGTGTCTCACCGTCTCATCGCCACTTCTTGTCTCGTTCCAGCATAATTCATAGTCACTGTTACCTTCCGTTTTTGGATACCAACCTCTGCCTGAGCTGTAATGAACCCTGTCTACTGATTCAGTGTCTTACCATTGTGTTTTTCTTTTTGTGCCTCGTTTCATGACAAATCTAGCCACCAAACTTTTGTTTCGTGTCCCTGAAAACACCAGATGTCTGACCACACGAGGATAACAATGTGACTTCGATACAGCTGCGACCCTTTATTATCTTTGTGGGTATCACTTCAACTCTCAAGTACAGACAAAAAAAAAACACGAGCAGCCACTGAGGGTACACCTCGAGCCGTCGTGTATTAATTAGCAGTATGACAGTGTTAGTGGGGCTTTCTCTGCTGCCAGGCAGAAATCAGCCTTACATAAGAACCCACCAGGAAGCCACCAGGAGGGACACAATGTTCCTCACCCCTCTCTGCACTGACTGTCTGTCTCTGAGAAGAAAAAAAAAAAAAAACATCTTCCCTTTTTGCTTTAACAAAATCAGCACATTTAAGCTCTGAAGGCAAAACCGCAGGAGAGAGCGACACGTAAAAACACAAGTCTTTGTTGCAGGATGCTTTCGTTGTTTTTCTCTCTCTTCACGTGAAGGACAGCTCGGTAAACAAAGTGTGTCAAGGGAGTCAAGCTGCTGCAGCTACAGTTAAAAGGTTCCTGAAATACAGTTTACAGGATGCTCCTTTGAAGTGATTCAGTGTTTTTGTCTATCTGGTCTATTCCTGGGTGCCCTCAATTATTCCCAAATTTAGCATCACAGTCAAAACACACGCTCAGATTCGCACGAAATGGCTGGAGTACCTCTGCATGATTTTCAAGAATTTGCAAATCAAGCAGCGTTTTATTATGAGTGAAATCAGTTGCACACAAGACTCTGCAAAGGCAATCATGCCAAGACAGTAGGTAACATGTTAGCTTAATCAGCAGCCTTGAGTGGATTTGTTAATTTCATTACACACAGGCACGAGTAAAACAAATCTGGAAAGACTCACTCCAGGTGGAATATTTTGTCTGGTAACCTAGTTTCGTTCAGTCTTATTTTAACCTTAATTGATGTTGTAGCAGCGTAAAACCATTTACAGTAAACAAGTGAAATAATCAGGTCATCTTGAGAGGCAGCACTGCAAATGAAACCCATGCCCTGGTCCTGATTTGTTCCTGGTGTGACCTGCGTCGAGTGTGACTGGAAATAATCCTGTGAAAATGAACTCCAAATGCCCTTTCTGTACAGCAAGGACTCAATGCACCCTCTCGACTGTACATCAGAATAAGCATTCGTGGTATGCACTGTAGATTAGAATCTTAAAGTGGCGAATAGCTGCTCCTTCCGCGACCCCGTCCACCCTGAGCTCCAGTGGGCCTCCCTGCCAGCTTGCTGCCGTGCTGTGCTGCAGCTCTTGAGGGGATTGGGAGTCGCTGGCCCCATTATTTCTCCCCGAATCAGCCTAAGGAGGGTTTCAGGCGGGCTCATTGAACTTCCCTGCACAGCAGCGGGGCAGAGCTGTGACCCACTTTCAAAAGCCAGCTCTGGCTCTCCGCTGAGAGACGCACAGCACTCGTGATCCCACACGAAAACATAACATACTGACATATTTTTGAAATTCCATACTATATTAAATAATAATGATCTTTTCTGTCTTTTTTTACTTTTAAATAGTTAATTTACGGCACAGATATACAGCCTGATTGCAGTTTGCATGAAGGAAAAATATCAAAAAAATAAGTTGATTATAGTTTAGGGTGACTGTATAGTGAGCAGGTGATTATGCAAATTAGACTCCTTGACAGGGTGAGCATCATTTTTATATTCAAATAATGATGCAGATGTATTAGTTTGCATTCTTGAACAAATAAATTGATTATAGTTTAGGGTGACTATGGTGAGGAGCTGATATGCAAATTTGAGTCCTTGACAGGGTGAGCAATGCCAATTTAATTAAATAATGACGCAGCTGTATAAGTTTGCATACTCGAACAAATAAGTAAATAATAGTTTTGGGTGACTGTATAGTGAGCAGGTGATTATGCAAATTAGACTCCTCAACAGGGTGAGCAAGACCTGTATAATCAAATAATGATGCAGATGTATTAGTTTGCATTCTTGAACAAATAAATTGATTATAGTTTAGGGTGACTGTACGGTGAGCAGGTGATCATGCAAATTAGAGGTCTTGACAGGGTAAGCAAGACCTTTATATTAAAAATGTGACGCAGCTTTATAAGTTTGCATACTTGAACAAATAAGTTGATAATAGTTTTGGGCGACTGTATAGTGAGCAGGTGATTATGCAATTAAGTTATGACACAGCTGTATTAGTTTGCGTACTTGACTTAAAATCTGGGAACAACCTGACACGCCTGCTATAGCTAATTTAGCTTGGGCGGCACATATGTGATCAACAAGGTCATATTATGCTAGGGTGACCATATGTCCTTTTTTACGCGGGCATGTTCTCTTTTTGGGGGGTGTCCAGCCTTGTCCGGCTTTGTCCGGGGAAGTTTTTAAAATCCTTCAAATGTCTGCGGTTTTGTACGTAAGTTTTGAGTTTGTGTCATGTGGACTTACTGAGTTAGAAGTGCATAAAAGACACTTGATCCGACCCAAAAAACTCTCAAAATTAACTTTGTGCGACTCCGTGAGTCCATCCCTGCGTAGTCGGAATATGGTCACCCTATATTATGCAGGGAGGATGTGCATTAGTGTTGTGTTGAAGGCACATACATGTGGTAGGTACTGTGTGTACTGTGTTAGCATGGGGTTTAAGACACTGCCTATCTCTACCATTCCTAAAGTCATGCTACTCCCTCCAGTCCTCTCTCCTGCAGCAATATCAGCACTCAAAGGTTCAAAAATTCAACAGGTGACTCAGCCCTGATGTAGTCCCACTGTACCTTTTTATCAGCCATCACTGCTGCAAAACAAAAAGCAGCCTCAAGGCCAAAATCTGAATGCCTGGCTGAGTACATTTTTCATTTTGATTTGTGATTTTTGCTGCAGTGCCAATACACATTTCAGTCTTGATTTATTCCGGTATTTGAAGAATAGGGGGCAAAGAGAGCAAAAACGCAGCACGTTTTCGTATGTGTGGGAGTCTGAACATGCATGTGAGTTTGTGTGTGTGTGTGTGTGTGTGTGTCTATGGAAACCTCAAGTCTCTGCAGCTCTGTATCTCTCAGTCCATGACATTCACACTCCACGTGTTTGAACAGCATGTGGAGCTCGGGTCCGCCCACCGCTCACAAACACTCCTGCTGCTGTTTACCACGCTGGCAGTGGATTGGAAGACTCCAGCCTGCCGGTCCACATGCCGTCTTATCAGCAGAGTCTCTTTCACAGCTCGTAAACATGTTTTGCAAAGGAAATTCTCAGGGAAAACACTGTTGTAAAAGAGACACACATAAGTCAGCGCATATTCTGGCTCCTCTCATGAGCTGGTTTAATATCTAGCGGGGCTGACCGGCAGATGTATTCAGTATTATGTGTCGCTTAACTTTATTTGAGTCAGCTGAAACAGATCTCTATCTTTGTGACCACTGGGATGGCGCTCTCCCATGCTTTCCTGTTTCTGTTTACTGCAAAATATGAGATTAATTGATTAAATTGATGGAATTTCTCAAAGCAAGTTCAAGCAGCAGTCAAATATTTTGGAGGAAAGAAGTAAAAGAAAAGAAAGCAGTTAAAGCTCCTATAAGTGTCATGATATGTTCTGTTTATTTAGTTTTCTCCTGGTTTTATTTGAGAGCATTTTGTGTATTTTCCTTAGTGTTACAGTTTCCAATTGTTGCTGTTTCCCTCCTGTTCTCTGTATTTTATTCTTTAGATCAGTTCTCAGTGTTTTCTCTTTTATTTTGTAGTAGTTGATTCCTTGTGTTTCTAGTCTGGTTTCACTCCCCTAGTTTTCCCTCCCTCGTTAATCACTCATGAGTTTCACCTGCGCCTCGTTAGCCTCACCTGTGTCTCGTTTGCCTCACCTGTTGCTCGTTAACCAGTGAGTGTATATAGTCCCTTCAGTTTTCGAACTCGCCCACTATACTAGCAGTACGCACTGATTTGCCCAAACGTTTGAATGCAGTAGGTGAATTTGAAAATGGCCCCTGTCTTCCCCTCCGTCTTTGTTGGTTCATTGTGTGTATATATGTCTGTCTGTTCCCTGTGAGCCTTGATCTGAGTCCCTACTCTCCTGGGGGGTTTTTCCCCAGTGTCTTTTGTTGGAGTTTTTCTCCTTGGGTTTTTTGAAGTCAGTTTTTGTTGTTTCAAGTTAAGTCTTTTAACTCTTAAATAATTTTTTCCCCCTTTTTTTCCTTTGTTTTGTGTACCATTCCTGACAATAAGGAGCTTTTTGACATCAATGAAAAAGCCTTAAATTCATATTGTTGCTTTTTTATGATTTTACAAAAGTACTGTCAAAAGTCAGCAGGATAAGACTTTTTAGTTAGAAGGCATGACTTACATTGTACTGCGTTAGACATTCATCATCTTTAGCTCAATGGAAGGCTAAAGGTGCGTCTTTAGATGTGCAAAGTGCAAACACAGCTGTCTGAATGGACTTGTATTAGAATCCTTAAGGGCCTGTGTCCGCTAGAAGAGTTTAGTCTAGTTTCCATACAAAATTAATGCATTTCAGTTCAGTTCAGCACAGTTTGGTGCTCAGTGTCCAAGGAACAAAAACAGTCAAGTTGAGAAAATTAAATTATTGACGTGAACATGCCCTCCTCCACAAAACTAGGGGGCGATATGCGCCTTTTAGCAGCACTGTTTCCGACCTCATACAACTGTCAACAACAACATCCAGTCCGTTCCAGACGTCAGAAGTGGCTACAACTGCTGCTTGGCATTTTCGATTCTTCATTTTCTGCAGATGAGATGCAAGCTACTCCTCTTCTGTGGTGTTTTTGTTCCAGAGTTACCGGGGCGTGGTGCACACGCACATGCACATGCATTGTTGATCATACTCCAACTACGCCGGTTACATGGTAGAGAAACTCGAATTCCAATCGCATTATCTGGGTGTCTTAATTGGAGTTCTTCGACTCCAATCAGAGTTCTCAAACTCCGATTATAGTCGGACTAAGGTGTTTACATGCACTTCAATTGTCCGGTCTTAATCAGAATAAGGCAATAATTCGGTTTTCTCGAGTGTGATGTAAATGTACTGACTTTTGGAGTAACTTGATTAGGTTACCTTGTCCTTAGCTGCTTCTGTTTTATTTTGCAAAACAATAAAAGCTATTTTAAAGCACTGAGAGTAGTTTCTGTGAAGTACATTTTAATTATTTAACACTTTAAAATAAAGAAATAAAGAAGCATGCATCTAGGATCAATTCTGATTGAATGTGCCGTATACCTCAAACAGAAGCACATGTTTCGCCATCCGCTCATACTGTAATCTATAAATATCTACTTGACTGTCTATTTGTTTTTATTTATTTCCTGACTTTGGTTGCCAGGTTTTAAGTTTAGCGCATCACTCATCACATTTCCCCAGCATCTGTCATGAGGTGTCAGCTCATCTGAAATCTGATCTCTTTCTATTTTGTTTATGCGTTAGGCCTCTTGATGAGAAAAACAGCTCAGGACCTCTGGTTCAAGCATGCCGGTGTACGTGAGTCACCGCAGGCCTCAGGCTGAACATTGCAGACCAATGAATTACTGGCTCAAAGCTAATATGCAAATCTGCCCTATGACAACAGTGCTGTCACCTTTCCCCTGCTTTACACGCGTTGAGTTTGCACAACCTTTAGATGTTGGTGATGTGTTCAGAACAATCTACTTTACACCCTCAGGATGTTCTACAGGAATGCTTGTGGCTTGCAGGGTTTTAATATGTATAAATATGTGCTTTAAGCTTAATAATATATGTTTTTTTAACATGCATCTGTTTGCTTTAAGTCTTTTTATTCATCATGTGATGGTGTTTTCTGCAACGGTCCTCAGATATCTGACACAGTTTGTTCCTGCACTTGCCCTACAAAACAGTTCTTGTTTATTTGCTCACTTTAAAGCTCCTCTGAGGAGTTTTTGATGTTTCTGAGAAGGACTTAAATCCATACTGGTGCCTTTTGAGGATATATAAAAACAAACAAGACTGTCAGAAACAAGGCAGAGGGTGATTGAAACTGGTGCGAGAAAGTACGTGTCAACCGAGCAGCTTCCTTCTTTACAGTTTGGCCTCTAGGACTAAGTGACGTCACCAAAAAAAAAAGGGCCAAGTACCAAGTGCTTATAAGTCATTTCACACTTCATTTCCTGCAATTATGCAAATCTCTTTAAATTCATGGGAAAGTAGCAAAAAAAAAAAAAAAAAAAATCATATAAATACATCCCACACTGACACTTTACTCACACACGTCAGGAAATGCATGCCGCTGCATGACATCAGAGTTTTATACACGCCATTCAACAGTCACAATCAAAAAACAATACACGCAAGGCGAGATTAAGAGTCATGGCGACTTTGATGCACAAATGCAGTCGTGCACATAAAGCCTGTCAGCTTATCCTTGTTTCCATCTGTGTCTTTGACCTTTACTGCCTGATAGTAAACACAATGAAAGGCACACGGAGCTGCAGAGATATCCTTTTGGAGCGAACTATAGCACAGGGTAAAGCTTTTTTTTTTCTGCTTTTCACACTCAACATGACCCACAATCTTAATGTGGGGTAATTTGTTCCCACTTGCATTGAGGTCTCCCTTTCACACTGAGCAAACACTCAGGAATTCCTGCAAACCACACCAAGGACGCCGAATGAGAACACACCCTTGGGTGGCACAGCTCGCCTTCAAAGCTGAAGAGTCAACATACTGTACATGTGGAGACCTCACCTTTTTCCTGCACTAAATCCGATTCTTCATTTTACACACTGGTGTTTTTCTGTGTGTGGCCCACATACTCTACTACGCTACAGGCACGCTCAGCAGTTCTGACGTGCTGCGCCTTTTTTTCTTTTGCATAATTGTGCTTCGGTTTCCTCCAGCTCAGCACGGTTGGCAGTGATGCTAACAGGTCCTCAGTGGTGGAGGAGGAGGCTGTTTAAGAGCGGAGTCAGTGAGACACTGATGCTAATGAGGCATTAGCTTAAGCCTATAATGCGGAGCATGGCAGTTTAACATTGAGGGCGGGCCGCCCTCAGCGCACAACCAATCTGACTCACTGGATTTGGGATGATACTGTTGCTGACCTAAAATCCATAAAACACACACTCCAACACAAATACACACTATTAAATTGTTTACATGCTTCAGTTTTATAACTGTATTAATGTTACCTCAACTGCACTGTTGTATTTTCCTCTAAGCTGTGGTGTTTTTACATGTTTCACATCTTTTGTCTTGAAAAATTGTATAAATGAGAAAATATGTTTAAAAAAATACAGTTTGTGCTTTAAATTCTGATGTTTGGTATGAAAGTGCTTGACTACTGATCAGCAAACAGCAACATTAATATCTCGATTAGCCTCTGTGCGTCCAAAGTTGACTCAAAATGAAACTAAAACACAACACTTAATCCAAAATACAAACAGGACCAGGCTCTTTCATATGGTTTTATTAGCATATAGTGTGACATATAGTACTTTTTCTTACCGACAAGGATATCACACATGTCATACCTAAAGTTTGTAACAGTCTTAATGATATAGTCTTTGTGTACGGGCAGTTAAATTAAAAATTTTCACTCACAGCAGCTCAACTTTTGGCAAATTTTTGCCTAGACTAGCCAGTGAAAGTGACTTTTTATTTTTGCACCAGCTGGTTTAGGCTTTTATTTTGGTTTTCAAAATAAAAGGTTTTGATATTTTTAAAAGTCTTATTGTGTTTTGTGCTGAGACAGATATCAAACCTCTCATATTACATTAAGTAATTTTTAAAATGAAGAGTTATGTGCATTAAAAAGAGATAAAGCATACATGTTTTTTTTTAAATTCCACTTTGAGTCAACATTTGAATACTGTATTAATCCAGATTATCATGTGCATGGCTGGACAAAACTAACTAAATTGTCCCTCATTGGATCTATTTTAATTAGTATTATATAATTTGCAACAACGCCTTAGAACTCAGTGTTAAAATGACTTTAAGTCATGTATAATGAGCGATCCGCCCAAGAGATGTGCTGCACAGCATCTTCCTCTTGTTTGCGCCATTCAAATCTTGTTTTCTCATGTCTAATCTCATCTCTGTAAATCTATTAGTGGGGGTCCTGCATCTGTAACCACAGGCTTTGAGGCTCCGTAGCTGTCACTGAGCCTATTCTCAGCCAGTGGGTTTAACCGAGCAAAGTGATTTGTGTCAGTATGTGTTAAAGCGTTAACACTCTCCATAATGCTTAAATGTGGATGTGCGCTTTAAGACCATCACTGTATTTAACATGAATGTAATCATCTTGTAATGGTACCTGTCTGTCTCCATCTCTTTAAGCCGTGTTTCTTTTAACAGCTGCAGCTCTGAGTCTGGGTCTGAGCCAACTTTTCTCTCCTTAAGGGAACAATAAAGTTTTTTTTTTTTTTTCCATTGGCATGACTATGTTGTCTATGAATGTATAAATGAATGTATGATTTCATGCTCACTCCTGTTCGACTGCAGGCTGTAGGTGAATCTTTTGAATTCCTCTTAAACCCCTGACTTTATGAACTTTGCTCCGAACATTTGGCACTTGCGGTATTTCCAAATGAGGGAAAATCTGTCTCCTCAGTGTCGAATTTGATCCTCTGGCATTAGCCCGTTTAAGCCTCCACAGTTGAAGAAAAAAAAGGAACTTACACGTCGATGTCAACAGGCCCTTATTGCTAAAATATATAAACACATGTTTCAGCTACCAAGTTGGAAAACCAAGATGGATGCCTACATTAGCATTTGTTAGCTGTTGTTGTTAGCGGTTGTCAGCTGTTGTTAGTTGTTGTTAGCTATTGTTAGCTACGCCAATTGTAAACAACAGCTAACAACTATATTTAACACTACAGCACCATGTTCACAGTTCGACGCTGGACAGTATAACATATACCACTTACTAATTTCACGAAAACAAAGCAGAATTGCTAATAAATAATACATTACGAAGGCTTTCACTATTACTCTTTACTGTTGATGCACTGCACTGCCATGTTGAATTATGACGTTGTCGTCAAGTCGGGGTTGGTGAGGATCATCCACACCCCTGAATCTGACATCAGGGGTGCGTTCCAGATGAATTTCCGACTTGGAGCTTGGAAATTCTGACTTCCGAGTACAACTGGCAGGGCTTTATAGTGAGCAAAAAAACCTCACTTTTTTATACAGTCATCTTATGTATGGACATCTTCTGGTATTTCCTAGCTGAATGAAGTTTTTTCTTCCATGTTTAAACTGTTTAGTCATGTCTTCATCATAATTCAGCCTCCCAAACATTCCTCCAGCATTCCTCACCCTCATCAGAGACCGTCACTGAGCTCCACCAGCAATTAACTGCCTTTGCAAATGGATGCTTACAGTACTGGATGATAACCGAGCCATGCAGATTTTGATGACAGCTCGAGTTCTGTGTGCATGTGGGTGTCTGGGTCCCTACTTGAGCTGGTGCCACCCTTGTTTTTGACCTTAGTCCTGGCGCTTGTTTACCTGCTGCGTGGAATGTAGAGTTATGTAAGGTTTAATCTATTAGAAAGTACATGTTCCACGGTTACCTGGGCCACAGTCACACACACACACACACGGATGTCCACACTGACTCACACTCAGACAAACAAGCGTAATAATATGACCTCTCTGGTGCAGCATCTCAGCCAGCTCTCCAGTAAGTTAGCATGGCCCTACTTACACACAGAAAAGCTTTGCAAACACACACACACACAAACACTGTGCACATAAGGTCCGTGATGGAGCTCGCCATGTCCTGCTTGTACACTTTTACGACTAATAACCGGGCTTTTACAGCTCCACAAGAAAGATAACAGCTCTGTTAGCTCACACTTGAAACACAAACACTGAAGGTCCCCTGATGGCTGAGGGTTTCTGTTTTAAGACTTTTGTGAAGCGACCTGATAAACTTGTGTGTCATTTGGTGTTAAAATCCTAGATATTAAGCAATGTATTATTAAAAATGGGATTAATTCCTAACCCAGGCATTTTCAATTTCTACTTCATGTATATGCTCAGTTGGGCTGAAACTAGACGTTAAGAAGCATGTTTGCTATGCTACATAACAGGTCGTCTCCTGTTGTCTAATGCTGCGTTCGAGTTACCTCGGAAGTCAGAAGTCAGAGCTGAACACCTGAGTTCCAAGCGTTTCAGTTACCAAGTCGGAAACGCAAAATCAGAGGCGGAAACAAGATGGCTACATCTACGAAAGTTATTTTAGCGCTTACCTTATGTTCGGACAAGGTAGGCGCTAAAATAACTTTCGTAGATGTAGCCATCTTGTTTCTACCTCTGATTTTGCTTTTTTCCGACTTGGTAACTGAACCGCTTGGAACTCAGGTGTTCAGCTCCGACTTCTGACTTCCGAGGGAACTTGAACGCAGCATTATTATGTATGGAAACAATCAACAAAACTCAATAGCAAGTGGCTAACTAGATGTGTGTTAACGATGCAAACTCTGTAACTTTTACGGTTCTGTACCGTTTTTTTTGTTTGTTTTTTTTTTTACAGTAAGGAAGTTTTATCTTTTTCCTTAGTCCTTACAAGGTTTTGTGCACTGCTTAGCTTCCTTGCAATGCAGTCATGCCATTCAACTCAGCTTTAACAAAATTAGGGTGACCATATTCTGACTTCCAAAAAGAGGACAAGACTATGTGGAGGCGGAGTCACGGAATCACACAAAGTTAATTAAGAGAGTTTTCAGGGTTGGATTGAGTGTCTTTTTCACACTTCTAACTCTGTAAGTCCACGTGACACAAACTTGAAACTTCCGTACAAAGCAGCAGACATTTGAAGGATTTTATAAACTTCCCTGGACAAAGCCAGACAGCCAGGACAGCCAGGACACCCTCCCCCCCCCAAAAAAAAGAGGACGTATGGTAACCCTAACAAAATCCTTTAGACAGTTTTAGCCTGATTGAGCTGTATACATAACAGAGAAAATCGATCCCCAACTGCGTTAGCTAGGTTAGTTAGTCTGACTATGTAAAGTTCAGTTTACATGATTTTTTTAGAATTAAATCAACTTTTTTTGAACAACATGTCAACATTTTAACAGTGGACACATATACAGGGAACTTCAGTTGTGCAGGTTAGTCGACAAACAGCATTAGCAGCCCCAGAAAGAGGCGAGCTGTTGGTTGACTTTAATCTAATCGCCATTTAACAGCCATTGAGCACTGGGATTAAATTACAGCAGATTGGTTCCCCCTCTTTTTGCCGTCTGTCTGACCTGTTTCTCTGCATCTAGTGAACACTTTAAGGTATTTACATTCTGCAAAGAAAAACCAGGACACTTCTGAAATCCCCATCCTCACACGGGTAAAATTCCCCCCATTGTGCCTAAATTAGCACTGCTGACGTGTTGCTGTCATATGTTTGTGTGTTATTGACACGCTGAAGAGATCAATATATCTTTCCGGAGGTTTCTATTCATAGAACCCATCGAATTGTTTTTGTATTTCTTTTGTGACCTTATACTGTTGAGAGACTGGGTCAGCCTGCTCATAGACACCCTCAGAAAGTGTGTTACTCACCACACTGGGAATCAATGGGCCGTGGCCTGTGGGGTTTCCACATAAACATATCAGTATAAGGAAAGTTAAAACAGACGCCTGTCTGCACACAGAAAGCACATGTGTGAGAAATATGTGGACTCGACCGCTGTTGCAATCTTTTAGCTTTGTGTGCTCAACATGCGGCTCAAATATACAATACACAGCCTCATATTTGACCAAGATAGTTCCCTGACATTCATTCTTAGGCTGGTGTCGAATGGACCTGCAATCTCCTGCAAGGCTAAAACCACTCTGTTTGGGAGTTACAGAAACAAACATGAGGTTTTTATGTTCATAGGTTTTAAAAAGTCATGTCTTTTCTGTATCTAAAGGGCTTGAGTCACCCACTTCCTACATTCTTGCATGTTTGCGCAGCATGTACACACAGCAGTGTGACTCCACGGTGTTACGGCTTCCTATACATCCCATATGAACTTTTCACCGGCATCTGTCTGCAGGATCTTGCCCAATCCTATTAGTGGGACTGGGTTAGTGCCTATAGGAATCTTAGTCAGCAAGCGCAACACCCACCAACAAACCGAGGTCACACAGAGAGCATGTTTGCGTGCGCAGCAGCCAAGTAAATCATCCGTCAAACATGCCAGCCATGAGGCTAAAGCTTACAGAACAGGACAGAGTTGGAGACACACATTCAGAGGGGCTTATTGCAGAGCAATTGCACGCAAAGATGTTGCACCCAAATCCTGAAAAATAGCCCCATGCAAGAGACCCGCGTGTACTGTGTGCTGTTTGCAAACATGCAACCAAAGGCCGACATGAAAGAGCTTGAAATTAACAGCAGGTGCAGAACCCTTGACAACTCCTTTGTGGCGCTAGGAGAGGCAGCAGCCAGGTGTCAAACAAACAAATATAGCCCAGAGATTAACTTAATAGCAAGTGTGTTGTAAACACAGCATGACCTTTCATTTCACACCTCATGCTTACACAACCGAATAAGACCCGCCTGTGTGTGTGTGTGTGTGTGTGTGTGTGTGTTATAAGTCGAGCCAGTAACTTTCAAAGTCCACTTGTTTATGTCCCACAAAGGAGAAAGTGAGAGCGAGTAGGTGAATAGGGTTCAAACGGCTTATTGTTATAAAAACAGCGAACTGTGGCGTAGGTCCAAGAATGGGCACATTTTCACTAGTGAAAGTGATTGAAGCTTCAATGCTCCTTCACATCAAAGCTACACTGCTGTTGAGTTTGATCCCACAGGAATGTGTGATGTCGAACAAAACTATTTTTGCCTCAAAGCTGATATAAGATATCAGAGTGAACTTGTTTTAGCCTGTTTTATTTGATTCATCTATGCATTCATGGATTTATTCTCGGTTTTCTCTTTCTTTTTTTCAAAGTATAGCAACCGTATTGCATTAAATACAAGATACTGTTAAAGCTCCAGTGAGGGACTCTCAGTTTGTGGCAACTTTGGCACCCCCTGTGTACAAAGCAGTCATGCAAAAATGTTGTCTTGAAGGTCCTTACACACCGGAGCGTTTTTTTCGTGCGATTATTTCAGACGTCAATGTTTTTTTTCGAACCCGTATCTTGTCAATACAAGTGTTCACATCAGCGAACGCCTGTATTGTCTTGTGAAAGGAGAAAGACAATAAAGAGATTAATAAAGGTGAACAGCAGATAGGTCTGAGATTCGACTAGATAAAAAGGTTCAAATTTCACATCCTGCTCAGCAGTATGGCGGCTTACTGACTTGGCACCATTCCTCGGTTTGACCCCCACGCTCACTAAGATGTCACACTACCTCCGAGCATAGCCTTGTCATTAATGTTATATAATGACTTGTTTTTTTAAGCAGTATCTTAAAGCGTAGCACAACGTTGCATAAGATGCACCAGTCATGATGTGTTGGCTGATTGGCAGGACATTTTTACAGCAAGTTACCGTCAGGAAAGAAGAGATTATCAGTCACTGAGTTCATTTTTAAAAACTTGGAAGATTACTGTTCGGAAAACCTGGAAGAGTAAAAGCAATGTAAATTCCAGGACTGCTCACTGCCTTCAATGTAAATGTGCTCTTTCAAAGTTAAAGCATACTGAGAAAATCTTACATGTTTTTTTAAAGTAAATTACCTTAATGTGTTTCTTACCTCTTCACCTTAAATGTACTTGTAGGTTCTTGCTGCAGAAATACAATTGTTCACATCAGCCACGTTTTCCCGTCCTGCGATATTGCGGCATTTATTTTTTCGTATCACGGTTGAATTTTTTAAAGTTTTGTATACTGTGTGTCGACTTCTGACCAATCAGATTTTGTGTTGTTGCGACATCAGATTCACCGGTATATCCAACATGGCCGACGGGCTGTTTGTATACGTGTCGGAGAACAGAGTGCTTTTTGATAAAAGACACAAACATTAAAAAGATAACGACCTGAAGGACAACTTGTGGAGAGTCATAGTGTCGGTTTTCTCATATGACGATGGTTTGTGTGCTTTAACAGTTTGCTAAACATCTTTGTTTTAATTTTCATCTGTGCTAAGTAACTTTAGCTCGTAAGCTAACCTGTTCAGATACAACATACCATATGTATTTTCACTGTCTCAAACTCAATCACAGCATTGCTGTCACAGCACCATTAGGTCTCGGTTGTTACCTTACGTTTATGGATTATAGTTTAATGTGCTTATCTGGTACTGGCCCCGACTCAGTACATGCTATCATGACAGACAGACATCTCAACACTAGTGTCTAACCAGAACTGAAAAAACAGTCAGTCTGCTGTTGTGTCAGTCTTCTCGCCTCCACCCTGGACGCGTCTTTCTTCCGCCCGGAAAGTCGCAAAATCGCATCGCGCTTGATGTGTATAGTCAGGCGCGTCGAAATTTGCCTCCGAATATTTTGTAATTTCGCGTCATATATTTGCGTCGTTCCTGGTCTGTAAGGACCTCAAGATGAAAAATCGCAGACTTTTTGATGGTCAAATCTTTGATTTATTGAAAATCAGGTTGTTTCTACAGCTGCTTGGCTGACACCTACCCCCTCCCACTCAGTCCAACCTTAAAAAATCACAACTATAAAGTGGTTAATCTTGTTTCTGATGGTTTTGTTTGTTATTTTTATATCACGGTAAGGCATCAGAATGAATTTCACTCTATTTCGTGAACATCAAAAACTCCTCACAGGAGCTTTAAGCTTAAATATACTGAATATATTAATTGTCTATATTTTGAATTAAAGCAAGAAGGGACAAAAACTAAGCATGTCTTTTATTTTTGCACTTATCATTTTGCTTTACTAGTATATACACAGGAACAGAAATGTTTGCTTCTTAGTTTCCTAGCTCTTTGCATTAAAAGTGTGAGTTTAAAAACTATAATAAAACAAATGTGGCTGAACTGCCCTCGCAGCAGAGGACACTGTGTCAATGTGTTCAAAACAGGTGAGTGTTTACATTCAGACCTCGCTGCTCCAGACCACACAGACAGATTGACCAGAAAGAGGCTATGAGTAAATGTTTGTTTACAAATGACCAGATTGTAGTGGATTCGGTTGCTTATTGGATTAAGGAGCGTGCCAAGTGTCTCAGATTGGCATGGAGCGCTACAGGGCAAAGTCCCGGCCTGAGGAAAAACAGAGAACATGCCAGCAACACGAAGAAGTAAACAACATAAATGAGGTCGTATCCGTGATTTATGTGTGGCCCTTGGAGGCACCTTAAACGCTGTGTCAAAGAAATCAATAGTTTCCTGTCGATAAAGTTAATTGGAGCGTAAATGATCCCAATTGCTGCCTTTATGGTGGAAAAAGAAAACAAAACAGGATTACATGTTTGCTCCCTGTCAGGTAAGATTCCACTGTGAAAGGAGAAAGACAATAAAGAGATTAATAAAGGTGAACAGCAGATAGGTCTGTGATTCGACGAGATAAAAAGGTTCAAATTTCACATCCTGCTCAGCAGTATGGCGGCTTACTGACTTGGCACCATTCCTCGGTTTGACCCCCACGCTCACTAAGATGTCACACTACCTCCGAGCATAGCCTTGTCATTAATGTTATATAATGACTTGTTTTTGAGCAGTATCTTAAAGCGTAGCACAACGTTGCATAAGATGCACCAGTCATGATGTGTTGGCTGATTGGCAGGACATTTTTACAGCAAGTTACCATCAGGAAAGAAGAGGTTATCAGTCACTGAGTTCATTTTTAAAAACTTGGAAGATTACTGTTCGGAAAACCACGGCTACCTTACTAGAAGAGTAAAAGCAATGTAAATTCCAGGACTGCTCACTGCCTTAAATGCAAATGTGCTCTTTCAAAGTCAAAGCATACTGAGAAAATCTTACATATTTTTTTAAAGGAAATTACCTTAATGTGTTTCTTTCCTCTTCACCTTAAATGTACTTGTAGGTTCTTGCTGCAGAAATACAGCAAAAATCTGCTCAAGAACAAGCTTTAAGGGTCAGATGCACGGCTGGATTAACTCACTTGGAGGTCTTGGGTTAGAAATAAGCAGTTTGCACTTTTTAGACCCCCCTCACTCAGGTGATCCCATTTTTTTGTAATCCCTCTCAGTATGAGCTGTGTTCAGAGCTGCTTTAATGATATAAAAACTAAATTAGTGAGCTCATAACGTCGATCTACTGTCCTCCTTTTTTAACACAGCTGCAACATGCCACTCCTGAATACAAAATACATCCTGAAATCATTAATTAATCTGAAGAGATTAATAGTAAGAGACAGCAGGGACAGTACGTCTTTTGTCTTTGCTGTCTGGTTCGCAGCCCTACAAAACAACTCCCCTCTCTGCTTGCAGGTGTGCAGCAAAATGCAAACCATGTTTAGTCTAATTTAAACTCTCGATGAGTTCTGTTTGCAGAATATTTTGTCTCCACGCTTTTTAGTGTTGAAAGAAAACTCTTTCACGCAGGGTACATTGATTGTCTTTGGTGCGTGCTTTTGAAATGCCAAGCAGTAAACAGCATAAGGGCATGATAAGGTCAGCTACAAAGTCTGGAAGAGGTAGAACAATGCTGTAAGTGATCTCATTGTGTACTTAATTGTATCTTTAATCCCCCTACAGTCCATCTTGACTCAGTGTTTCTCAAGATTGAAACCATCAAGTAAAGCCCAGTTTTCTGTTTCTTATGCACATTTTAATTCCAATTTTCACACTTAAAATTATGATCCATGACATCCTTCTCGCTTCAGCCACTCAAACAGATGCTCAAGCTGTCAAACGCCCATTTGGATAACAACACACACAGTCGCACTTTCTGTTTGCTCAGTAGACAGGTGCGTTGAGTTTGTAAATGACAATGAGTTGACTTACACAACAATGACTCATTCATGTTTCAGCAGGCAAATGTAGGTGATGAATGGTGACCTTTAGCAGAGTTGTGAATGCAGATGGATTTACATTCAAAAATTTGAGCATAATGCGAGTAATGTCCCTTTAGTCACACAAAGCATGTATGAATGAGCCCTTTCAGAGACGACTGTGATGCTCGTGTGTTGTATGCGTCAGTTTATGCTACAACTCATGAATTCTTGATTCTTTGTTAAAAAGTTTCCAGAAGAGTCAGAAAATATTTTTAAAAGCCAATCAAAAATAATCAGCACAGAATAATGAGGTCAAAGACAAGCATATGGAAACAATGGGGGCACAAGAATTAAGCCCTGAGGCACACCTTCAAGCTACATCTGTACTCAATGAAAGATTGTTTCTGCTGAAACTGACGTATTTTATTCTCTAGTGAAAAAATTATGTTATTTTATAGCTTTGTAATGCTAATCCCTGACTATGACTTTGCATAAATTCATCTAAAGGGCATAGTCCCTTAAAAGTAAAGATCGTAATAGGTTTTCTATTTTGTGAGAGGCTGCAGATTCGATTTATATTTACACACCAATTATTGGAACTTGGGTTGTCATAGTAATCGAATTTCTCATAACAATGACCTCTTGGGCATCAATAAGCTTGATAACCACACAACTACATTGATATTAACCATGTTCATGGAAACTATGGGGGCCCAAGAAATAAGCCCTGAGGCACACCTTAAATCTACATCTGTCCTCAGTGACAGATATACCTGATTGTTTATGCTTAAACTGACATATTTTATTCTCTTGTGAAAAAATTATGTTATTTTATAGCTTTGTAATGCTAAAATGACCCTGGACAAACATCCCTGACTATGACTTTGCATAAATACATCTAAAGGGCATAGTCTGTCTGAAGTTAAGATCGGTATTGGTTTTCTGTTTTGTGAGAGACTGTTGTTTCAATTAATATTTTCACACCAATTATTGGAACTAGGATCGTCATAGTAATCAAACTTCTCACAACATTGACCTCTTGGGCATCAATAAGCTTGATAACCACAAAACTATAATGATATTAAACATGTTCATGGAAACTATGGGGGCCCAAGAAATAAGCCCTGAGGCACACCTTAAATCTACATCTGTCCTCAATGACAGATATACCTGATTGTTTATGCTTAAACTGACATATTTTATTCTCTTGTGAAAAAATTATGTTATTTTATAGCTTTGTAATGCTAATCCCTGACTATGACTTTACATAAATACATCTAAAGGGCATAGTTTGTCAGAAATTAAGATTGGAATAGGTTTTTCACAGATATTTTCACACCAATTATTGGAACTAGGATTGTTATAGTAATCAAACTTCTCATAACAAGGACCTCTTGGGCATCAATAAGCTTGATAACCACACAACTATTATGATTTTAATTGTGTTCATGGAAAAATGTTTAAATCAAGTAATTTATTTTTCAAGATTGACCCATGTCCAATTGATTTTTTTACAGAAGAGGCAGGTTTTATGGCTCCATGTGTTGTTGTTGTTACCTGTTACCTGATCCATCATGATCTACAGTCTGACTAACCAGATATTAAAAGAAGTAAAAAAAAGGCCATGTACATTAAGGCAACAAAAAATGGCCTCACTTTTAAAAAAAGCCATCACCTCATCCGTCTATGACTCAAACCGTAAAGTCACGATGGCGTGACCGGTGGCGCCGATGCAGCACCCAGATTTAACACCAGCGAAATGGATGTCGGCCAGTCCAGGAAGGCTTAGGTGTCAGTGGAAAGAAGCTTTGGTAAGAGAGTGTGGCGTTAAGCCCACACTTCTTTTCACACCCAAAACCACCCACCGTGCCCATAATGGACCAGACAACCATGTCTCAGCCCAACACTTGGTCCTTTTTATAGTTTCATGGAAGTCTTTAATATCTTAAATGATGGTAGGGGATAAGTGTCATACAAAGCAATAATTACATGCTGCTGATACATAATTCACAGTAAAAATTCTCAATAAGCAATACATTTGATTGTTTTGCTCTCAGTTGCCACAATACACCCAGACAAAAATTACTTACAGGGGCTTTAACTCAATACCTGAAGTAAATACACACAAGCTCATCCTTTTCCTTCATCTTTATAAGCTATGTTGTCCTTATCTTTTTGGTTTTGTTGGGTCAAATTCATGTTTTATGATGACATAGACAAGTCTTTTTAAATATCTAATGTAAACCTCTATGTAGACGACACTGTTTTGTATGGTTGGGGTGACAAGAGACTTTACATGACTGTACTGATCAGCAATAATCTCACAAATTCCCTGCTCTTCTTTTTACATAAACCTAACCCTAAATGAGTGATGGATTTTTCCACCTTTTTTAAGTACCACCAAAATAAAATAAGCTTTAAAGAGGCAAATGATCAATC